ATATATATATATATATATACACTAAAAAAAATGATTATTTGTGTGTAACTAGTGTGTAACGCTGAAAAAATAATTACAAAATTTTACTCAAAATAAAAATTTTCAATTTGTTAAAATATAATATTTATTACTATCCATAGTAAAAATTACGTGTTAATTTTTATTAGAAAAATAAACACGTAATTTAATTATAATTTAATTCAATCTATGCAAATTCAACAATCATAGTAGCTTAAATTTTTTATTTTTTAAATACAACTTAATTAATCTTCAATATACTGTAAATATTTCTTTTTATTCTTTGTCTTACTTTTTCAATTTTTTAAACAAATACTGGCGTTTAATTCCAAATCTCATAAAAGAGAAAAATTATCTTTCTTTTAAATCAAAAAGAAAACTTACAAAAAAAAATTCCACCTTCAGACTTCCCTGGCGGATATATTTTAAATTATTAAGTCTCCTCAATATAGAATTTATTTAAGAATATATGTTCAAAAATTCACTCAATCATGAATTTCTTCCCCAATCAAAAAATGCTATTTTCAATTAATGAAAATAAAAGTTTGTGTCAATTCCTTTCAGTCTATTTTCTCACTTGTTCAGCTCAAATAATGAGAAACTTACCAAGTAAGTAACAAACTGAGAACATTGAGCTCTAGATTTTTCATTACCTTTTATGGTTAACTTGAAAAATTAGTTTGGGAGTAAATTATAACAGATTATCAATGAATTTCTATCTTTCAATCGTCTTCTTGAGAAAGAAATTAGAAAACTATTAAGAATCTAGATATTCATTAGAAAATTTCTTCAAATGATAACATTTCTAAGAAAACGTTAGATTAATAGAAAGAAAATAACAAAGATATCTGAAAAGAATAAGTGTTAATGCTTAGTCATAAATACTTAACCAAAACTTACCCTAACTAAATTAATATCTTAAATTGAAATTATAAATCAATTATACTTTATCAGAGTTAATAGTTTTCACAAAATTTGTAGAAATCTAGACGGAATTAATTTGCTTCTTACTGGGATTTTCAATAGAAAATATTAATCTATAAAATGATTTTGGTCAACAAAAAAGATAATTTACAATAAAATTTCAAAATTTAGGTTAATTTTCTTGAAAAAAAAAAATCACAAAAAAAAATATCCACATTTTGATTCAGTTATGTTTGAGCATTTTTTGTAAATTAATATAATGTTTCAACCTGGAATAACCCACTTTAATGAAAATAACAATACAAATTGAACTTTATTTACTCAATAATACTTGTTGATTTAAATTTTACAATGAAACTATCATCAATGTGGAATTTATTTGAAAAAATTGATAAAACCTGAAGTTAATTAAACTTGACGCCTACTTTTGTTTATTAATATTTACTTACCTTAACAAATTTTAATGTGTTTTCTTCTTTGTTTGAAAAAATTTGTGCATACTTTATTTTCAAATTAGATGAGTTAGTCACCTAGAAGAAATTGGTTAATTTTGTTCATTTTTGGCAATATTCAAGAAAGAAAGCAAGTTAAGCAAGAAATATTGAAAGGAATGCAATGAGAATTGGAGGAAAGGACTGGGTGAATGAATTTCTGGAATTTAATTGCAAAGATTTTAATTAATTTTCATTATTGAAATCAGTCAATTTTATTTCAATACTCACCTACCAGAACAAGAGGTGAATTAGAGAGAAGAATGAATAAAATGTAAGGGAAAATAAATATAAATAAATGAGAAGTCTGAATTAGGTCCATTTTTCACTTCTCTATAGTATTAATAAGAAAACTGTTATTAATAAAAATACTTTTCAAGTCTTCCAAATAGAAAGGAGAAAGCGGAAAATTTGGTTTGGGTTCTTATTAATTTTCTTTTTTCAATACTAAAATACTCTTTTACCAGAGTTTAATTACTCCCATTTTCTGTTTATAAATTATTTGCAGTTTTATGTACAATTGAAATGACTGATCCAATTTTCTATTTTTTTCACTAATTAAATATAATTAAAAAATTTAGCAATTGGAGATAATTTTTTGTTACTAATAAAATGTTGTTGATATTATTATTATTATTATTATTATTATTATTTGTTATTAATAGTGATATTAGAAGTGGTTATTGTAATAGTAATTATAATTAGATAATGATAATAATAATAATGGAATAGAAAGAATCCTGATTAGAATTTTTTTCAAATATATAGTGATAGTAGAAAAAAGTATACTACTAATAATTTAAGTGAAAATTCACCTGTATTCAAAATTTCATTCTAATTTTATAATTCTTTCTCTAAAAAAAATTTGAATTCAATCTCTAGTTACCCAAAAAAGAGTTTCACCATTTTCCATATTCTTAGTGTAAATTATTAAACCATCAAATATCTCCAATAAAGTTACCAAAAAAAAATGTAAAAAAAAAAATGAAAAAGATAAAAATATAAAATATCCAAATTTGTAATTAACAAAATGAAGATTAAGATGGAAAATTTGTGACATTAATTTGTAAACATTACAAGAAAAAATATTCCATAATAAATAAAATCTTGACCAATGATCATTTTCATTTTTTTTTCACCCTAACTTTAGCATCTAGTAAGTAGGTTTCATTATTTCTTAATATCCATTAGAGGTTATAAGTTATACTAATTCGGAAAGAAACATTAGAATACACAATCTTTACCACATACAAATTAACAATTGGACTCTGTTCACAATTAATATATTACACAGTAACTAACCATTAAAAATTGGTTAATTCACTAAGTAATCAAATATCATTTTATGTTTTCATCATCCTAAACTAACTTAAACAATCAGAAATACTATTTTTATAACCAGTTCATTTCAATTGTACTTGTTAATATAACTGCTTATTAATCACTGTTTTAGTAATATAGTATTGAGATCAAAGAAAGTACCATTAATAAGAATACCATCCAAAATAACATTCAATTCCAGTAACAAAGTTATATAATATATTCACATTTTTCAAATTCATCCTGTACCCCCATATAAAGTTATATTTCTATTTTTCTTCTTTTATAGTATTAATGAATCCAAATTAAAAAAAAAATTATGAGAATAAGAAAAAATAATCTGATATTGAAACTTATTCTAAAAAATATTCTTCATGTGTTATATAATTTTCAAATCTGAAGACTTTGTCGCTCAGTCTAATAATAAAAAGTTAGAAGTTATTACAAAATTACGAGATTGCACAATGCTCGCGATTTTTTCCTAGATATTTTTTTTAAGGGGAGAAGAAAACAATATTTAAACTGATAAAACAATATTAGAACTTTGTTTTCTTTGTGTAATATAACTAATAATTAGCTGTTTATGTTGACATTAATTTAATTAGTACTTTGTTTGCAAAGAAAAAGAAAGATCAACAAATAACTAGTCCTTAAATTTCACAAATCTTAAAAATAACCTGAAATTCATAGATTTATTTAAAAAAAAGAAAAATATTCAAAATGTATTCTTATATACTAACTCTTCTAGATAAAATATCCATAGATAAACTCCAATAGAATATTTGCTCTAAAATGGTAGTCTAACAATAATAATTTATAGTAAACAGTTTTCAACATTTACAATATATATAATTTTACTTGTGAATTCGTCAAAATCTCAACTAATCAAATTCATGGCGATATGAAAATCTTGCTTAAACTGAAACTGATTGTTCCGATCTATTCATTAACATAAAGTAAAGGTAAGTTTCGCACTCATAAGCTCTGTTTGCAACTTGTACAAGTTTCTTACCATAATAGTGTTTCCTGTAGAGATGAACTTTTTTACAAAATGAGGTGTTGAAGCAATCTAAGCACAAGGAATCCCCACTTGAACAATGCTCTTCACAATATGAAATTTTGTCGGAACAAGTTTGTAGATAAGAGTTTTCCGTGAATCTCATAGTATAGAGGAAGATCATTTCCTCAACTAGTTTCACTAAATCTTCGGTGGTACATTTCTTTGGATCAGGGAGATAATACCTTGTGGGAATACATACAATTTGTTTTGGAATGTAAACTTTCTTCTTACAAGCTAAAAGTACAGCACTAAGATCGATGATATAGCTCGATCTGGTTTGAATAGTTTTTTGATGTGCATCCAAGGCATATTTGAGACTTTGTTCTGCTTCCTGTTCTTCTTTAGAAATAAATTCATTAGAACGATTCTTATTTAGTAACTTTGTGATAAGAAGTGATTTTGAATACAAAGCATCGTTTTTACTTTGGAAATTAACCAACAAAGAACCAGCCCTATCCATTAATTCTCTAGAGCAACGTTCCTCAACATCCAGTTTCTCAACAGCTGTAATGACTTGATTTGCATATTTTTTATCCAAGTCAATGGTATTGTCGGTCTCTAAAAGAAGTTCCTTTGTTTTTGAAGTAATAGTGACATTATAGGCTGCAAATCCATTCAATGACTGTGAGATCTCTTTCTCTTCTCTTGCAATCATAGACTCCAGGTCCTTACTAATACCTATAACAGAAGAATTTTGGCCCGTAGTGAATGAAGTTGGAGCAGCGAATTTGATTCTTGATGCCTTATAAAAGATTTCTGATTGTTCAGTTGAAAGTTTATAATCAGTTGAGTTCAATTCACGAGTATCTTTATTTTGGGTATTCTCATTGGAATCGCTATCAATTATAGCAGCAGTGAAGATTTCTTCACTCTGGAGTTTTCTAGCTTCTAGCTCCCTTACCTTGCGTTTCTTCAAATTCCTTTGCTCTCTCTTATTTTTTCTGTCCGCCTCCTTTTGCTCTTGCTTCTTTTTTCTGTCCGCCTCCCTTTGTTCTCTCCTTTGTTTCCTTTCCAAATCTCTTTGCTCTTTTTCTAATTTCTTTTTCTCTTGGTTTGCTTGTCTCGAATTATTCTGTTTTTGTTCCACCTCCTTTTGATCCTTGGTACCTTCATCATTCTTTGTTTCATCTTCATTCTTTTCTTTGCTTTCTTCATTTTCCTCTTTTCTCATTTTATTTGAATCATTCCCGGCAGTACCTTTTGGATCAACAACAGCCGGACTTGTTTCAGGAGTAGTAGAGGACCCAGAAGAATCCGATGACAAAGAAAGATAATTAATTGTAAGTTGGCAATTGGATACTTGCAATAACACAAGAACCAATGCCAGTATTGAAAAAATAGGCTTCATTATCGGAATAATTTATTCAGACGAAAAAAGAATAGTGTTGCAAACTAAGAGATTAAAAATTGTGATAAATAACCAATTTAGAGATGATTATCTTATCTTGAATATATATCAGAAAATATAAATATTGCGTGATTCAGTTTCTATCCGAAAATCTTGAGTTGTACAGATTTTTTTCCACATAAATACTAGTAGAAATATATTCGAGGCTAGACATAAACGGTACTGGTGGTACCGCCGCATATTAATATTAATAAAATTGGCGGCACAATGTGTAGAGTAAATTTATTTATGAATCGTTTACTTTGAGAATTAAACTTCACGAAAAAAAACGTTTTCTCTTAACTTTCTGTTAATAAAAGTAAAAGAAAAATAAGTGGAAAATTATGAATTAAACACTAATATATCTTAAGCCATATTAAATCGACTCAAATATTGTTTTTTCAACTATGTTTTTAGATAGCAAAACATTTGGTTTAACTTTATTCACTTAAGATGTCTCAGCTTTACCAAATAGTTAATTAGCATTAAAACACTTTAAAGGTTTCTTAAAACTTCATTGTCATTTAGATCCCTAATTTGTTGTTGGATTACTTATAACCTTGTTATTTCGTCATTTTCATCATCTTCTTCACCCTCGTCTGCATTCTCATTAAAATCTAATTCATTAGTTTCAGTTTGAGCTACCGTTACGACCTCACTAGATGTGCTTTGTGGAAGTAACCCAGAATTTTTCAATTCATCAATCCTGGCCTTTAACTCGCTTTGTGATATGAATCCTAAATTGTTACATCTCTGTACTTCTTTCGCTAAGTTTTCTCTTTTCAAAATCAGACCCATAATTTCCGGGAAATTATTACATTTCTTTTTTCTACAGCCGTCTGAAATGCAATTTTCACAACCACTATGTTGACTAGACTTTAAATCAATTTCAGCGTTGCAGTTCCTAAGTTCTTGATTTAATAAGTTAATCATAAGGTATGTACAAATACCACGTTCAAAAAGCAAAACAGCTGCTTTTCTCTCTTCATCTGTAGATTCCATAACAGGACTTGATCGAATTATATACTCTTCAAATCCTTGAGATCCATATTTTTCTTCTTTTCTTTTCTTGTATTTTTTAAATGCCTCGCCTAGTTGTGTGGGAAGTTGGGGAATTTCAACTTTTTGATGAGTTGGTGTCTTTAGCTTAACACCATTCAAAATAGCGTTTTTAATATCATCAGGTAAGCTCCTATAATATGGTTGTCTTGCTTTAAGACCCTCAGGTTCTGCGCTCTTTTTATGGTGTGTATGTCCTGTTGAATAAAATGGTAAATAACGTGAACAAATTGAGTTTACTCTTTCTTCCAAATATTTTCCTACTTGCGACTCAGTTGGAATATCTGCAGTAATAAAGTCTCTGCTACCGGTGAGAGCCAGAAAACTTTCACAAGATAACAGTTTACTATAAAGTCTTCTGTAGTCTTTAATTAATTGGTTTCGTTCCAACATTAATGAACTCTGCAAATTTTGGGCAGCGAGGCAATTACTGCATGAGGAAATGTCTTCAAGTCCTGGGCATTGTGGACAGTAAGCCATTGATGTACAACTCATACATTCTTCCCTAGTACAGCTGCTACAAACATACTTTTGTCTAACAACATTGTTTACATAAGAAACTTTTAGACTTAAAATAAACAACTTTGTTTCTAGTTTACCCTTAAGTACTTGATACTGATTCTTTGTACATTTAAATGGAGTAAGATTTTTGTATAATTTAAAAGCATCAAGTCGTTCCAATTGAGTAAAATTATTAATTAAACAACCCTTGACCATTTTTTCTAAAACACCAATCATGTGATCTACGGTGTTAGAAATAGATTTACATTTATCCTTTCTGTTGAAGGCTTTTCTACATGTTTTACATTCTTTTGAATGAAGTATTCTGCACCTATTTCTGCAAAATCCTGTTTCATTTGTAATTTTAATAACTGCCATTTGACAATAGCTTTTAGCTACATAAATTTGATTTGAAATAACAAATATGTTTTCTAATAAATATTCATCGCATTTGAAAGCTTTAATTTGTTCATTATAACTTTTTTTAATTGATCTGTATAATTCTTTGTTATTTTGCAATATTTCTTTTGATTTGGTTATCTGTGAATCGCTAGATGCTACTTGAGATTCAAGATATATTTGCATAATACCAGCATCATATCCCTGAAAATCTGCTGAGACAATGTTTTCTATGTTTGGATTTGGTGGTAAAACTTCTTGATCATTCTCTTCATTATCATCCTCGCCAGTATCTTCAAGATCCTTTCTTCCTTTTTTTAATTGTGATTCAATTTGTCTATTTTGAAATTGATTTGTTTCACCACCCAATATATTTTCTTGAGAAAAACCACCCCCTGGGTTCTTTCGTTTTTTAAAAAGATTGAGTAGTCTCCCTTTAATACCTCTACTTTTAGTATGAGTACTTGAAACATCTGGAGATGATTTACTTTTGACAAGATTTCTTGCAAAACCTAATAATTTAAACCTTTCATCTTCAGATCTAGAGTCGGATGAAGATATAGATTGTAGATCTGATCTATCAGAAGAGTCTGAAACCGAAAGGTCATTCTTATAAGAACTTCCCATAGAAACAGTTTCAAATGATTTTACTGAATTTGAATCAGACTTGTCGCTATTTGCATATGCCTTTAATAATGAGATTTGAGCAATGCTTTGAATATTTTTCGATATAAGTGGTTTAGAAGATTGTAACTCATCATTCAAATGCGCATATAATATTATAAAAAGAACCGTAATAAAGTACTTTAATGAATAATTATTGCTTATCATTTCAATAATTCGATTTAAGTTTGAATTTAACTTGATCTTCTCTAGCCTAAATCTTATTTAAAAATTTTCTTTCACATTAAATTATTTGTTGTGTTAAATCAATTTTTAGTATATTATTTCATATTCATCACCTTATGTTGTTTAATAATTATGCTACCAGGTAAGACTTACGTGTTAATTTGAAAATCTACACACAATATTGTATGTAACAATATTAAAAAAAAAACCAGGAAAATAATGAAAAACAAAAAAGTAAGAAACTTAACTTAAAATCTACATATAAACTTAATTCAACATGAAACAAAGCATTCTCTAGTTTGATATTTTTTTTTATTTTAAATTTTGCATTTTAAAACCAAGTTTTATTATCACACAATATTGGCGCAAATTGAAATAACATAAAAATTGCATTTGGGTACAATGCCAAAATATTGATTAATAATGTGAATCAAACAAATTCTGCAAATATAAAATTTTACACATTTTCGGAAATTAAAATTTTTTGAATAAAAATCAGATTTATTCAAATTTCAATTTTACAATTACATTCTAAAATATTCCACAAATGTTTAGAGTTAGAAATGCTTATTTAAGAAAAGTTGGATTTTTGCTTCAAATTTTATCTTTTAATAATTTAATAGACTAGGTAATCGAAAATAGAGGTAAGAAAATAGAAAAACCGGCATTTAAATACTGAAAGTTAACTCATAATTAGTAAAGCAAATATCCTATAGAAACTTATAAATGTGGGAAAGTTCTTAATCGGAAAAAAACATGAAATATCAAGTATAAATATGAAACATATTGTAAAAAAGGTAAAATCACCATTCGAAATTCACTTTTCTTCTTGATTAATAACAAACAAACACGGTAATTATATATTATGTGTAGTCTCGGTAATAAACATTTATATTGTAGCAATTCAAAGTAAAACATCGTAATTTTAAGTTATCTGGAGTTTTATTCCATGATTTGCATTTTTCTTGTTTTCTTTAAAATCGGAATAATTATAAATTTTCGGAAATCAATAAATCTGTTTAACCAAATAAAAATACTCTGAATTTAATACTCACTATAAAACACTTTACCAATTACAAATTCATTTTTTTTAAATAAATTCGTATTAAATCAATCTGTCTTCTGAATCACTTAGTATGGGTTTGAATAATGTTTCTTCATTTTCATTCTCATTCTCTTCATTGTTCTTACTGGTATTTGAGTTACTTCTAGATCTAGCTTTATTATTCTCCCCTGACCTACTTCTCTTTCTTTTTTTACTTTTATTAACTTTAAAAACATTTGTTTTTTGCCTCCGAACGCTCTTTATTTTAGTATTAAGTTTAAATTTAGTAAAGAAAGTTTTTCGAAGCAATTTTCTTTTTTTTGATATATTTTTTTTACTAGATCTTCTGGTTTTACCCACTAATTTCATAACGTTTTCAATATCATTTCCTTCTTTAAAACCATTGTGATCAAGACTAGGGCTTCTGGATCTTGTTTTAGATTGATCTAGGTGTTTCCTAGTTGAAGTTCTAGTTTTCATGGCTGTTTTATTATTTAATGGTTTGCTTGTATCATCTTTTGGGCTACATCTTCTACTTGAATTTCTTTGCTTACTAGGTCTTTTAGTGGAAGAAGTAAAAGATCGTATACTGCAATATATTCGATCTTCCATTTGATCAGTTTTATGGATTTCTTTAGATTCAATTGAATCAGAGTTTAATATTGAATCTCTAGTTAATGGAAAATTTTTAGAATTTCTACCATTACTTCGCAATTTTGATTTCACAATCTTACTGTATAGAGGTTTATTAAAAGATGTCATTTTTGTTTCTGAATAATTTTTTTTACTGGATATTTTCCTTTTAAGACCACTTTTTCTATGACTTCGTGTTTTTGACCGAGCAGAATGATTGCCAACAGAACTCCTTTTATTCATATTTTGAGATTGGTATTCATTCAATAAAGATTGAAGTTGTTTTTTTGTTAAAGGACCTCTTTTACCTGGCTTTGTTGAGTGTAAAATATCTTCTTGATGGCTCGAAGTGTCTGAAGGTTGCCGGGACACAGCACTATGTTCAAACAAATATATTGAACTTGGTCTACTTATAACTCTACTGGTAGTGGGTGAAGGAAATGAAGGTGGTGGCGGCGGAGAGAACGAAGGTTTTGGTGGTGGTGATGGTGAAGAAGGAGTTCTTCGATTTATAGCATCTTTTTCATTTAGGTCTTCATTATCCCGAGTTTTTTTTGTGTGTTCACCCTGTTTGTTTATATTTTGAGAGTAGTGCTGATTCAATAAAGATTGAAGTTGTTTTTTTGTTAAAGGACCTCTTTTACCTGGCTTTGTTGATTGTAAAATATCTTCTTGATGATTCGAAGTATCTGAAGATTGCTGGGACACAACACTCTGTTCAAGTCCATATATTGAATTTGGTCTACCTATAAATCTATTGGTAAGGCGTGGATGAAATGGAGGTGGTGGTGGCGGAGAGAACGAAGGTGGTGGTGGCGGAGAGAATGAAGGTGGTGGTGGCGGAGAGAACGAAGATGTTTGGGAAGAGGGAGAAGGGGAAAGTCTTTGAATAGCCAAATTTGTTTTATCTCCCGACTTTTTAGTTCCGAAAATGTTCTTTTCAGTACTTTTAATCTTTTTCTTGTTCAGATGTTTAGTGAAAAAAGATCGAACATTTTTGAAGGGACTTTTGGTAACTCTTGATTGATTTACCTGAGGATTTGAGGGTAATTTAATTTGGGCTCTCTTAGTTAAATCTTCTCTATTTTTAGCCTCTTCAATTTCAAAAATTGTAACTTCCTGGCCAGTTTCTTTCTCAAAATCTGACCTTTCCTTTTTTATAATAGATTTTGAATGCTCATATATACTATTTTCACGGTAAAACTCTTCTTTATGTGTTTGATCACTATCATTTGATCCAAATTCTTCATTTAGATTTAAAGATTCTTTCGAAGTAGGTTGATGATCTGCGCCTTTAGTTTCATTGTCTGAATTAGAGTCACTGCCGAACCAGGCATGAGGTTCATTAGATAATCCGTTTAGTTCTTCGAAATGATCACCATTGAATGACTCAAAACTGGAGTTAGTGTCGAATTCAGAATCTGAAAAGTCACCATTTATACTACTTCGAGTAGAGTGTACTTCAATATTATCCAAACTACCAGTTTTATTTTTTCTTTCTTTTCGTTTCATTAATATAGTATATAATTGAGCAGTTACCGGATCTAGAGCCTTAAACCGGGTATTTTGAGACTTTTCGTTAGTTTCATGAGGGATTGATTCATAAATAACTTTGGTGGTTGAATCAGCGTTGGGTGAGATATTTTGGTAGAGAGGGCCGCTATCATTTTCTTTTTCAGGTTCGGAAGCATGATTGCCAGTAGGATTTTCAATATTGTTACTGGTATCTTGATTTGTATTAATTTCCGGAGAATTAACTTGTGGGACTAATGTAGTTATTGGAGAGCTTATTAAGCCTTTCTTATTTTCTCTACTTTTGTTTTCTTTCTTTTCAGTTCTAACTTTATCAAAAATATTTCCAACATTCCATTTTTTTTCATTTTTAGGTTTAAAGTTATATTTTTGAGTAATTGATTTTTTGCGAATATTAGAAGTGATATTCTCATGAATCATACGATTAAGATTAGTAATCGAAATTAATGGCCTTTTATTTTTTTTGCGCTTCTCTGGCGATTTTAATTTTCCAATTTCTGAATTCTTACTACCCGATTCAACTTCTGTATTTATATCCGAAACCTCACTAGATTCAAATTCCTTAAGTTTCTTTTCAAAATCAAGATACTCATTCAATTGTGATCGATAATCTGTACTCATTCCCCTGGAAATCTTATGAAATTCTCTTTCAATTTTGTTAACTTTTTTGAGTTCCCTTTCGAATTCTCCCGATTCAAATATAGGCTTCAATTGATTACATTGATTACATGGTTTCTTTTTTGTGCATTTGCCTTCGATATGTTTGAGTGGAGAATAACAATTTCCTTTTAGGTATTCCAAATATGAGGTGTTGTAGATATTCCTAATATTATTTCTATATTGTTGAGTGCTCTTAAATTTTCCAACAATAGTCTGTTTCATTAAAAATAAAATTCTTTCTCTTTCAGGCATACAGTACTTAGAAAATATAAGCTTGAGATTTTTAAGTCTGATTTTAATTTTGCTAGCTTGTATAATAAGACTCTTATTTTCACTCCGAATATTAAAAGCCCTAACACACTTTCCAAATTTCGGATCTTTTAAAATCATATCGGATAACATTTTTTTATTCCTTCTGTAATTTGTAGATATTATTTTAGTATTGTAAGAAAGAAGTTCTATAGCTTCTTTAAGCTTATTACATAGATCAAAAAGTAATATTACATTTTCTTCATAGACAAAATTGTTTTTAATAGCATTATTTACTAGCACTAAATCTCTCACAACCGTTTCTAGTTCAGTTCCAAAACCATCAATATCAATCATTGCCGTTTTCTGAATATAATCATCCAACTGTAAATTTGGAAAAGATTCTTTTGTTTTAAAATCTTCATATTGAGATTTCAAAGAAATATTATCTTGATTGCTTGGATCTGAGCCAGATAGGTCTTCTTCTGGAATATTGCTTAAATTTGAAGTAGATCCCATACAATTTTGCTTGCCATCACAAGAATGAGTACACACCCCATTATTACCTTCTCTCTCGCAATCTTGGCAATATCCTCCAACTGCTCCCAAAAGTTCTTCAGAAGTATTTACACTTTTTGTTTCAGAATCATTATTTTTAGTGTTAGAAAGTAACTTCAACTGAATAAAGCTCTCCTTAAAAAAATTTAAATCTTTCTCCTGGAAATAAATTTGAATGAAAAATAAGGTAGTTAAAACAATTACAATTCTCATTTAACTTTGCTTTAAACATACAAAAACTTTTTTCCTAAGAAATATAGTTTCAATCTAAAAAGTTCTACTCGGAATTTATATATATCATAGGTTATTCAATCGAATATTTCTCTCTTCTTATTTTACTTCAAAGTTGTTTAAACTAAAAACAATTTTTTGGTTGACTGAATAACGGATATAATTTTAGGTTGGCGCCTATTATGTTGATTTTACATGTTACAGCTACAAAAGAACAAGGTATAAGATAAAAAAAACAAAAAAAAAAATGAGGAGTTACAAAAAATTATTTGAAAATACACATCAGTTACCAATTTGCCACAGTAAAAATACTAGATTTTACAAAACAGTACTTGAAATTCAGGTTTAGTATTTTCTTTTTAATAATCTTGGGTTAGTTGATTTTAGCTTAGATTAATACATTAAAGATATATGGTAACCAATTTTTCCATGATTTTCCACATCTTTTTATATTTCCCGATTCTAAATCACTTAACTTTAGTTACACATATTATGAAATCGAAAAAAATAAATATATAGTTGATAAAAACAACACCCATTTGTTCCTCAAATACATGCATACGCTTGTTAAGTTTAAGAGTATCCATTCACCAAAATGATGACAAATTTCGAATCTGCACACATCGAGGAATAGAAATAAAGTCTAGATGTGTACACACAATAATTGCCGTAAAATAACATGACAATATGATAACTCAATTTAACAATCTTTATTTCTCATTCTGAATACATTTTTAAAAATCTCAATTTAATCTTCATACTCATCTGGCTTTTGTTCTTAACATATTAACACTGCTTAATTACCCCAGTTACTCATCTCAATGGAAAGCCTAGTTCATATTATTTGAGAATTATTAAATATCGAAATTTTCAAAGATACCTAGTTCTTGAGTTAAAAGCCTCAACTTTTAGAGGCTTTACTTTTAGCCTTAGTATCTTTTTGTTTTTTTTTTAGAACTATCTTCTGAATCTAAGAAAGGACTCCCTAGGATTCCTGGAACATTCTTTGGCTGTTTGCGAACAGCTCCTGATTCAGTACCCGTAAATGGACCAGAAGGAGATGTTTTCATATGTCTAGATAGAGGATGTGAATATTGGGTTTGTCTACCTTGGTAAGCATTCCTATTGCTCGAAGAACTAGCTAACATCTCTGAACCACTCAAAGAAGTCTTTCTGGAAATACGCGAAGAAGTTCTTCCGGAAACAATTAAAGGAGTTTTCTTGCTGATATGTGAAGAAGTTCTTCTGGAAATTGAAGTTGTTTTAACACTTGATTTTTGGCTTGGTTTCTGATTTATTGTGCTTGAAATTCCTCCATAAGGATAATTTAAGGGTTTGCTAGGAAATCCTTCAGGTGATATGAGAGTTGTTTCAGTAGCTCCTCCTTGAGTTCTTTTTGAAGAATTAGTTCCAGTACCAGTTTGAATAGTTCCTACAAAACCTGGCCTATATGAGCTAGATCTAGTGGCAGTTCTCCCAATAGAAGATTTCTTCTTGGAACTCTTTTTAGTTTTTGTACTACTTGAGTTTATATTACCCAAAGTTGACATATTGACCGACGTTATCTTTAATTTATTCATACATTCTTTAACAACAATTTGAGATGTAAGGAATTTCTCGTCTTGTTCTTCCAATTCAAAGAGATCATTAATAAGTCTAGTTGGCAAGGAATTCATTCTTCCATTAATTATATCAATACTTGATTTAATAATTGAATTATTCTTGCTCTTAGTAGATTCTATTTCCCTTAATTTTTGCAATAGAGCAGAATGTTTCTTACAAACTTCATGTTTCTTTTTACATTTTCTACAACTACGTTGCTTTTCAAGAATTTTGTCTGTAATCACAACTATTTCGCATTTAAGTAATAGGTTTTTGACATGATATCTGTTCTTTTTCGTAATTTCATTGTATAATGTAGTATATAAACTACTGAAAATGCTGGCATAAGATTCAGATTCGTACTTATTTGATGTTCCTGAAAAACAGTCTTCATACAAAAATTCCATTTTGGATGACAATAAGTTTTTAAGTTGAGCTAATTTTGATTTATGAGCAGTATATGCATTTGAATAATCCTGACATTTTACGCAGTTATTTGTTCCACAATTACAGTTTCTGAGATATTCTTGAATTAATTTGAGTTCTGTGATCTCTGAGTTAATATGTTTAACCAATTTTAATGATTCTGCGAATTCCTCTCTACATTTCTCAATAAGTCCATACGGAACCTCCGTACTTAAAACTTCTTGAGAAAACTGTTGACTTGCATAAGAAAGTGATTCTCTTAATATACTATTAATTTTTCTTTTGGTTTTTTCTCCTTCAAAAGCCATTTCTTGTGAGCCAAATCTTGAAGATGATCTTCTAGACACAGCAATAGCTTGATTTGCCAATAAATTACAGGCATTGAAGTTTTTGCTTCTGGAAATTCTTCTTCTAGTTATATCTCTAGGTTCAAAAGAAGCACTAGATTGTTCCTCTAAATCACTATCATGGTAATCTGCCTCAGGTAATAATAATTGAGGAGGGACAGCTTTGAAGGAAGGCTCTCTATTCATTCTTGTATTAGCCGGGGAGGTGGGAGAATCATCATCATAGTCTGGTGGAGGGAGAGAAAATGAAGGAGCACGGGAAGAGGTACCACCATAATTCGGTTGATTATTAACAGCATTTCTTTGACCACGCACGGAAGAGTTTGTTTTTTCATTTCCTGCCGAGTATGATAGAGAACTTCGTTGTATGCGGCTATCAGAAGGCGTTTTTGTACCTGGAGGTAACAAATAATTAAATGAGCCTTTAGGAAAAGAATTTTTCTTTGGAATAGTCTGCAGAAATGATATTGAGATATGAAGAGATACCTGGTGTAAGTCAATAACAAATAAGAAGAGGTAAATTACAATAAAAATAAACAGATTAATTTTAATGTATTTAAAACTCATTTTTTGAAAAATCTCTTGAAAAATGTTAATTTAATGCGGAACAAAAATTAAAGAATTATATTTTGCAATAAAACATAATAATTTGACAAAAATAAGGAACCTCGCCTAAGTTTTGGTTATATTTTTTAGCGCAAATACCTGACATATATGTTTTAGCTAGCACCAAATATCTATTTCATTAAGATTTTAATTCCGGGTTATAAAACTTTTCATAATATAATAATTATTTTTTTTCCCGAATTTTGGTTGAATATTGCTTTTTCATTTAATATTCTACGTTTTCATTTTTTCTCAAAGAATAGTTGTTGGAATCGCGTTTCACGACTTTTGGTCAAATTCCGTATTTTCGTATTGTTTCATTAACTATAGCTAGGATCATTTGTTAACCTTTTAGATATTACAAACTAACTACTTATACACTTATTTCTAATTTTTTTCCCTAAATTCATTTTTCCAAAAACATTAGAAAGGCACTGGCGGGCTATACATTAAGGGTATGTGGGGTGAGGGGTAAGCCAAAAATTATAATAATTGGAGAAAAATAAATTTTTGGCGGAAATAAAAGAGGTAGAAGAAATTCTTATTACTTTCTCAGATTTTTTTTTTGGTTTTAAGAAGAGATAACCAATAATTGGTGCAAGCTGGGAATCTACGAAATAACTATTTGTATCCTACTACCTAAGGGTTGTTGGGTAATAAAACGAGCTTATTAAGTATGCTAGCAAGAAAAGAACATGTTAGTGGAATTGGTGTGGGTGGAACATCATCGGGAGCGGTTTCTAGAAGGCGAAGATTAAGGAATGAAATTTCTGATGAGCAGAAACAGGAGATTAAAGAAGCATTTGAGTTATTTGATACTGAAAAAACTGGGAGGATAGACTACCATGAATTAAAAGTAGCAATGAGGGCTTTAGGATTTGAGGTAAAAAAAGCACAAGTTCTCGAGATTATGCGTGAATACGACAAATCAGGGAGCGGACAAGTTGAATACAAGGATTTTGTGGAGATTATGACACAGAAGATATTAGAGAGGGATCCTCGAGAAGAAATTCTTAAAGCTTTTAAGTTGTTTGACGATGATAATACTGGAAAAATTTCTCTTAAGAATCTTCGCAGAGTGGCGAGAGAGCTTGGAGAAAGTATTTCTGATGACGAACTTCAGGCAATGATTGAGGAATTCGATAAAGATATGGATGGTGAAATTAATGAAGAGGAGTTTATTTCAATAATGAAGCAGACTAGCTTGTATTAGGCTAAGTTAGAGAAAATTTCAAAGTAGTTTTCAAGTTTGAATATTGCAGAAATTGCATATTTCATTTATAAATTGAATTTTAGTATATACTTATTACAAATATTTAAAATAGATCAGATAATTAATGCTATTAATATTTTAGTTTCTTCAGTAATGCATTTTTTTTCTAACAAAAAAAAATACTAATTTGAATAAATAGCTTAAATAGTATTATGCGATATTTTTTTAAGCTAATTTGATTTGAATCAGAAGTTAAGATAGAAAATCATAAACTAGTGTACTTTATCCTGTGAATTTCATCCCTGCTGATATTGATTGAATCGAAATTTTAAGAGCATTTTCAATTTTGCTTAGTTCTATTTCATTTATTTGATCAGTACTTACAGATGAACTTAGAATTTTTCTTCTGCGATTAATACACTCAATTTGGACAAGATGACATGGAGCTAACCAGGAAAATCTAAGTAAAATGGCTTTTCTAGTAACAAAGTCAGAATCCAATAATTGTTTTTCTTTAGTTACTTCCATAACCAATTTAATTGTATCTTTAAGCTTTGAAATTAAAAGATTTCCAATCTTTTGTAACTCAGGAGGAGCTAAAATACGGTTATACAAGTCAAAGATATGTACATCAGCTTTCAACAAAATCATAGATACTAAATCAAAAAAGCTTTTTATAAATGGCCAATTTTCGTACATTTCTGTGACTAAATTTAATTTGTTTTGTTTCTTCATTTCTTCCAAAGCTGCACTTAATCCCAACCATACTGGAAGATGAGACCTAACTTGTGTCCAAGCAAATACCCATGGAATTGCTCTTAAAGTTTCAATACCTCCAGTTTTCCTCTTTGATGGTCTGCTTCCTAAGTTAAGCTCACTGATTTCTTTTTCAGGGGTAACATTTCTGAAGTATGCAACAAATTCATCAGAAGTAAAATCTGGGTTACCTTCACCAAAAACAATTTTTCGGTATTCTTTCATTGATAGATCACTCATTTGATCAAGTAGTTCTCTCCAAGAATCTTTAACTTTTGTTTGATATCTAAGATTCTTACTTAACTCACAATTATTGATATTTGGAGTATCTAGAGCACTAATTCTAGATTCCAAAATTGCTGAACAGTAAATCTCCCATGTTTTGAATGCTATTTCTGAAAGACCGAAAGATTGTGTGATTGCTTCTCCTTGAACTGTAATTCTCATCAGGGATGTAATAGTATTGGGAGGCTGGCTTAATATGGCTAAGTGTTGAGGGCCACCTCCTCTTCCAATACTTCCTCCTCTTCCGTGGAAAAAGACCATTTCTACGCCAAATCTTGTAGCAATATTTGTAAGTCTTTCTTGAGCATTATAAAGTTGCCATCCAGAAGTTAATCTACCTCCATCTTTACTGCTATCAGAATATCCAATCATTACTTCTACTATACCTTTATCTACAGTCTTAACATAATTTAAATACCATTCATTTGATAATAATGTTTCCAAAGTCTTTTCTGCATTGTTTAATGCTTCAACAGTTTCCAATAAAGGTACTACTCTCATTCTCTTTGATGCAATTGAGGATAATATAGCAGCTGAAGATTTTGGAGAATCATGAATGCTTGGAGAAATATTTCCGTTTTTGATTGTATCACTTTTAACTGCGGTATTAGATGCTTGATTGTTAACTGCAACATTTGAGTTGTTATTATTAGAAATGCTTGAGCTTCTTCTTTTAATAAACTTATTAAGATCGTGGATTTCTGCATGGAATTCGCTATCAGCACTAATTGTGGAAAAATATTCTTTTTGGAAAACATGAACACAAAGAATATCAGAAGGTTTCATACACATAGATATTATATAAGACCCCAAAGCCTCAGCTCCAAGATGAGAGCATTCATAGAAGGTATCTAGAATCTCAGTAGTTTCTTTGGACCAGTTCAGTCTGTAGGGAATTAAAGGTCTTTTAGATTTGAGACAATTTAAAAGGAATTCTTGTTTTTTTTCTTCAGGGAATTCAGAGTAATTTCCAATCTCAAGGTATCTACAAATTTCATCCATGGCTTTTTCATGTTTAGATGCTTCTTGACGAATATCCAATCTCATTAAAGAAAGTCCAAACGCAGAAATTTGTCTGATAACGTCCAAAAGTAATCCTCTCCCAAGCTTTGCCGATACTGAGCTTGACTCACTTATCCATGGAACTGAAATTTTGGTTCCAGGAAGAAGACCGTCTTTAAAGTTAGTCTTAATTTCCTGATCATAATCCTCCAAAGCATTGTACATGAGAATTAGTGGTTCAAGAATCTGTTCAGTTGAGTGGTATGCTAAAGCTCTTCTTGTTTCAGAGTTAACAGAGTGCCCAAAATTTAATGCATCCAAATAGTAATCCCTCGTTGCAATAAGTCTAATACGTATGTGATGTAAAAGTCTTCTATAAAGCTCATACTCCGAAATAAAGCCCATAAAAGGACGTAATCCCACTGTTGCATCGCTAGTGATACATCCAGAATTATTCAGGGAATCATAAGAAGTAGGCTTAACATAGAATTCAATATCTGGAAGATTTTCAACATAATTTTTTAACTTTTCATGAGCAGAAATGACAGGGATTTCATACATTAACTCTTCAATCTTGTGTAAAAATAAATTGCATGCTCTGAGTCTCATATTTATCACTGATAATCTGGTTACTTTGGCTGTAACATATGGATTTCCATCTCTGTCTCCACCAACCCATGATGAATATTTAAATAATGTTTTTGTTGGTGGTAAGGGTTCCATTCCAAAATCATTCAAAATTTCATCAATTTTTCTAAGAAAGGTTGGTAATGTACTAAAAACTGTCTCTTCAATAGTATTCAAAGTATTCTGAACCTCATCTACTGGTGTTGGCCTAGCTCTTCTAAGGGTATCTACATTCCATAGCATAGCCATTGTTCTTTGAAGCTCATGTTTTGCATTATTAATTTCAAACGGGGTTAAGTCATCTCTATCCAAATATATAATTATCCCTCCAATTTTTTGACAACATTTTATTACAGATATTCTTTGAGCCTGGGTTGGATGAGCAGTAACAACCAAATCAACTTCCTGCTCACAAATTGATTGGTAAATCTGTTCCTTACTAAACCCAGCCTGAAGAAGCTTTTTAATGGTAACTCTGAGAGAATGAGCAGATATTATATCTGTATTTGAATTTGGTTTATTTGACGCACAAATCTGAGATTGATCCAAGATTGAGGAAATCTCACGCTCGAATCGTCTGCATTGACGTATTCTTTGGGCAGATTCAGCATAGTTTGTAATCATACACATTTGATTAAATAAGGATACTACTAAAGTAAGCATTCCACTATCTAGATTCTTAATTTTGTTCCATAACTCATTCAAGGATGTGGCGTCTTCATTTTCTGCAAAATACATCGACAATTTAAGGATATCAAAAATCTTTTCAATACCTTCATTATTTGGACTCAAAGATCCCTCCGTATTATTTTTCTGCTTATTACCAGTTAAGATATATTTTCTGGAACTTCTCCAATGTGAGGTCACTAATCCAAACATATGTAGTTCAAGAGCTTTAATATCTTCGTTTAAGGGTTCGTTCAATTTATTCAAAATGACATCTTTCTCAGAAATTGATCTTTGAGGCTTCTCCAAAAAAGTGCAAAACTCATTTTTAAAACCTATTGGAAACAATCTACTTTCCTTTAATTCATTATCATCATTCGATAAAGACATCTTGATTATAGTTTGGTTGAAAGAGTTTGAAAACCTTTTAAAGTTAGCTTAATCTACGTAGAAAAACAAAATTCCCAGAGTTTTCACCTGTTATTTTGCGTATTTCCACTAAAATTCACTTCTATGGTAGTAAAATACAAAATCTTGCACACTGCAAATTACCTCAAATAATCGCGGCTCTTCTTCACTATCCTATCTAAAAATCTATTAATAGGTTTCTACCTGAAAATTATTTTGTTTAATGAGAACTAATTTTCGTAAATATTAACTAATATTTATCAAGTTTTACACTAATCAATTTTAATGGAAATTTGTTACAATTTTCTGTTTATCTAACAGAAAATAACTTATATAAAAAATTCGGAACTTTTCCCGCCAAACACACATTACCAATTTTAGATATTTTATTATTCATGTAAATATTTGCAATAGTAAATTTTTTTGAAAATTTAATATTCACTAATTTAGAAGGATAACTTTAAATGCATTTTTTATTATTCTATTTTTTTTATTTTTTCATTTGTAGATTTGAATTACCTACTTGTAATCAATTTTAATTGGCTCAAATACTGTCAATATAACAATTAATTGATAATGATTGGGCTAATATCTATTTACTTTGTAGTTTAAGATGGTATTTTTTTTTGTTTTAAATTAAAAAAAGCAAAATAAATTTTTACAGGAAATTTATTTTTTTTTTATATATATTTTTCTTTGTTTCTCTTTTCATTTCGGTTTATTAGGAATAAAAGGAAATGATGCATTTAATTTGGTTCAATATGAAAATGTTTTTAAATTAAGCAAAGAGTGGCAAATAGCAAACAGCAAATTACTGTAAAAAAGTTAACAATGTATTAAACTCAAGTTGATTTTCATCTAGATTGAAATTCAATTGAACTCTTGGATTGATCTGATAATAATTACTACAAGAATTAATGGGTAAAAAAGTACATAATATGCTTTATTTATATATGTGTGAATTAAAGCATGTAACAACACTAATGCATACATAAAAATATTTATTCAAAAATTGAATTTAGAAAAAATAATATCTAAACGGTGCGAAGCAAGAGAAGTTTTTGAACCTCATTATTTTCTACTTCAAATAGCAGATTTTTCTCTTTATTTGTTTATTAGAGTTTTTGTTATTTCAGATTTTTGATTTTAAGAATGTACAAAAAAAATGATTACAAGTTTTAATAGTACATAGCTATAATTATGATAACTACAGGGAAAAAGAGTGTGGACAGTAGAATGCAAGAGAAAAGTCAGACAGGGTTAATAGAGAACTTGGAGGCTGCAAACTATTATGCATTGATATATGCATTTCAAAAGATCTGGGCACTAATTATGGAGATAGTAATTGATTTAAATTAATTCAAAAAATTCTAAAATTCATAATTCAATCGATTAATATTAAATAAAAATTGTGGGTTGGATAATTATAATATTCATAGAGCTAATTAATTAACCGAACTTAATAAAAATAATAATAATAATAGAAATTATAACTATTTATAGTTTTAATAACATAAAAAATGACTTTAGACACTAAGAGACTGTTTTGTATATTCTATAATTGTCGAGTTATCGGTAAATATATTTAAACATGAGTTATTTACTGTTATTATTAAATTAAATACTCGTATATCCTTTCAAAAAATAGATCTTTTCCGTCAAGTTCTTTTCAACGATTTCCTCACAATAACTTTTTCATTTTTCCCATTTTTCAATGCAACATTCTTTCCAATTTCAAGATCATATATAATAAATTTTTAAAGTAAGCTAAAACGGGTCATTATGATAGAGAAAAGAATTATTTTTAGTAAATACTAAGATCTAGATTGATTTAATCTGATAAAGGTAAATTTAAAGCTTTAGTTATTTCAAGTATCTTTTTTTTCTAAATTAAAATCTAAATTCAACAATAAATTACAAATTATTAGAAATTGACTAGCTTCAAATAATTTTGTAAAGCCAGAAATGATATATTTATATATATTAATGAATATAAATTTAGTTGATAATCACTTCTAAGTGAATATTCAAGCAGTGTGTTAAATACTCAGTTGTTTTATTAGTAAATTCAGAAAGTAATAATCACAAATAATAAATTTTTGAATAATATTAGATAGCTTTAAACAGAGTGATACTTGTTTTTTAAAACCAAGCAATAATCACGATATAGCTGATCAAAAAAACATAATTGAATATTATATAATATAGTAATTTTAGCTTTAAGAAAAATACGGCAGGAATTAATGATCAACAGGAAAAATTCGCAAAAAAAAATTTCATATAGTCGTTGAGAAAATAATAGCAATTGGACAAAGTGATAGGAGTTTAATACATATTGTATTTATTTAACTTTCTGAGTGGCTTGTAATACCTTAAAATATAAGAGAAATATTTCTTTCAATTCTTTTTATTATTACTTTACTAAAAAACTATAGTGCCTAAGTTAGTTATAATCAAATGCCCTAGTTTAAAGATATAATTATCGTTATTTTAGTCTGTTAATATTTTCACACGAATCAGACTCAAATGTTAAGCAAAGTTTGCATTTTTAATTGAGGTACGCAAATGCATTCTTCTTTCCGTATAAAAAAACAGAACCTTATAAATAACACTGCATATAATTAAGAAACAATAGAACTAATTTCTGGAAGAATACATTGTTATTTATATAATTTTTCTTTTCTTTAAGGAAAAAAAAATCGAACATGCAAAAAATGAGGGTCAAAAGACAGAGGCTGGCGCCGGCGCCGGAATGTGGAATTATTTTAACAAAGTTGGCGGATGCAATATAATAGTTTGACTTGAAGAGACTTAAAGAAAAGTTAGGAATAAAGAGGAAATCTGAGTGAATTCTTGAACATGCCACAAAATATATTGGAGAATGAAGCTGAGAAAGCGGGTAGAACGTTGTCTTCTGGTTCGTTTTCACAGGAAGGAAATGAACCGAGTTCCTTATATACAGTCCCACTTTTATTATTAATAGGATTTGCACTCAAGAATGATAGTAAGAACAAGACTTTGGGCCCAGAAATAGCTCTAGATGAACAGCATAAGGAAGAAATTTTATCTTTAATACTAGAATCACGCCCAGCCGTCGTTGAATCCAGTGACTCCACAAAATCATTTGGTGGAAGGTTTGGAGCGGCAGGGTTTAGCTCTAGAGGAAATAGGGGTAGTCAAAGAGGACGAGTATTTAGTGGACAGGTAGGTGGAGGTGGAAGAAGAAGTATAATAAGGCAACCCAATGAAAATTTATGGGACATGCCTTGTTCTGAAATGAGTAGTATGACATTGGGTGATATTAGAGAGGCAGAGAACAAGATGAAGGCAGAGGACTTGACTTTAGATCAATATGTAGAGAGACAAAAGGAGTCAAGTGATAGGAAATCTGCATCATTTTCTCAATCTAATCAGAAGAAATCTTTTGTTTCTATTCCTATATCTGGAGAAGCTATTATAAATGTTAGCAGTACATTTTCTTTAAATAATAATCCCGTTAAAAATCACCAGGGCCACACTACAAGTAATGCTAATGATAATTTTCAGCGTAATTCGATCCAATTTAATCAACAGCACAACCAACACCAACAACCAAATAAAGACAATTTTATGAGTAGATTCGGCCAAAATGGCACATTAAATTCCCAGAATATTCTAAACGTCCAGCAAAACAGCATTAGTCATGAATTTAATACTTCGGTTGACTTGAGGAATGAGTTAGTTGGGGGTGAAAGGACAAATTCTTCACTTTTCTCTACGATTGCCAATAATAGGAAATCCTCATCTATCTCAGAAGCTTTTTTAAGCGGCCCAGCTAACTTATCACTCTTTGATGTTAACACTCCTATTTTTGATGACGACAACAATGAAACAGGAATAGATTTCAGACCACCAATCGTTCACAACAATGCAAATACAATAGGTAGTTTTGATGATAATAACAAGAATAAAGACACTTCCGAGGAATTAATGAGAGGACAAGCTCATTTTGAACAAGGAATTCAAAGTTCTGCTTCTAATTTCAGTTGGTCAAATAGAAACAGCAATAGTGAAGAAATAGATAACAAAAATATCAGTAATTTGTCAGATAATTCAACGTCATTTCCAGCCTTGTCAAAAAATTCACAATTTAGTCAGTCTCAAGTTAAAACACAAAATTCACACTCCTCTATATCATCAGAACCAAATATTCTTCAGAAGCTACATGCAGCTGGAATGGCGTCTAAATTGGTGGATAAGAATATGATGGATAATGTTGGCCATGGTAATTTAAAACACAATAGTTTTTTTGAAACAAAATTTAAACATAAATCAAATGGCAATGAGTATCCACCACTCTCATCTGCTTCAAATGCTGCACCAACCTCATTATCTTCTTCAATCTCTAATAACTTAAAGTTTAACAACCAATTAAAATCTAATGATGCTGGTAGACTGCTAATGTCTATAATTGGTGCTGGACAACAAAATAATAATAATAGAAGTTATGGATCTAACTTTAATGTTCGTAATAACAATCAACGCAATAATATTCATAATACTCATAATGCCCACAACAGCAACTATCACAATAATGGAAATCACCATAATGATCAGATAGGTAACTTTGCCAGATACTAAATTTGGCTTATAATTACTACATAAAAATAATTTCGATAAGTTATAATTCATTAAATTATTCGAATCCTCCTATGTAATATTAATTAGATACTTTAGCTATTTATTATTTTATAATTTAATTTTAATATTTTATTTCCTATACGAATTCTTTGGTTTTTGTATAATATGCAATTTTGTGTAATGGCGGGCAATGTATAATGATATTAATTGTTTTCTGTAATAGTATACCGCCTTTAACATAATGTAGAAGAAAGAAAAAAAAAACTAAAAAAAAATCAAGATTTGACTTGTTGGGTAGAAAAAAATAGTTTGGAAGAAGTTCACTAATTTTCAGAAGCTATTTAAACGAGTAGGCAACCTTTCACAAATTCAATGATTTTTTAAAAAAGAATACCATATATTTTTCAAGTTCATGAATTTTGGAAAACTATTTTTTTTTAATTATTTGGAACTCAATAATAGATAACAACTATATTCACTGAAATTCTCAAATAATTAAATAGAGAATTAATTGTAGCTGATTATCTTTATATAACTAATATAATAAATAAATATATTTATATATATACTCAAGTGTTAAGTTATAATATATAAAAGGTAAATGAAAATACACATTGTTGCAATCTATTAAAGATGGCAAGTAAAAAAAGAGAAAGTGAAGAACTCAAAGAGGCCATTACATCTTTGGAACAAAGAGTAGATGTTGCAGAGGTAGTATTTGGTAAAAAGTTGAGTTTAGGTGATTTATATAGTGAAGATGAAATTGAAAAGTATATTTCTGAGAATGTATTAGTTTCACCAGGCTGTGAAAGTTGCATTAGAATGAAGAATAGAGTGATGAGTATTTTGAGTGATTCTGAAAAATCTTTAATGGTTCAGGTATTATGGTCAGATTTAACGAATAACTTTACTTATAAATTTATTCCGAGACTTCTCTCCAAGCCATATAATATGGGGGAATTGGGTTCAAAATTTAACAAGGTAGTTGAGAGACTTATTCTTATGAATATTGAAAAAGAGGACAATATGATAAATTTACCAAAGGAAAAGCGAGGAAGAAGGGACGATTTCAGTAAGACATATATTTTGCCATGCCAACATCCTGGCATCTACTCAACAAATATTCAATGTTTGGCCCCAGTTGGATCTGACCAAACAGGATTAGTTATAATTGATGAGTTAAGCAGACTTTTACATTGCAAGGAACTCATTATCTGCCAAAAGTTTTTAAATAAAAGTCAGTTTCAGATTGGGAATCTGTACAGATACGAGTTAAATTCTTTAATATGGGGGGTAAACGGGACTATATACTATACAGGAGAAGATAATGAAGTAAATTATTTCAGTTCTAATAAAGAGACGCCACCGAGTGCTCATTTTAATATAAAGTATTCACATCCAGAGCTCTATCTGCCTTTATCTAATACTCCACTTACTTTTGTAAAGGAGCCAGGAGAATTAAGAAGAATGATAGACGACATTTTGAATTCAATGGAATCTTACTATAACCAAAGCAAGGATAATGAAGAGAATAATCCTTTTCTTCTTGCTATAGATGTTGAGCACCATTCTAACCAAAGTTATAAAGGGTTTGTTTCACTTATACAATTAAGCACAAGGACCCACGATTACATAATTGACCCTTTTAATCTCTTTAATGAAATTCAGATTCTTAATGAAATAACGGCCAATCCAAGGATTTTAAAGGTCCTTCATGGGTCAGACTATGATATAATTTGGTTACAAAGGGACTTCTCTGTCTATATTGTAAATATGTTTGACACCGGCCAAGCAGCCAGAATTCTTAATACTCCAGGAGGATTCTCACTTAAGAACTTGTTGAGCATATATTGTTCCCTGGACATTGATAAACGTTTCCAATTGGCAGACTGGAGAGAAAGACCTCTCACTAGTGAGCTAATAGAGTATGCAAGGGGTGATACACACTATTTACTTTATGTTTATGATATCATGAAAAATCTTTTGTTATTACATACACATAAGAAGAATGAATTTTCAATCCTAGTTTCTGATGCTTTTTTGGAAGTGAATAATGGATTTATTGTATTAAACCAAAACCATCTAGAAAGGTTTAATTTTGGCGATTTTGTCCAAGAAGGATTAACTAACGGTGAAAGTAAATTGATAAAACTTACAGATTTGGATCCATCAGCACTTCTGACTGTACTTCATAATAGTCGCCAGATTTGTTTAAAAGAATACTTTGAAAAGCCAATAGATATTTGGAATTTTTGCTTTGGAATTAGGACAAAAATGCCAAAGTCTAGTTACAAGACTCCCATAGATAGTGCAATTATCACCTTGATAAGTTATTATTTGTTTATTTGGAGAGAATCTCTTGCAAGGCTATTGGATGTTAGTAACAATTATATTTTAAAAGAGTCAATGATTATTAAAATTTGCCAAAAACAACCAATGAATAGTAACGAGATTCTTGGGTTATATCCAAATATACCAGCTAATATTAAGAGACATTCAGAATATATTTTGAACATTGTAACCACAGTAAAAAATTTTGTTACATCAAAATCCGAAGATGAACTCTTTGATTTTAACTCTTATATTTCTCATATTTACTCAAACATTGCGAATAATGATACTAATTCCAGTGACTCAAACAGGTATCATATCAAAAACAATTATAGGGTTGTTTCTAAGGATGATACGACCGATTCACAAGGTACATCTTGTATTAAGAAAAGTGATTCAGTTGGGATGGATGCCAACACTGATTCTAATAGAGTTTCCTCTTTGAAAAAAGAAGAAATCCCAAAATCTGAAAAGTCATTAAGTGATGTCTCAGCACAAGATACTCCAGTTAGTAGTATAACCAAGAAGAGATCTGTCATTATTAAGAAAAAAACTCCAGACTCAAATGATAGACTTGCCGATAATCTTTTTGGTAACTCTTCTAAAAATTACAAAAAGGAAGTAGATCCGAATGTTTTACCTTCAAATATAAATAAAGAAGAAGTTTCAAGTAGGATCATTCGGGGTATTAATGGTACACTAAATGGAGAAGTACCCAATGATTTTAGAAACATAAAGTTAAAAGACGCAATGGAAAGTAGTTCAACACCGGTTAAAAACTCAGAAAGTCCCAAAGAAGCAAATAGTAAAAAGAAAATAACTTTTGAGGAATACTACTCCGAGAAAACTGAAGAAGACTTATTTGAAGATGATAATTTTACTCCTTTAGTCTCAGTTAGGGATAAATATAGTGAAACTGATGATTACCTTTACAAAAAGCGAAAAACTCGAAAAATTAAAGTTGAAAATGATCAGGAAGTTCAAAATCTTAATCAAAACCCCTCATCCAATATTAAAGAAAGGCCTGAAGGCAATTCTCCTGACCTTTCTAGTATTATCAAAGAAAATGCAGACATTTTACCTGCAAGTTTTGCATGCAAATCTGATTTACCTGGCTTTGTTAAAAATAGTCAGAAAGAGGGAAATGCGAATAAATCAAAAAAATTTATTGAATCAATGAAGACTAAAAAGTGGCATAAGAAGAGGTAGTTATTTTGACTTAAATTCTTGATTCTATTGGGTCCCACTTATAATATTATTCATCCTTTAATACTTTTTTACATGCTTTTGCATTTTGGCGCAAATAGTCTAATAGTATTACTAATTATAAATATTTTAATTATTTCTTGGTATATTTATATTATAGTGAATAATTAGAGATATTTTTAGTGGAAAAGTACTTATTAAAATTGAAAAGTGAAATAAATAGTGGTTTTATAAGCTTGATTAATGTATATATTGGTATTTTTCATGTGGAAAACAGAGATTAGGTCACAAATATATATAGGAATTATAAATTCTAAGATGATAAGCTTAAGTTATAGTAGAATTTTTGAAGAGATTTATTTAGGTTTTTTTCGTAGTTAATAAGTTGCTTTAGATCTTCTATTCTATTTACGTAAGAAGTTTGATCTTGTTTTTCTAAAAGCATTAAAGCATTAATATCAGCTTTTAATTCAGAATTAGTTGTAATAATTTGACATATTTCCTTTTCTAAGGCAAATGATTCTGAAATAACCATGGAAAGATTATCTTCTAGTTCATCAATAATTTGTGAATTTTCTTGTTTTACTATATCATTTTCAAGATTAAGATGGAATAAGATATTCTTAAATGCAGATTCTTTATGTGTCTCAGAAAGTTCCTTTAAAAGCATGAATTCTTTCTTGTAAGGTACATATACGTATTTAGGATCATAAATAGAATTTGAAACGATATTTTCCAGATCTATATTTAAGTTTTTATTATTGGGATCCGAAACCAAATTAAGAATTTCATCATTAATTAACTTAGACATACTTTCCATCTCTTTAATAGTTAAAGACTCATCAAAATTGATAATAACAGGGTCTAAAAGCTTGGTGAAATCTTTTGTCATATTTTGGAATAACTCATCTCCATAAATGTCTGAAATAAACCCTGGTATTTGTTGTGGGTGATTTCTCATATCTTTATAAAATAAGTAAAGCATTTCTTTATTAATAAGATCCGAAATTTGTTTATGATTTGGCTCTTTATTTATGTCATTTTCATGCTGTTCTTGATCCATTCTTGAAAATACATTCTCCTTAAGCAAATATGGTCTCGGCAATCCAAGTTTAATAACTTGAGTTTCCTTTTCCCATTGGAGTCTTTTTCTCTCCTCTTCTTTAATTAGGTTTTCTCGTTGGATATCCATTTGATCTATCTTCTTGTTATTTTCTCTTTCTTTGAATTTTTTTTGCTTGTCTAAAAACTGCTTATTAAGAAATTCCAAATCTACTTCTACTTTGTTTTTTGCAGGAGGAAGATCATAAAGTAGGGATTTTGCTTGCATTTTATACATTTCAAACCTGGCTTTTCTTCCAATTGGATCCATAGAAGAAATACTACCTTGGTCTCCAATTACTGAATTAGAATTTAAGCTAAATCTATCACTCAAAGTTCGATGACCTAATATAGTGGAGATGTTGCTTTTAGAAGAATTTAAATCATTCAAATTCTTGACTCTTTTAGAAATGTAGCTTAAATTCATCTCTCTGTTAAACTTTTCATCTTGTAAATCTCCAATTTCATTACTTGGAATAGTAAATTTATCCATTTCTAATTGATTAAAAGGGCTTGGCTGTGAAATATCCATTAATATGGCTCTGGATTTCTCAATGATTGTACCTTTTTGTGGTTCAATCACTGAGTTAAAAACTTTAGAAGGCATTGAAGTGCTTTCTGAATATTTCAATACTGAATCTGAGTCATTTTCTATCTCAAAATTCATATTTGAAATAATCTTAACGTCATTTAATGTTAGTTGAGGTTTTGGAAGCTCCAATTTTCTTTTCTTTACAACTATTCTGTTTGGTTCCTCAAACTTAAACTCCACGGATTTTTTGTTTTGATTTCCTTTTCCAGATATTTTTGACTTGTCATTCTTGTTTTTTAAATTTTCACTCTTTGACTTAATCTTTAATCCCTCAAGTTCTGCATATGAAACTCTATTTTCAGTTTTTATGGAATCTTTATCCATTTTAAATGCACCTTCTTCTGGTACTTCTTCAAAGGGAATTTCATTTAAGTAATCAACCCCTTTATATTTCTTTTTTCTATATCTCATAATAGAAGCATGAGAAAGCATACCAGCAGCTTTTAGCTCTCTTCTCTTTTGGAGCATAGCAATTCTTCTAGCTTCTTCTAAATACCTCTCTCTAGCCTTTCTCTTTGCTTTTCTGCCATTAGTATTAGCTAGTCTGGCTCTTGCTTCTGCCAACATCTCAACCTCTTCTTCATCCATATCTATAGAATCAGGTTTACTTGGTTTTGTCTCTGGATTTGGATCTATTTCTCCAGGTTTTAATAATCTAGGATCCAGCTCTTTTGGTATTTGTTGTCCTGTTGCTCTATCAAGCAATAGCTCATAGTGCTCCAAGCATTGATGAGCTGTTCTTCCAACTAAAGGTGCTATAGTCCTCCACTGGCAAGGAAAAAGTTTAGCTAAATGTAACAATTTTTCTTCTTCTGCCCTTGACCATTCAGTTTTCTTCACTCTCGGGTCTAGCCATTCATACCATCTAGATTTGCACTGTTTAGCAGATTTCATAATTAGAAGAGAGGCTACTCTTGACCAATTATTGAGGCCATACTTCATTACAGCTGCTTTAAGTATCTCATCCTCGCTGTTTTTCCACAGCCCTCCATTTTGTATCATACTCATCTTTGTAAATTTGGTTTTAATTAATTATTTTTTCACTTCAAAAGCGCTTGCATACAAATATTATCATTAATACAGATGTTTACTTTATTAAGGATTTTGAAATATGTTCATTAGTATCATATAAATAATAATTGATGTTATGAAACAGAAAAACTGTTAAAAAATAATAATATTATTATTATGCCTAATGCTTTTTTTTTTGTTTATTTTTCCCTTAAAATTTTCTCACAAATATTGATTTTTGGCCAAATATGGCGCCAAATACTCTTTAATATAAAGTATTGCTTGTATTGACCAAAACAAATCTTAGAATACAAAAAAAATATTGAATATAATATTTTTGGAAGAAACCAGAAATATAAAAGGACATATAGTACTAAATTTTTGAGAGCTTGCTTATTTTTAGAAGATCATTAATGCAGAATAATGATATCTAATCCATTACTTAATTTAAATTTGTCTAATGATGACATTCAAAAATCGGAAAAAAATAATAAAAGATTGACAAAGAGTCAAAAAAAGGTGATTGCTCGTGAGAACAGAAAATTGAAGTTAAAATCACAACGTGTTGAGGAAAGGAAAAGACAAAGAAGCCAGGCTTCATTACAAAGAAAGGAATTTTTAAATTCCATGACTGAAGATGAAAGACGTTCATATATATTAAGAGAACGTTTTCTAGAAGAGCATAAGAAATTTTTTCTTTCAAAATTTTCTATTTCTCAATTTTCTGATTATAAATTTGAGAAAACAGGTAATCCACATATCTGTTTTAATTTTAGTTTTGAAAACAAAATGACTGAAAAAGAAATGAATTCTTTAATTCGCCAGATCTCGCTTTCTAATAGTTATATGATGAGATCTCTAAAGATTGTTGATACTGAGAACCCCGATTCAGATGCAATGAAAACTTTATTGGAATTAGCTCCTAATTCAGAAACATCAAAGTCATATTATAATAGGTTCAATTGGAAAGGGTGGGTTGATTTTCACATCTCTTCAATTAAATTAGATGATGAATTTCACAAAATAGGTGTCCAAAAGTATTCTATGGATAAATGGTTTATGAAATTTCATGAAAAGCCATTTTGGGAAGTTTTTCCTTTAAGTCAAATAGTAGTCCTTTCTCCTGATTCATCAGAAGAACTCGAAGAATTTGAACCTGATAAAATATATATTATTGGAGGCCTAGTTGACAGAACAGTTACAAAATATGAATCCTTAAATCAAGCTTTAGAAAAGAAATGTATATGCAAGAAACTGCCTATAAAATCGTTAATTAGCGGTAGAGCTAATTGTATCTTAAATGTAAATACAGTAGTTGAAATATTAATTAACAGGTATCACCAAAACGATTGGAAAACTTCCATTTTACAAGCTATTCCTGTTAGGAAAGCTCAAAATCATAGTAGAAGAGCCATTAAAAAACAGAAACTCACAAGTTCATCATCTAATTGAAATATATACTAGTTTAATCGTACACTCATTTATAGTTATAATATTTTTATTTACTTATTTTGACAATTAGTTCAAATATTTAATCGATTTCACTTAATTTTTTTTTTCTAATTTATTCTTTTTATCCACATAAACCAAATATTTTAATTTAGTTGCACACAAACGTAGTGAGTGTAATCAATACGATTTATTACTATGAAAAGAGAAAGATGAGTATATAGGATTTCAAATAGATTCGTAATTAAATTTTGTTGTGCTTCTTCTTTGAAAAACAAGTAAAATGTAACTAAAATATATAATTTTTATACTAAAATATTTAATAATGCATTTGACTATAGACAGGCGGGACGTATACTAGTAAATAAATTAAATAATAAAGGATCTTAAAGTAAAAATAAGACTATATGATAAAATAATATAGATCATTAAAAGGTAAGTATAAGAGAATATAGAATAGATACTTATAAAAGAAATCCTATTGAATGTATTGGATGGGATGTTTTTTAAAGAAATAGACCCGAATTAATTTTGTGGAAAGTATTGAACATTTAATTATACTTTTATAGTAGATCATTTAAAGAAGTGGGGAGATTCAATTCAAAAAAAACAGAGAAATATTACTAATCACATGATTATAGATTGCTCTATTTAAGTATTTCACAGTATAATAAGTGAATTGAATTAATTTATATTATATTCAAATATTGTATATATAATATAAATAGTTTACTAGACCAAATAAATAAGGATGATGTGGGGTCATCAGCAGGCATATAATGTTATTGTGGAAATACTGGAGGTTCAAAATTTGGTTTGGCCAATAGATATTGCTTTAACAGATAAGAAAGGGAAGATTGATGCAAAACTACCAAATCCACTAGTAGAGGTAACAATAAAAAATGAGAGTTACTACACAGATTCTAAAGAAGCAACATCATCATGTGCATTCAATCAAACCTTTTACTTTCAAAATATGATGTTGGATTCTTCAGAATTTCAGAGATCAACTGTGGAAATTAGAGTTCTGAATCAGGGTTTTTTCAAGCAGGAATTGATTGGAATGTATACTGGCTCTTTTGAAAAAATATATAGCCTTCCAAATCACAGATTATTGAAAACTTTGGTTCCAATAACAATACCTGAAAGGCCATCAATACCTTTGGGATACATTCGATTATCAATTTATGTTTTAGGAGAAAATGATTTAGTAGCTCCAGAAGACTCTTTTGGTTATAATGATGATTCAGTTGGTAATATACTGGCAGTATCTTCTCATTCTGTTCCTGCTCCTGAATTAGCAATAACTTATTATCATTTGAATTTTAATGTTCATTTAGCAAGAGATGTTTTACTTCCAGATTATGCAGATTTGTCACACCAAGAAGCTGATGGTTATTTACCGAGTCCATTTGTAAGGATAGTGGCTTTAGATAATGCTTTAGAAACAGAAATCATTAGATCATCTCCATCACCTGTATGGAATGAAACTTTGAAGTTCCCTGTTGGGATTCCATGTCTGGATGATAGAATTGTACTCGAGTTATGGGATGCTCATGGCGGAGGAGATGGACCAAGATTAGTAGCTCAAACAAAGTTAAGTTTACAAGATATTTTACAATCAGAGCTGGGTCCAACTTGGTTGCATTTCTATGGACAAACAACTGGATTGAGAGGTAGTGCAATTGATATCAAAACTGTGGCTTTAAATTCATTTAACTCTCAGAATAATGGCGATCAAAGCCAATTAAGAATTCTTCCTGCTACAATACGGAGTTCAGGATTTGGAGTCCTGGGAATGTTTGATACAAAAAATGTCACGTCTTTTCCATGTGTTGCTTATTTGGGTCGTTTATTGGTTTCAGCAAGTCTTACAAGAATACCAAACCCAACTCCTATAAAAACTTCTGCCCAACCTGTTGAAATCCCAAAAACTGATCCATATTTATTTTGGGCTGATATCTATGAAGTAAGTGGATTGGGGCTACCTTCTGAAGTATATATTGAATTAAGTGTGGGATCATGGAGTTATTGGGTGATTCCTAACTTCCAGAAAAAGATTTCTGATTCATTTCCCTTCTGTGATAAACTTGGAAGAGTTCCTGATCAGAATTTTGCTTTACCAGAAATAGATATGAGCTCAGATTTGTTAATTAGAATATATACAAAGGATGAATCGTATAATAGACCTTTGTTTCATTCTTATATTCGAATTTCTGCCAATGAAATGCTTAGATATTCTTCTGATAGGCCAAGATGGTATCCATTATTATCAGCAGCTCATTATGGTGTTATGGTAGGCCAAGATATACCTTATGATGAAGCAGCAGCTTTGTCCCATATTAAACATTATGGGATGTTATTAGGATCTTTTATACTTAGAAAAAATGATCCGGAAAAACAATTTGAATATTTTATTCCATCATTATCTAATATTAAAAGACCTCCAAGAATTAATTATAACTTATGCAGATGGATTTGTAGAGCATATATTTTTCAAGCTATAAGACTTCCTGTTGTTGAATCTACCTTACCAGATTCCTTAGTTATGGTTACTCTTGGAGGTGGTACAGTTTTAACAGAAATTATCCCAAAGACAGTAAATCCAGATTGGCATGAAGCTTTGGTTTTTGATGCTGCACTTCCTGATGATCTTTCAATTGCACAATGGTTAAATATTGCAGTCTTACATGAGGACATTGTTTTGGGATCTGTAGCTATTTCTCCTCTATATATTGGATTTATGAAAAAAAGTAGACCAGAATGGTTTATTTTACAGACTCCAAGAACACCAGAATGCAAGGCAAGAATATTATGTGCTTTTGAGCTTGTTAAAATAGGGGATATGACTGGTAATGTTTTATTTTCTTCAATATCTAATCAATTAGAGTTAAAGAATGGTGAAAATGATCCAAACTTTGATCTAATTAATAACTATAAGGCTTGGTCAATTCCAGATGTAACCCCAAAATATGTTCCTTGTGATGTACATCTTTTTCTTATAGGAATAAGATTAAGAAATCAAAATGATTCAAATAATAACTCAATATTTTCCTTATCATCAACATCAAAGCCAATAATTCAGTTTGAATTTGGTAGGGATCCAGAAAAACCTGAAAATAGATTATGGGTTCAACAAGCTACACAACCAATACTTGGTGGTGATTCTGGGAATTATAATTATTTAAAAAGTTTATGTTTGAAATGCCACATACCAGCTTCTCCAGTATTTCAAACTTATATAGAAATCCGAGTTTTAGAGCCAGTAAATGTATTTGGTACTAAATGTAGAGAATTTGGTACATCTTATTTACATTTAAATCATCATCTTCCATGGATTGAAGAATATCACCAAAGATCATTGAAAACAGAATTTCAATATTTACCTCCAAAACTGGTAAATAAAAAATGGTTGAGTTCTGGTAGAAAATTTTTAAGTAAATATTATAGAGGACCATGGAAATTATGGAAAAATAAACCTAGAGAAATATTATCTCCAAAAATAAGTATTAGAGGAGCTAATTCAATATCATCTATGATAAAAACTTCTTCAAGATCATCATTAATATCATTACCAAGTGGTGAGATTATTGAAAATGTTTCAATTAATGATGATTGTTATGATTTTGATAATTTACGTAGAGAAATGGGTGATTTAAATGAAATTAATTCAAGTGAAGGATTAAAAAGAAATGAAGGAGGAATTTATGGTGAGGATGAAGATAATATTATTAATGATGATGAATTATATTGTGGGAAAGAATTAAGTAACCAAAAATTTAAACAAATTAATAATGAAAAAAATACTAATGATCATTTTGATGATTTCTTTGATATATTTTATGATCAATCATCTTCGGTACTTGCAGATACCGGTCAATTTACTAATTCCAATAATGGTTTACTAATTCCAACAGATAATAAATTTGATTTGGGTATACCTAATATATTACAAGACTTATTATTTGGTAATAATATTAATAATCAAGAATCAAAACAAGGTAATAGTAATACAATTAATAATTCTGATAACTTGGATCAATTAAAAGAATATAAACCTTTTGATTTTATTAATTCTCCAGAAACATTATCAAATTATCTTCATATAGGAGAAGAAGAATCATTTATAATTGACCCAACATTAAATATTCCAATACATGATTTAGAAGCATTAAATTCTTGTATATCATCAATGGAAGCTTATATTAAGCCTTTGAAAAATAATCAAAAGAATATGAAAGATGATGGAAATATAGAAAATATTAATCCATATTTAAACATGGCAAAAAGTATTAATTGGGGAATAAAATCTCAATTATATGATTACTCAAATACAAAAAGAACACATGGTACAAATAAAGAACAGTTAGATTTATATTTTACTTATGGATTAAGAAAAAGTTCAATTAATTATAATATGATTGGAATAGAAGAAAATGATGATTTTAATGATTTATATGAGTTAGATGATGATGAAAATGATTATCAGGATGAATTAAATCATGATTATGAGACAGAATTAGATATGGATGAACTTCCATATGATTCTGTACCAATAATATCAGCTAATAGAACTGGTGAAGCAGAAGTAGTTGGATTTATTAAGATATATTGTAAAATATTATCAAAATTTTCACTAAATATTAACAAAAATAAGAAATTATTAAATGAAAGTAATGTTGATGTTAATAGTTTAAATAATACTGAGAATGATAAAGTAAATATTCAAACACCAATACCAAAGTTATTACCATTATCTTCAAGAGAACTAAAAGAGTATAATGAAAGAAGAGCAAGTATAGAACAATATAATCAAAATCAAATAGAATCAAGATTGGATAATGATCATTCTAAAACTAATAAAAACTATTCTGATATTAATTCTAATTCTTCTAATTCTAATAATACAAGAGGAAATAATTTATTATCACTTTTAACAGATTCACAATACACTGATAATAATTCTTCAAGATTATCATCATTATCAATCTCACAATCATCATCATCATCTTTTATGACTAAATTACATAATAGAAGATTTTCATTATCATCATTTGATGGAAGAGATAGTATTACATATATAAGTAGAAGTAATAGTTTAAATGGTGATAATAATCATAATATAAATAATGAAAATAATTATTATATGATGAATAATGATAATGGTTCAATTAGTTCAGAAATGAGTAATAATAGTTATATTTATGATCCAATATTGGAAAAATTAAAACGTCAAATATTAGAAATACCACGTTTTAAAGTACGTGTATATATATTAACAGGACATGGGTTTGTACCACCAAAACAAAATTTTAGAAATGCATTAATTTCATTAGGTGGAATTGGTGGAAGTTCTGGAGGTAGTAATGAAGCTAATTGGTATATAAATGTTAAAACAGGTTCGAATACAGGTAATAATATTTTTGATGGAGGAGAAGGAGGAAATAGTAATATTAGTGGAGGAATGATTAGAAATGATATAATATTATCAAAAGGAATGTTTGAAATAAATGATTCAGAAAGTATATCAAAAGGTTTTTCACCAGATTTCTACAAATCTTATGAGTTAGATGCAATATTACCATTAAATGCTTTATTGACAATAACTATATTTCATAAGAATAATAATAATAATTTAACAACATTATATGGTAGAACATATATAGACATTGAGGATCGTTTCTTTCATCCAGTTTATCAAAAAATGATATTAAATTTGGATTCATTACAACCAATAGAGATTAGACAATTATATGGAGTTGGAAGTAATTCAAATGAAAATAATTTAATGCAAAATTCAGTAGGAAGTTTAAGATGTTGGATTCAAGTATTACCTCCAGAAATAGCAATAATAAGACCAATTTATCCATTAAATCCTCCAACAGTAGAAATATGTCAGGTTAGGGTGGTAATATATAGACTAAGAAATATACCAGTTTCAAAATTGGTGAATAATACAGGTATGTCAGGTATATTAGCATTTGGTGAGCCATCAATATCATTAATGGTAAAAGGATTAATGTCACCTAATAATAATACAAAATTAGAACAAGATACGGATACACATTGGAATAGTAGTGATGGTACAGCAATATTTAATTGGAGATTTGTTTTTAATATACCAGTTCCATGCCATTTTCCGATATTACGTTTACAAGTATGGAATAGAGGATTATTAGTATTTGGAGATGCAATATCAGAATGTTCATTTGATTTATCAAGTTATTTATTAAGATCTAGAAAACTAAATAGTAAAGTGAATATTAATAGAACTTTAATAAATATGTCTCATCCAGCTAGGCCAAATGAGAAAAGAGGAGAAATGGAAATTGAAATATCAATATTACCTTTATCATTAGCTGAATCATCACCAGTTGGAATAGGTAGAGAAGAGCCAAATAAAGATCCATATTTACCAGATGTAACAGATCATAGGAATTATATAACAACGAGTGCATTTGGAAAGGGATTCTTTTCAGCTACTTCAAATGTGAAATGGGGAGCAAAGCTAATGACTTGGTTAATTACAGCAGTAGTAATAATAACAATATTATCATTATTGATAAAACTATTTAAATAGTAATTAATCAAAATATAAGCAAGAGTATATACATTTATAAAATATAATATAATAATATAGTTATTTAAAATTGATTACTAGTTAATAAAAGAGAAAGGATTTCTATCAATAAAATCTTTTTTATTATTTTGATTTGGATTATTGTTTTGCTTGTATTTATATTGGATACCATCATTTGGATGAAAGAAATGGTGGTTATTATTAGAGTTACTAGTTGGTTTTTTGGTAAATGAGTTTTGATTTGATGTATTATTATTATTATCATTGTTATTGTTATTATAGTAGAGATTATATAGTGATTGATTAACCCAAATACGATCAATATATTTATTTTTAATAAATTCCTTGAGGACTAGGTGGTTATTAGAATTTGGTGGAGGTTTTAAGGAGGTAATATTTCCATTTTCGAGAAATGTTAAGTAATCCTTCTGTAATAAATTATAGAAAAGAAAAAAAAAAAAAATTATTGTAGATAATTTGTAAGTATTAGATAAATTAATATAATAAGCTTACTTTGTTTCCATGATTACATATAAATTTTATTTCATCAAGTGTCCACTTAGATAGGGATATTCCTTTAACTTTATGATTAAATTCTCGGCTGAGTAAAGAAGTTAAAAATTTAAAAGTCAGAATCAATATTAAAAAAAAAATAACTTACTGAATGCCAGAACATATTGAGCATACAAATGTTCCAAAATCAATACAAACATAGTTGGGTCCAATCTCATTACAATTAGCACATCTTCTATTTTCAATACAACTCTTTTGAAAAGACCTCAATCTTTCAAGTAATTTAGTTTCATCCAATATACAACTCATAAAAACGGTAGCATTAAACTAATAATAATTATTGGAATTTATGATTTTTTAATTAATAAAAATATTTGAATTAGAAAGAAGAGAAAAATGAGTGGGATGTATGTATATATATATTTATATTGGGCTTAAATAAGATTTTTAAAAATTCTTAAAAAAAATGAATATTTTCTTTATGAGCCAACTTAAATAGATTTCTATTCCATAAAATTCAATGATATACTGATATTTAGTTTTCTTAATTCTATTTTCTTTAGTTTTTTTTTTTTTTAGTTTTTTTTTGTTTACATGTAATTAATATAAATAATTACATGCTTAAAGGCTGGCGGGAGAATTTGCCGCCAAAACTTCAAGAAACTATGTAATAAAGTAAAAAGTAAGGTTGAAGGAGGAATAAGGAAACAATAGAAAAAAAGAATAGGAAATATTATTAAGAAAAAGATTTGGGAAAAGGATTGTATTGACTGGATTATAGTATTAGGAAAAGGCCACTTTGATTTTTTTTCATTATTTTTAATTATTATTGATTTAATTTGCAGGTTACTGGAGTAAAATTAAGGTATAAAGAAATAGTGGTGAAGAATAAAATTCTGGTTCAAAATAATTTTAGTTGGCTTAATAATTTTATTTTTAAACATAATTGGATGCTCTTGAATGTTATGTAAATAGTATTATTTCAAGTAAAAAGGTGGATGTAATATGAATGTATTAGATGTGGGAAAGTATAAAGGGAAAACGTTTGAGTATATAGAAAGGAACGATCCTGGATATTCAAAATGGGTTCTTAGTTTAGAATCTCCAACAAATAGAACATTAGAAGCATTTTCAAAGTATTTGAGAAACAAGTCACCAAACGGGAATATAAAAAATGATTTAGGGGGGTTCTCTGCTAAGCATAATTCTGGAGAATACACTATAATTAATAAATCAAAGACAGGGAATAGCTATTCCTATTTGGAGTTAAGCAAAGAAGGGGTGCCAAACCTAGTTATTGATTGTAAAAGTGAAAATGGTAATTTCAAGAACCAGAGCATATCAGGAGAATGTGTAGCAGTGGTAAAGAATTTGAAGATGGATATGATCAAAAACAAGGAATTAAAAGCTGGAGATATTGAGGAAAGCTTGGAAGCAATTTATTCGAAATCTGATGTAATACAAAATAATAATAATAATGAATTAAATAGTATTTTATTGGATAACCAAGATGATTTGGAAGATATTTTACAAAAATGTGATAAAGAACTTGAAATTCTAGTTCAAAATACTACAGTTATAGCAAATGGATTGAATACTATTTTGTCTTGTGCAAAAATGAGATTAGACTGTGGTGTTGTATTTTCATTAGTTAGCCCTACTATGTTTAGAATATCATCAGAAAAGAATAATAAATCCCAGCTTTCTCTTCCAAAGATGCTTGGAGATTACTTGAAAGAATATAAGTTAAGAGAGAATATTGTATCAAAAAAGATGAGGACATTACATACTGGAATGCAGGGAATAGATTTAAAACCATATAGTAGTTCATTTATATTTCCAGGTATATATTATGATAAATTGATCAAAAGCATTTCAGATAGATTTGAATGCCAGATAATTCCGATACCTGAATTTATTTTAGATAGATTTCCAGATTTCAAAAAATATGAGATTGAAGATTTTGATGCTGATTTTGAGAAAATATCTAATTTAACTCCTAAATACAATCCAGAAACAGTAGATTTACCAGATTGTAATTTATGTAAAGGATGTATTTACGATAATGTATGTTATAATTCATTAAATCATTTGAAATGTAATTATCCAGAATTATTCAATTCATTGAGACCATTTCAGAAAGTGGGAATTTTAGTGGGTTTGAAGAAACATGGAAGAATACTAATAGGAGATGAAATGGGTTTAGGAAAAACTCTACAAGCTTTGTCTATAATAACATACTTTAGACAGGAGTGGCCTGTATTAGTAATTTGTCCTTCTTCAATTAGATTTCAATGGTATCAACAAGCTTTAGATTGGTTATCACCAGAAATAAATAAGTCAAATATAACATTAATTCGTACAAGTAATGATACATATAGTAGAAAATCAAATATAATAATAATTTCTTATGACTTAATAACTCGGAATGAACACTTTAGATCATTTTTTGGTAGTGATTTCCAAATAGTAATTGCGGATGAATCTCATTTTCTCAAGAATTCCACAGCAAAAAGAACTCAAATGATTGTTCCTTTACTTCATAAAGCAAGAAGAACTATTCTTCTGAGTGGAACTCCTGCATTAAATAATCCAACAGAACTTTATGAACAAATAAATGCAATAGTAAAACCAAATCCTCAATTTTACTCAAATAAAAGAACAGAAAAAAAGAACAAAACAAAAAGTACTAAGGATGAGTTAGATACTAAAAAGAAAAAAAAGTCCAGAATAAAAAAACTAAGTTTAGACTCAAATTCAGAAATGGATTCAGAAAATTCGGATGATATCAGTCTATTTAAAGCTTTTAATGGAAAAAGAATGATAAAAAACAATCAAGATATTCAAAGACAGGCGAATGTGGTTTCTCCAAAATTTCCAAGTTATTTAGACTTTGCTCAAAGATATAGTGATATTAGAACAAACAAATTTAGTCACAGAAAGGAATTCTATGGTAGTAGAAATACAGAGGAATTACATTTATTTATAAGAGAATCAGTAATGATAAGGCGTTTAAAAAAACAAGTTTTACATGAACTTCCTCCTAAACAAAGGAGCAAGATTCCATTGGAAATTAGAGATAAAGCAGGAATTAAAAAAATTCAAGAACTTCTTGCAGATCCCAATTGTCAAATGGACTGTTCCAGTTTTGATGAAAATGATTCTTCTATGTGTAATCTTCATAAACTTACTTGCGAAATTAAAATTAACCCTGTTCAAGAATATATTGAATATTTACTGGAATATAACGATGATAAATACGTAATATTTGGTCATCATCACGTAATGCTGGATGCTATTGAATCAGTACTTTTGAAAAAAAGAAAAACTGGGGCATGCAATTCAGGCGGGCCATTTTTATTTATTAGAATAGATGGTAAGACCCCAGGTAATAAGAGAGAAGATTATGTAAGGGAATTTCAAAATAATGAGAATTGTAAAGTTGCTTTGCTTTCTATTACAGCTTGTGGTCAAGGTTTAAATTTAACAAGTGCAGGCACTGTAATATTTGCTGAATTATATTGGGTACCAGGCACAATGTTACAAGCTGAAGATAGATGTCACAGGATGGGTACACAATATTCGTGTATTAATATTCACTATCTCATAGCTGAAGAGACTTTGGATGACAAGATGTGGGGAACATTATGTAGAAAACAGAAGATTATGGCATCAACACTAGATGGAATAGATCAAAGAAAGAATGATATTCAACATTTTCATTTTAAGCAAGGACTTAAATAAATTATATATAATGGAGATTATTTTCAATTAAAAACTAAGAATAATAAATTTATTTTCTTTGCTAGATCTGTCTTATTTTGCGAATGGTAAAAATAAGAGCTAATACAAAGAATCATTATCTCGTATTTACTATTTACATAATATTCTAGGTAATTATTACTAAAATATACCAAATTTTCTTTTTTTTTTTTACAAATTTCTTTTTCTTTTCGAATAAATATGTATAGATAAAAACTTCTCATGAATTACTGGTAAAATCTCTGTTCATTGTTATTTTTACTTTGTTTAATTTACATTTAATTTGAGATAAATTTAGTTAGAGAAATGTCACATTAAGAACAATTATTAAAATTGTGATTTGGCGGGAAAGTGTGTGGATGATAAGCTGGCCATTAGTAATAAAGAATTGTAAGGTATTAATAAGAAAAATAATGAAGAAAAATAATATTGATAATAATAATACTAATAATAATAAAAACCAATAATAAAAAAATATTTGCGTAGAACAGTAAGTAAGGATGAATTAAGTGAAAAAGTCAAAAAAAAAAAAAAAAAAAAATCAATCAGCTCTGTTCTTTCTTCTTCTCATATTATTAGATGATACCTTATTGTCTTCATCGTTTATAGTGGTTTCTTTGTTTTTTTTAGAATCATCAGAGTTGTTATCTGAACTTGATGATTGACTTGATTTTAAAGATTTTAACTTTTCTTCTCTTTCTCTTTTTCTCATTGATGAAATTACATAAAACGCTCCGACAATAGTTAAAACAGTGACGATGTACATTGAATAAGTAGTAAAGTCATCCATCTCTTCTGGTCTATAAAAATAAGCTTTCCATAGAGCTGCAGAAGTTGCTGCTCCAATTGCTACCATACTTACATATTGGATATCGTCAGATTCGGTTGAGGAAATAGGATCAGCATCAATCATACCATACAAATTCCATATATCAGCAGTTCTAGTACTATTTGTTGTTTGAACAGTACTTTCCTCAATTTCCTTTACTTGGATTTTTTCATTATCATCATTATTTTTGGAATTAGTCATTCTTTGAAATTTAAAATGTATTTAACTTGGACTCAAACTACAACAAGATCAATTAAAGAAACTTTAGAAGATAATATTTATTTTATATCAAGAAAAATCAAATATAAAATAAATCTAGAAATAGTGTTTAAATTTTACAAATAATAAAAATAATTTTTTATTTAGCATTCTCTTCTTTGTCTACTAAAATATATTATCCAATTCAAGTTTTGACATTTTACCGCTAAAACCACTCTTGTTATTTTTCATAATTCTGTAATGGTTAATATAAATAAATTGGCGCTATAATAATACATGCAACAATCAAAATAAACTTATTGGCGCTTCAATTTGCACGTCAAATTTGGCGCCAACTTTGTGAATTTTAACTAATTAAAATTTTGAATTACAGGAGGAAAAATAAAAAGAAACAGACTAATTCTTTTTTCCTTAATTTTCACTCATTAAACTTTAGATAAATGGATTATCAAGGTTCAAGTATCTGTTTGTGTTAATAATGAATTAGTTGTTAATATATTTATATAATTCAGTTAATTTATTGCTTTCCTCATCTAACAATAACTTAATATTTGGAAATATATTTAAAATAATAAATTTTGAATTGGAGTAGGAATTATATATATTTATATCGGGAATACAAATTATTCTTTATACATTGATTTTAGTTTTTGAGTTCACTTAAACATATACACATAAGTATCATCTTTATTTTCATATAAGATCTGAAGGTAAAAGATCAAGAAAGTGAAAGAAGTGTGAACAAGAAGAAGAAAAGCAAAAAGATGAACTTTATGAATTTTATAAAAAACTATATTATCATATTTCTATTTCAGTTTCTGAGGAGAGCTAAAAGTGAACCTGTTACATTAATATATCAGGAATTAACATCAGAATTTGGTCAATATCTTAAAAGTAACACAAGCAATAAATCTGAAATTGATGATAATAGAATTATTGATGTTTGCGGTAAATCTAATGCTAAGTTGGAATTTTTAATCCAACATGTACCTTTAGTTAGTGAAGGTTATATTAACATGACCTGTAAATGCATGATGATTGAAAGTGAAGGAGTACCTGATCTAAATGGTAGTCAATTAAGAGGACTAAATTGTACTTCAGAAAATAATTTATTAAGTCCAAATTCTGATTTTGAATATGATGATGATTTTAAGGAATTTATGAGTGATTCTAAATTAATTGAATCTTTGAAGAAAATATATATTCAAAAGTCATTAAAATTAGAAGTTATATTAAGTATTAATAACAATCAACAAGAAGAATTTTGCAAAGTTAATATGATTGGACTTAAGGATGATTTAGTTGTATTTCCAAAACTAGATTCTGAACATTTTTCTTTAATTGAACTTGGAACATCTTTTTGTCATTATATGGGAATACATGAAAACATATTCTTTCAACATCCTTCACCAGTTACTGAGATCTTGGAAGGAGATATTTTTCAAGACGAGTATTATTTTTATCCAGGTTATAATCTAATTGAAGAATTTGAAAGGGCTAGTAAGTACTTCAATGAGGAGGATCTTTTTGAATGGGATTTACAAGACAAAAATATAGATGAAGAAAATAATTTTGATAATAATAGTCATATTAAACAAGAAATTGAAAATAATTTAAATGATGATGACAAATACTATGGAAGTAAGTATCAGTATATCTTTGAACCATTCTTAAGATTATCTTATATACCAAATAAACCTTATCCAAGAATATTTATTAAATCAAATGTTCCATATACAAAATCAATTGCTGCATTAGATAGATCTATTAATTATAACTACTATTCTGTTGCTGGTAAATGGCAAGTTTCAATTACTCCTGGTTATTCTAGAGTAAATCAAGAAAATAGTATATTATCAATATTGGGATCTAAATTTAATTCTATAGAAAAAGAAAAGTATGTTCGTGAAAAACTTAAAGATATTGCTTTTAGATGGAGAAAATTAACTTTTTCTAATTCTCATCATGAATTTAAAGGCTGTTCAGTAGGAAGAAAGAGTTCCATTCCACGTTATAAAGAATCATTCAAAGTTTTTGATTCAACAAATCCTTCTTTTAATATGTACCCATCCAATTTACAAGCAACAAGTGTTTTTGAAATTATGAATTCTGAATCAATATTATCTGATCAATTTAAAGATAACAGAAATCATTGTTCATATTATGGAAATATAAGAGAATGTCTTAGGTTAATAAGATCAAGAATTAGAGATAAAACTTTAAACTATGTTTTGGGTCATTTGTTGATTAATATAATTTATGAAACTTGGATTACATGGGGAAGTGAAATATGGCATATTACTTCTTTATTTAATATTGATAACATATTTACAAATCATTATAATTATCCTGATCAAAATAATGGTAATTTACATACTGGATTAGATCCATTAAATTCATTATTTACTAGATTATTTAACGTAAAACCTTTAGTAGATGATGAAAATTTGGATATTATATCATTATTAAAGAATAATCTTGTTAAGGATGATTTAGAGACTTGTTCATTAGAAATGGATGTATTTCAGTTTGGTGTTTTATCAATTAATCCAATATTAATAGATAATTTCTGGAAAATATTTTCAAATAATTATTGTATGATGTCTTCAGATTCTGCTTTTATTATGTGGGTTACAAACAAATTTTCATTAAAATTGTATAATAATAAAGAATCAAATGATATATTAAACGAAAATGAAGACAATTTTAAAAGTCAAGATGTTGAAAACAAAAACACCAATAGCAATTTACAGAATAGTAGTGAAATGAAATCATGGTTAACAAATCCATTACCAACATATTTTAATCAAGTAGATCCGGAAATTGAAGTGGATCTTGTAAATGATATTAAAGAAGAAATATTGTTACCAGAGATTTATGAATACAATGAATTATTAGAAATATATAATAAGAATGATCCAGGTATTGAGAAAGAAAATTCTATTAATAGAAAAAGATTTTTTAATAGTAATTATTTCAACAGCAAAAATCAATTTAAATGGGTTTCATTTATAGTAAGAAACGTACCATTTAGAGATTCAAGTCATAAAAGTCTTGAATTTAAATGTGGTATTGGTTCTTGGCCATATAAAGGTGGTGAATATTCTTGGATGGGTAATTATTTATGTGAAGTAATATTTTTATCATCAAATTTTTATTCTAAAAGATTTGATTTTTCATCTTATAATAATTATTATAATAAAGGAGAAGAAAGTGATGAGGAAGTGAATAGTAAATATGGAAAAGCCAGTAAAGATGATAAAGATGAATCATATGTAAAGAAATTAAGTAGAAATAGGATGATTGGTATAGAATTTGAAACATCATACCCACATAGATGTGGTATAGGTTATTTAGGTAATGAATCAAAGAAAACATTAACATCAGTTAAGGGAAACCATTTATTAAAGATATCATTGGGATTTTGTATATTACATGGATTTAAGTTACAATGGCTAAGTGATGATTCATTTAATATATACACAGAAGTACTATATAAATATACTCAAACATTAGAAAATGGGTTAACATATTATGAGAGAAATGGATTTGAATTATCAGGTTCAGTTCAACAAAGAGTATATTCAAATAATACATGTTCTGGTATAATGTTTGATAATACAATAAGAAATGATGAATTATCAGAATATAGTTTTAAGAGTCAAACACTAGAATGCCAAACATCTTATGATCCAATAGTAGTAACAGATGGGATAAGAAAAGATGAATTATTATATATGAGAGAGAAATATTTTAATTTAATATATAATTTAAGATTTGGATGTGATCATATGGAATCAAAAAATAATGATTATTCGGGAATAGATAATCATTGTTTAAGTTTTTATCCTTTATTGGAGAAAGTTGAATTAGATTCAAAGAAACCTAAATGTAAATTTGAACTAACAAAAGAATGGAAGTTAATAAACAAGAAATTTCCAAATGAATGTAAAATAGGATCAAGAATAGGGGATTGCCATATGAAGATAAGGAATGAATTAAAATGCGGTCATAAAACGAATATTGGTTGTTTATTTGATACATTCATAACAAATAATTTTATTAAACCAATAAATATTGAAAAGATATCAATACATTTTAATCAGATTTCTCTATTATTAATGCACGGTATTAATAAATATTCAGCAGAATGGGACAAAGAAAGTACAAATTCTTTGCATGATATGATATCAAATTTAGTTTCAAGTAAAGATTTAAACTTTTATTTAGAAAATGGAATAAATGGTATATTAAAAGATAGATTATCATTATTTATGGATGAATTTTCAAAGAATAGTAATGATGATATATTAAATCAGGCAAAAGAATTATTTTCATATTCAGGAATTTGGTTAGATACACATTCATTACCATTATTATGGAGATTAGCAATGTTTAGAATTGAGGATATACCATTATTTATTAGTAAACAAGATTTGTTTACTCGTATATTTAAGAACAAAATCTCATCATCTAATAGTTCATTTAGATCAAAATCTAAAAGTACCAATGGTGTTTTATCAGAAGAAAGTTCTTTAAAAAATAAATATGACATTTCAACAAGTATTCCACTTTATTGTCCTTTAGCTATTGGATATTTTTGGATTGATAAATTTATGTGGCAAATGTATAGATATCCAGGGTCTAATTTGCAAACTATTTCACCTATTAAAGTATAAAATTATAGTGTTATTGTATAAATTTAATCGTAGTATAATATTAAGATATAGTATATAATAATAATAATAATAATAATAATAACAAATATATGGATCTTAATATTTGAAAAAAAATTATATTATGATTTTATGTTATTATTTCTGTATTGTAATTATATTTTTATTATTCTTGTTTTTGAGAAAATAATATTTATATATAATAAATATTATCTTTTTTCCCGCCGTATGTGTTAATTATTTAGAGGAATATTGGTAATGTCAAAGAAAAACAAAAAGGCGGTAAAAATAAGAGGGAAATTGGAAATTATTATAAATAGTAATAAGGTAAAGTAGTAGTAATTAAAGTAATAATATAAACAAATAGTAAAAATAAAACTATTATTGTAAATTATAAATATAACTAAAAATAATCAACAATAATTACTATTATTTATTTTGTTTAAAATTTGTTAATTTAAGAAACAATATTGCAAGAATGAAAAGGATTTCTACAATATTATCAGCAATTATAGTATCAGTAGTTGCAATAGGAGTTGGATTGGTTAAATTTAATTACTTGAATATAAATGAATATGGGTTTTTAGAGAAATTGATAACCCCTCAAAATGAAATACCAGATGATGTAGGACCAAAGACAATGACAATTCAATATTGTGATACATGTGGTACACGTAATTTATATCAGCAAGTACAAAGTTATTTAAGTTCAAGAGTAACAGATCCTGACTTTCAATTAGTAGCAGTTAAATATAAGCCATCTCCATTATATCAAGGATTAAGTTATGCAATAACAGCAAGCCAGGTTGGTTTAGGATTGAGTGCATTTTTATTTCCGTCACTATTTACTCCAACAAACCAACAAGGCCAACCACAAGGTGGTCCAAGAACTCATTTAATGATGTTAATATTTTTTGGAGGAAATATTTTAAGAGGTTTATTTACTAATTCAAATGCATTTGAAATTTATTTGGGTAAAGATTTGGTCTACTCTGCAATTCAGAACAATAGTTCCGGTTATGCTACACCACCAACATTGGAACAAGTTGTTACAATATTAAATGAACATGGAATTAGTGTATTGGAAACTTTGACTGAATAAATACAATTTTTTTTTGATAAAAAAAAAAAAAAAATGTTCGAATTAGTATTAATTATTTATGTAGATTTAATTCATCTATTCATATATTAAGATTGAATGACGGTAGATTGCAGGTCTCATTCTTTTTTTTTTCTTTATTAATATAAATCAAACTAATTAACTGATTTCTATTTTTCTAGATATTTTTTTCTACATTTATTTTGTTTTTTTAAATAATTGAAATTTATGTTTATCTAATTCTAAAAAAGAAAGTCTCCATAATACTATTAAAACTTAGATCGCAATTAATGTTAGAATCACTAACAAATTGCCTAGTTTCAAATTAGAAATTTTATAATAATAATGTATGTCAAAAAAAAAACACATCGTTTAAAATAACTTAAATATCATTAAATAATAATAAACTTAATAATTAAATATTATGTAGTAAAATATTGTATTTAGGCGCCAATTTTTACACGTAATATAACGATTTACATGAATTATTCAAGTTAGAAAAAAAAAGGGGGGTGTGAGATTGAAAAAAGATGATAAGGCTTCTCTTTTCCATAATAGAAGAAAAAAAACTAAAAGTGTATTAACTAGTTGAGAATTTAAGTTTTGTTATATTAAAATTACAACAAACAGTTTCAAAAATTATGAATATTTAATATATTAATTCATATATGAATATTTTTTATTTGTTATTACTATCTAATTAAATTTAGAAAAATGTGGGGAATTTCGGTACTAAAAATTTAAGAAATTACAATTAAAATATAATTATAGGGAGAAGTTATTTTTTAATAATAAATATAAGGAAATAAATTTTAAAAAATAAATAAATATATATATATATATATATTATTTATCTATTTATTCATTTATTCATTCATTTTTTAAAATCAAATAAAGCTGAATATATTAATATTATAGAAAAGTAATGTTTTTCAGTAGTGGTAGTTTTGGAGAATCTCCATTCTCATCAAGAAATGATTGTAACTCAAGTACTAGAAGTAGCAGTATATCAAAAAGTGAATCGAGTAATGTATTTAATTACTTTAATAATAATGAAGGTATAGAAAATCGTTGGAATAATAATAATAATAATAATTTAGTAACACCATCCAGAAAAGTGTCAATAGCAAATAATACAACAGTAAATAGTATTGGTAGAAATGAAAATATGAATAGAATACAAAGAATGTGTTTACCTATAAACATATCCATGATAATCAAAAGTTTGGAATTAAATCCCTCAGTATTTAAAGTGTTTGGAAGAAGAGTAAGTTCTGTGACATTAGTTGGCTGGATAACACATAAAGAAGTATTAGCATCAAGAATGATATTTAGAATATCTGATGGTACTGGTGGAATAGATGCAAGGTTTGATATTGATTCAGAAACATTAGGGGATGAAATAAATAGTTATTTGAATGATTTAAGAGAAGGAACAATTGTAAGATTAGTTGGTCAAGTAGTACCTGGTAAGGCAGAAATTTCAACTTATATAAGTTGTTATACAGTAATTAAAGTAACTGAAATGAGTGAATATGCATATTTTCATTCTATTGAAGTTTCTTATGTAACTAATTATTTTGGACAAGAAATTGATCAAGATGAATTCAATACAAAAGAAGAAAGTAATTTCTATTCATCTCCTTATAATATTTTAACAGGAAATAATCATACAAATAAATCAGAAAACGATTATTTTAATCTTGATTTAATAAAAGACATTAATGTACCAGATGATATTGTTGATAATATACATCAAATTGTATATAAAACTTTAACATATGAAATAAATAATTTGGAATCTGAAGAAAAAAAATCTCTAGGTATTAATAAAGATCATATTATTAAGATACTTAAACAATATTATGAACCTAATACAATATTATCAGCAATTTCTGATTTAGAATCAAAATATGCTGTAATATATGAAGCAATGGATAATCATTATTGTGTTTTATAAGAAATTCATTATATTAACAATTTATTTATGATTTATATTTAATATCGAAGATTTTATGTACATCTTGATATGTTTTGATGGATTATCTATTTCAGGGCAAGTTAATGAAAAAATGGATTTTATTGGTATAAATAGAGTATTCAAATTTTTATAATTAGCATTAAAATTGGGACATTTATCTGATTTCTCAAGAACTATTATATCTTTTAATAGAATCATTTTTAATCTTTTATTTTTAATACTTTTATATTGTATTTTATTAAGCAATACCTTTCTATATTCCACAGTACCTTTAATTATAGATCCATTTATAAGTGTAATTATTACTATTTTAAAATTAAGTGAATTAATTAATAATTCAATTAAATCGTACTTTTCAATATATCTAAAAAGCCAATAATACATAGTAATAATAGAAATTATTATTATTATTATTATTATTTTCTCTTTTTTACATTACATACCTAGAATTATCTATTTCTTCTTTTTTAAAAAGTACATTTGGTATTTCGTAACTTTCTTTATCAAACAAACTTTGATTCTTATCTTTTCTCAAATTCATTTTAACTTAATGCATTTTTAATATTATTATTATTATTATTATTATTATTATTATTATTTTATTTTTTTTTTTTAAATTATGAATATATATAAATAGGTGGGGCAAGGGTTTGAAAAATATAGTATCGGTACCTTATATTTGTAATATGATCAACGGTAGCGGTAACTTAAATTATTCAGACAATTTTTTTTTTTTTTTTTTAGATTTTAACGAGGGGAAAAATTTACTTAAATAAAAAATATTTATTATTAATAACCATCTAAATTGAATTATTTTTCTTTTCTCTTAAAAATATTTAATATTTAAATAAAAGAAAAGGAAAAAAACAATGGTGGAGAAGATATGTTGCAGAATAATCAGCCAAATTCCATTAATTAAATATTCAAAATTAGGAATAATAGTTAGAATTCAGGCAAGCAAATTTATTTCTGAAAATGATCAAATTAATTCAGTTTTTGATATTTATGTTGATGAGTTGGTACCCTCAAAGTCAAATATTTTTTTTGATATTTCAGTTAATAATGGACAGGGTGATCTTGTATTACTAACATCAGAAAGTTGTTGTGTAGTAGCTGTGATTCCTTGGAACAGAAATATTGAAAGTTTTCAAAGGATGAACAAGATTTATAATTCAAGGTGTACTTCTAGCTCAGGTTCAGGTTCAGGTTCATGTTCTAGTTCTAATTATAATTCGAATTCTAGTTCTAGTTCCAGTTCCAGTTCCAGTTCCGCTTCCACTTCAAACACCAACTCCAACTCCAGCTCCAACCCCAACCCCAACTCCAGCTCCAGCTCCAGCTCCAACTTCAACTTCCAGCCTGAATCTAGGTTCAATTCGGATTATTCTACAAACAATACTGGTCATGGTCAGCAAGGATTAAAAATTAAAAGACCTTCTCATGCATACGGAATTTTTGAAGAAAATGATTTAGAATTATTTGATAATTCAGATAAACCAGTAATAAATAATACTCATAATCACAAATCTCAGACAAATGATGAAACTAAACAAGATACAGTAGTATATGAAATACCTTTAGTTACTGGTATTATTATATTAAACTTTTTCAATATACAAACAAAAGATAATGGATTATATACAGTAAAAAATAATAAAACATATATAATAAAATCATTATGGTATCATTTAGATGATTATATAGTATTTATATTAACCAAAACCAAAAATAAATCACCCAAATTAATAGCTTTAGATTTAATTTCAATAATAAATAATAATGAAGAATTAAATAGTAAAATTTCTTATAATAAACAATTTCAATCATTTATAGGTAATTCTACTTATATTGATGATATTGGAAATACATTAATATCTGAAGATAATAATTATATTTGTAACTATTTTGATTTAAAATTTAATAATAATAATAATAATAATTTTGGTTTTGATTATAATCCTGTAGATTTTGTATTTGGAAGAGGACCAGATGTATGGAATATATTGACAATATATGTATTATTTGAAGAAAATATAATATTAACATTATGTCCAGTAATCATGAATAGAATGAAATTACCTTATTTTGCATATCAATTATTATACACTACTCTACTTGAACAAGAGTTTTTGTTAAATTCTAAAGAAGAAATGATGAAAAAAGATTTTCATTATGATGAAAATCTTCATAATACTTTGAATATAGTTTTGGGTGATTTAAGAAATCCTATTGATGAATGTGGAAATATAATAGAAAAAGTATTATATGTTGATATTCCAAAAGAAACTTTTTTAATAATATCATCTATATTAAAACCTATTCCTATTAAACTTAAAATTATCTGGGAATGTGAAAAAGAAAATAATATTAAATCAGGAAAATTAATTTCAATCACAAATTATCCATTATCAGTATTTGCTATATTAGGATCAAATTTAGAAATTGGATTATTTATTTCAAGTTATTTATCATTACCAAATTATGAAGATACTTATAATTATAACAGAATTCAAAATATAAAAGATGAAAAAGAAGAAGAAGAAGAAGATACTGAATATGATTTCAATCTTATACTAAAATGTATTCAAAAATCAAAAATCCCACAAAATTTTTTAAAATATGGAAATAAAAAGAAAAATAATCAAGAAATAGGAGGATATATTGAAAATAATGTTGATAATGGAGACGAAGATGAAAATGGAGATGGAGATGGAGATGAAATAACAAAGAAAATTATTTCAAGATTTAAATTCTATGATGGATTATATTTCTCTTCTAATAAAAATAATTTTGAAACTGAAAAAACAATAAATGATGAAAAAAATAATATATATAAAAACTTTGGTATAGAAAAAAATTATGTTAAAAAAGATTTAAATAATTCCGATACCTATCAGGTAACGAATTATTTAAATAGTAATAATGATCAGCCTTTATTTGTTATAGGAATATCAATGGAAAATAATATATACATTATTTATATAGATTGGTTACATTATTTATTTACATTATATTCTACAATAGAATCAGATATATATGATGATGATAATAATAAAGTATTACCAGTTTATGAAAATATTGAAGTAATTAGAAAATGTATTAATTCAAACCAAGAACTTAAAATAATACCATTAAATAATAATGATAATATAAATTTAAAAAATACTAATTTAAGTTTTAATTCATATTATGGTATTAATAATAAAGATAAAAAGAATATAAATAGAAATAAAGTATATATAGAATTTATTTATAATTTAAATAAATATGTGAATATTGATACCAATATTAATATAAATACCGATATAAATAATAATAAATTTGATTATATATTATGTAATCCAGATTATGATGAATTACCAGAAATGAGTTGTAATGAGGTTTATAATATAAAATCAATCAGAAAAGAATTCAATATTTCTGATTTTATAAATGAAGACTTGAGTAGAAATAGTGGTATAGAAATGAAGAAAAATGATGATAATTATGATGATGATGATAATAATAAAAATAAAAATAATAATAATAATAATAATAATAATAATAGTTTAATTACAGAAATAGATTACCAAGTTAATAAATTAAATGAATATACACAAGAATCACTACTTATAGAAATGAAGAATTATAATGAAAAATTTAATTTACTTAAAAATGACTTAAAATCATTAAATAATGAACAAGAAATATCAGAATATTATTTAAAAGTATTAAAATTTTTAAATGATTATAATTCAAATATTTTAGTAAAATTAAATAGCTCAACAAAACCAATACTTAACATGGTTGATAATATTAAGCCTAGAATTAATTTAATGGAGGAATTAAAAGACGATATAGAAAAAACTAATGAAAAAATTAAACAAAAAGAAGAAGAAATTCAAAACAAAATTCAAAGTACACTTGAAATGAATAATAATATTAACAAAAGAATCTCAAAAATAAAAAAACTATTTCTCCAAGAATTAAATAATCAAAGAATTCAATACAATCAAGATGTAATCCTTCCTGAACTGCTATTAATGCTTTCAAATGTACAATTAGAACTTTGTTCTACCATTCTTAATACATTCAATAATAATAACGATATTTTGATAAATAATTTAAATGTTAGTGGTAACGGTAACGGTAACGGTAACAATAATCACACAGGGAATAACGAAGATTGCGATATGTTAAAAGTTAACATTTTCACAAATGAATTCAATAATTATGTTAACTATAATAAATTTGTTATTAGTAAATTTCAAAACCTGCAAAATAAAGTACTTGAGTTAAACAGAATTGTCTGTAATTATTCCAAATAGTATGGAATTATATTGAATAGTATTGGAATATGAGAATATAATTAGGAATCTAATGATAAATTATAAATAATAATTTAAAATATAATATTATTATATCTTTAATTTTTTTTTTGAGTTCAATTTTGTCTTTGACTCTTCTTCATCATCTTCTACTTTTGTTTTTTCTCGTCTTTTCGTTGAGATTTTACTTATACTTTTTACTTCTTTTTTTGATGTATTATTACTTTTTTTTGATTCAATATCATTATCAGTAACTTCAGTTGTTTTACTTTGGGACTTTACCCTTTTTGTAGTGGTTTTAGAGAAAGATGGAGATAACAATAATTCATCATCTTTTTTGTCAGGTTGATTTTTATTTAAAGAAGCTGATTTTGTTTTAGAATTAGTCTTAGTTTTAGTTTCATTAACCTCATTTACAAGATTTTCTTTAGTTTTATTAGTGTTAACTTTTTTCTCAGTTTTGGTAGATTTAGTAATTTTAGTTGCACTGGAAGTTGTTTTTGATTTATTATGAGTGCCAGTAGTTTTGTTAATTTCAACATTATCATTATCAGCAGAGGGGTTTAATGAGGATTCTGTAGACTTGGAAGATTTCTTTTTTACTATAATTTTATTTTGTTTACTAGTAGAACTGTTCTTTAAATTTTCTTGTTTTTTAGTTTTATCTATATTTTTCAAAACTTTCTTTTTTGATTTATCTCCATTGATAATAGTATCAGACTTCTTTTCCTGTTTCTTAGAAGTACTCTTTTTTGGCTTTATTACCTTATCTTTCTCTTTCTGTAATTTGTTTTTTAATTGTGATTTTAAAGAAAAATCTTTATTAGAATCTTGAGAATTATCTTCATTTTGACTCTTTTTCCTATCTTTATCATTATCTTTTTCCTCTTGCCCATCTTCACCATTACTTATTGAACTATTTCTACTTATATATGTATAACTTAATAAAGACTTAGCTAAACTTGTTAAACCAAGCTGAAGTTTATTTGAACCAAGTAATCTACCTGGAGTAGAAGGAGAAGTTTCTTTAGATAAATCACCACTATTAGTTTCTGATTTTGATTTAGTATCAATCTTAGATTCCAACTCAATGTTTGAATTATCTTGAGATTTTAATACCAAATCACCAGATTCTAAATTATTATTCTCATATTCTTTACCAATACAAATGAAGTTACTATTCTCTTCATTTTCCACTATATTTTTCTCCTCATTTTCAGTTTTCTTCTTTTCCCCATACTTTTCTTCTCTAATTTCACATGTACTAGTCTTAGAATATGAATCTCTTTTAATAATATCATTATATGATTTTTTTAAATTAATATATTCATTTTTTAATTCTAAAAAATCATTATTTACATTACTTAATTCAGAATGTAAATTTTCAATAATATTATAATCTTGATCTATTTTTAATATAATAAAATTCTTAAAATTTTGTATATATTCATGTAATGTCTTTATTATAGCATCCATCTCCATATTACCCTTTTCAAATTCTACATTCATTATTGTCTCATTACCAATTTTATTTTCAATCTCCAATATTGATTCATAAAGTATATTTTTTAATGGTGTTAGATATTTCAAAGTAAAGTTATTCTTATATGTATTTTGAATATTATTAATTTCTTCATTAAGTTTTGTTATTTCATAACATTTTAATTCATAATTACCATTTAAACATTTATTCTCTTTTACAATACTACCATTATCTTCTTTTAATTGTATTATTTCTTTTTTTAAATTGTTAATTCTTTCATTATTTTCATGTTTTTCAATTAATAATTCATCGATTTTTTTCTTATTATTTACTTCATTCTCAACTAACATCTTTTCTTTATTTTCTAAACTAATTATTCTTGCTTCTAAATCTTTTATAGTCTTTTTTAAAAAGTGTACTTCTTGATTCTTTTCATTTAATCTTTTTCTTAATGTCTCTAAAGATTCAGACAAATTATCATTTTCTGTATTATAAACTTCTCTTGAAGTAATTAAAGTTTCTGAAAATGATGAGTCAATTTTAATATCATTTTTTGATATTGATTGTAACTTATTTTCTTTTTGAATTGATAAGTTTGATTTCATATTTTCATACATTTCTTTTCGAGGTGATGTTGGTAATATAGGAAGAAATCTTGTTTTCGTACTTAATGGAGTAAATATTGAAGAAACAGATGATGTACCAACACCATTTAATATATTGTTATTACCTAAACTTAAATTCCCAAGAGAATGATCGAATTTATTTGGGCTCATACCTATTGATTTTATCCTTACTTGTGATTTAGTAGTCTGTGGTGTTCTTCCACCTATATTACTATCTAAATTACCATTAATTCTCACAATACTTTCTCCGATTAGATGATCATCTGTATCTTCTCTGTGATTTCTTATAGAGTTTATTCCATTTCTTAAATTGAATGGAGTTAATATTCTTGTATTTTCTATTGATGATGACATTGTATTATTATTATTATTATCAATATTCTTTAAATATTCACTTTCTCTATTGTTAATACTATTATATGGAAGAGGTGGAGGAAGCCCTGTTGGACGTGATGGAGATATATACAACTTTTTTGATGGGGATGTTAACCCATAAGTTCCTTTTTTTAAACTTATTTCAACATCATTAGCTTCGTTATTTTCTTCATTAAAATCTCTAATTCGTAGTGATGGAGTCCCCCCTAATCCAATACTATTACCAATATTACCAACTAAAGATGCTAGTGACTTTCTCATTTATTAATAATTAAATACTATATTATTCAATAAATTCTTCTGCATTAATTCATGGAATATTTGTATTTGTTTAAAATTCTCAATCTTTTTTTTTTTTTTACTTCTTTTAAGCAATTCTTATTAATCTTTTTAACAATATTTTAAAATTAATTTAATTTCATTCTTTATTATTTGAGGGGTGGGGGGACATTCTCTATTTTTTTTTTTTATTATTACGTAGAAAATTATAAATTACATTTTAATATTACACATGCAATTAAAACCCGCTCAAACACGTAATTATAAATTTTAAACATAAAGTATTGCATTTTCTCTTCAGTTGAAATCAAAACTAAAAAAAAAAAAAAGATTGAGAATTATTAAACGAATTGTTTAAACCATAAGTAAAAAAAATAATAAAAAATTACATGAAAAAACTTTAAAAAAAAAAGTAATTAATAATTATAACTAAGTAATTAAAGAATAAATTTGTTAAATTACGTGTCAATAATATTAATAATAACAAATAAGTAATAAGTTTTATTTTTAAACTAAAAAACTTTGATGATTAGTCATCAAATAAATTTTTTCTTGAATTAAAATCGGATGACTCATCGCCAAAAAGACTTGGTTTCTTTTCTGAATTGCTTGCATTATCGCTGGCTTGACAAGCAAATAGAGAATCCATTATTTCTTTACGTTTAATGTCGGCTTTTAATTTTCTCTCAGCTTCTTCCTTCTGTTTTCTTTTTTCTTCTTCTATTCTCTTTCTCTCAGCTTCTTCCTTTTTCCTTCTTTCAGCTTCAAGCTTTTTGATTCTTTCAATTTCAGCTCGTTTTTCAGCTTCTTTCTGACTCTCTCTAAAAGAATTAGAATTCATCTTGCTTCCATTATTAAAGTTAGAATTACCAAAAATATCATCCCCATCAATATTAGGTCTTTGTGAATAAGCAGAATTTTGTGATAGAATATTGTGGTTATTGTTTGTAAAAAGTTGATTTTGTCTAATATTACCAATATTTTGACCAATATTTCGATTATTTAAATTTATATTATAATCTGAACCACCTAAGCCTCCCATTCCTCCTCCTCCAAACCTATCATTGAATTGAGGAAATGGATCGACATTATTTTGATTATTATTACGATTAAAAGCATGATCACTAAGATTATTACCATTATTAGTATAATTATTTGAGTTAAAAGAAGCATTATTTCCTTGAGATACAGACTTCATTTTTGTGGTGAATAGTGTAATTAACTCATTAAGTTTATTTTCAATATTATTTACTTTATCTGTCAAATTCTTGATTTCATTATTATGAATTTGAAAATTATCTTTTATAGTTGCTGATAATGTTTCACACATTGTATTTATGTCATTATATATTCCTTGATTATCTATCATTCTATTTAATAATACATTTTCATGATTTTCAATCTTTTGATTTGATCCTAAATTAATTTCATGAACACTATCATATGCAGAGTAGTTTGCCATATTTGACCCAAAGCTATTATTCACATTAAACATTGAATCATCTGTAAAACTGTTCTGGTCATTTGATAACATACTCGTTCTACGGTCCTCAACTTTGTTTAATATTTCCACTATATTACTTTTTTGATCTTTATGATTACTTTCCGTAATATTATAATGATCGTTATTTATATTATTAATGTCAATTCCAACACCATCTAGATCTCTATCTTCTACAGTATCATTTATAAATCTTAAATCATTATTATTAATCTTTAAGGAATCAAGTTTTGAGTCTATTGAATCTTTATACAATTCATCTTCTAAATCATCAAATAATCCCTTATTAGAATTTTCTGGTAAATTTGAATTTACACTGCATACTGACTGTCTATAGTTAATGCTTGAACTTAAATAATCTAATGAATTTGATAAATCCAATTCTTTTTTATTCCCATTATCAGTGCTTAATCTGTTATTTTTAGTAATTCCTTCCTTTAACTTTTCATTATTTGCTTCCTCAAATATTAAGTCAATATTATTCCTCATTATAGTTTAATATTGCACTTTTTTTAGTTTAATTATCAAATCCTATAGCAGTAATCTTTCTATTATAATTATAAATAATCTTATTGTGAATAATATATATTTAATTATATCTATATAGCTTATATAATTTTTGATATGTATTTACAATACTTTTATCTTTTAATATTTATTATTATTATTATAATAAATGGGCGGGAAATGGGGTTTCTGCATTTATAATATTATTTTTTGTGTGTTACAGAAAATAAACTAAAAAAACATTTTAAAATAATAAGATAATGAAATTGTTTTTTTTGTTACAAAATATTTTGAATATATATTTAAATAACCATACAAATAAAAACTCTGAACTATACGAACAAAGTTTTTTTTTTTTGATAGTTTTCAAAAAATAATTACATGTCTAAAATTCTAAATAAATATAATGAATTATAAATAAATTCTGGCAATTAAACAGATTTGTTTTTTGATTTATTCTTAATTTTTTTGCTCTTTTTATCTGATTTTCCAGATTTTTTTTTAACTTTAACTATGTTAACTTTGTTACTAACTTCACTACTTAATTTTGCTTTTTGTTTTGATTTTTCTTTTTTATCTAATTTAGAGATTTTACTGTCTTTATTAATAATTGAATCATTTTCATTATCAGAAGAAGAATAATCAGAATTTAAATCTTCATATCTAGAATCACTTATACTAGTAGATAATTTATTAGCAACATTATTATAGGCATCCTTCCACCAATCTGACCAATCCTGAGAAGAATTACCAGTAATTTTTGCACCAAGCCCTAAATTATCGCTTTTTTTCTTGATTTGTATACACTCCTGTATTCCTATCTCTTCTTTTCCAAGTCCTCTTCCTTCTTTCCAGCCCATCTTTTGAAGTAAATTAACACCAATATTCGATGAAAATGGAATTGCTGTATGTAATCCTCCACTATTCAGTTTATCGTAATAATTCTTTGACATTTTACACCTAATTATACTTAGTAACCTGAATATAACAAAGTAATTTATATTGTAATTTATTTCACTTAAAATACAAGTTTTTTTTTTTTTTTTATATAATTTTTATAATTATTTTTATTTATTTTTTTTATTTCTTCTTCTTCCCAGTTATATCTTTCTCTCAAACTTATTAATATATTATTCTCATAAATTATTTTTATGGAATTTTTTAGTTATTTAATCTTGAACGAATTTATTTTTTTTAAATATTACTTTATATTAAATAATCTATAATTAAAATATGTATCCAAAATATAAATAAATAAATTCAATCAATAAATTTCTTCACCTATTTCAAATTTTATTGATTTTAATTCGAACAAATAAAAGAAGAAAAAAACAACCAAATTGTAAATTTAGACCTTCAATATTTTTGTTTACATCGAAAAATAACGTTTAACTTAAATACCTAAATAGTGACGTGTGGCGCCAATCTCAAATACATATACAAATACACTAATTAAGTGAAAATAATTAAAAAAAAAAATTAATAATTATCAAATAAAAATAAAAAATAATAATAAAAATAGTGGAAAAAAATATATGATTAATCCAATAATAAAACAATAATAAGATACAGAATTAAATTTCTTCTTCAAATTTATATCTGAAAAATTCGTGTCTAAGTGCCATTTCAGGGGTAGGTCTTAAATTAGGATCAGGTCTCAAAATATATCTAATAAATTTGGCTAACATTATATGCTTCTTGTGTACAAGACTCTCAAGAGGTCTACAATCATTAACTCTCTTAATTGAAGAGCTGCTAGAACTTCCTTCTGGCCAATTTAAAATATATCCGTAATCTTCTTTAACAATGGAATTATAATTATTGCCATTATTTATATTCTTACCATATTCATACTGTTCTGATTTATCAATATTATTATTAATCTTAAATCTATTTACATACTTTCTACCAGACTTGCTACTATTATAAGCTTTTTTAAGCATATAATCAGGAAATGGCTCAATAATTCTTTCAACCATTGCTAAATGTTCCATATGTTCGTGAGTTTTAAATAATAATACACCTGTATAAAGTTCCATTAAAATACATCCAAATCCCCACATATCACTTGACATATCCCATCCTAAATCTAAAATAACCTCAGGAGCTCTATATTGTCTTGTATTAATAACACTTCCATGATAATCATGTTCATAAGTAGCAGCTCCAAAATCAATTAATCTAATTTCAGGTCTAACAGGTCGTCTTATTAATGCACCTGGATGTCTTGGTGCATTAACCCATATATAATTATTGTCTGTAAACAATATATTCTCAAGTTTAAGATCAGTATGAGTTAATTTAATCTTTCTTAAAAAAGATAAAGCCAATAGAAATTGTTCCGCAATGTTTTGAATATCAGCAAGAAAAAATCCTCTTGAACAATTACCATCTAAAAAATCATATAAACTTGGTCCAAGTCTCTCAAATACAAGACACATATTTGAGTTATTATATAAAAATGCATTATAAAGCATAACACAATAAGAATATTCACCAAATTCATCTTCCATATTAATATCTCTAAGGATTTCTGCTTCTATTTTTGCTGCTGATGTATATCTTTGTACATCCCTTATTACTTTAATTGCTACTTTTCTTTTTCTTTTTAAATCTTCGCATTCAAAAACTCTTCCAAAAGTACCTTCTCCTATCATATCCAATATACGATATCTTGAAGTTAAATACTGTCCAACATACCATTGAAAGTGCTCTATTTCATCTGAATTTGTATTAATATTTGAATTTATATTATTTCTATTACGATATTCTTTAGATAATTCATTACCTTGTGAATGATCAATTGAATCTTCTGAATGTCTTACTTTTTTATTAGAATAATTGTAATATGTTATTGAAGATCCTCGAGAATCATAAGATCTATATTCGGTAACTACTGTACCTCTACTTCTTAATATACCACTTCTACTACTTCCTTCTCTTCGTTTCTTAACATCATCGTAATAGTTATAATAATAGCTGTTACTTCCTCCACCATAACTATTATTATTCATATTATTTCTAGTATTTAATATATTATACCCGGAATTTGTCCCGTAGTTGGTTATTATTCCACTATTGGTATTCATATGCATATTAATATTATTGTTATTATTACCATAATATCTTTTATGATAGTATCCATTACTATCAATATTAGTATTATCTAATTGTTTTTCTGTGGATGCAACATATTGTGTTTCATATTCATATTCTGGCATTACATTGACTTTCGATATATTCATACCAGCATGATTAACATTTCTATTACATCCATAGACATTAATATCAATTTTTCTCGGTCTAACACCAATTCTCCTACTTTCATAATAAGTTCTTTTTCTGTTTTGAGGTAAATCCATATGATTATCTATATAGTTATTATTGTTATCATGAATATTATTATCAGTATTTAAACAATCATTACTTTGACCATTTCTTAACATTTCAGTATATTTACTACTTCCATTTATGTAATTAAATCCATTTTTGGGTTTTATTCTTTGATCCATATTTATAATCAAACTTTTATGTTATTCACATAATATAATTGTATTCAGAGACTTTATATATACAGTTTTTATTTTTTCTATATCTTGCATTTACTGAGAGTATTTATATATCAAAAAGTTTTTTTTTAGCATTAATATTCAGAATAATAAGCCAGCTAATATATAAGATTTCTATTTTTTACTTCCTTATATAAAAAAAAAAAAAAAATCTTCTTATTATTTAAATTTGAAAATTTATTAAAAATTGAAAATCTTTAATAATTCTGTCCAGTGTATTCTTGGCTTAATTTATGTTTTAATTAATTTTATTAGAAATACATATATTTCAATGTATACTAACAACACTTTAATAAGCGAAAACCTCTAAATAACCTTCCTTACTATTTACTTTATTTCTTTTCTTCTATATATGCTGATTGTACAATTATGTACTCAGAATTATATTGTTTGAATAATATCTTACCAAGAAAAAAAAAGAAACCTGGGGAAAAATATTCAGAGGTATTGTTACTGATATTATTATTATTACTATTTATTTTCTTAGTATATAACTCTGTATATTAGTCAGACTGTACAAAAGGCGGGAAAATTTTTGCTTATATTAAAATAAATATCTTGATAAAAAACCCTTACTTGTATTATCTCTATTTTTTTAATTATATTATTATTAGTTAAAAAAATTATGTAAATTATTATATATTATGCACATTTACTTGCATAATTTATACTATTTGACAATTTGAAATGTTTTATATAAATATTTTGAGTTAAGTCTTATATTTTTTTCTTCAATTATAGTTAAAATATAATTTTATTAGCTAGGCTTTAGATATTTATTCAACAATCTTGAGAGAGGATTTCCTTAATTCCATCAATTTCATCTTGAGTAAAACAGTTAGTGCAGTTTGGAATGCTTTCTCCCATATTACTGTTGCTACTGTTATTACTATTGTTGTTACTAGTGATACCAACATTCAAATTTTCAAATTCGTTATTTGTAGAATATATAGGATCAAGATAAACTAAAGAATCTTTAACCAACTCATCAATCAAAATATTGTCTTCTTCAGAAAAAAAATTCTGATTTTCAAAGGAGAAATTTTTTGGGTTAAGATGAAAATGATTATTATTATGATTATTACTATAGTCAGTAGTAGTGGTGGTAGTAACCTTATTTGATAATAGCTTGTTTTTAACTATATCAGATAATTTGGTATTTGAAACAAGTTCTTTTTCAAAGAAATTATAATTATTAATATTATCTGAAAATGCCTCTTCTTGAATTACTGAATTGTTTTCACTAGAAAATTGTTCTTCATTATCACTAAAAGTGTCAACATAATTATTTAATTCATTCAATTTGTCATCATTTTGACTAATTAATTTGAGCTGGTTTAACTGATTAACCAACCAGATATCATTGTATGAAGAAGGCAACAAGAAAACCTGAAATAATTTTTTTTATCCACATTGTATAAAATTACGTAATAATTATTAACAATAAATTTAGAAAATTAATATAACTTACTTTGCTATTCAATGTTTCTTGTAACGAATCAACTTGTGAATCTTGAGAATTTTCAAAAATACAAGAGTAACAAGATTCAAAAGAATCTTGTGTTTTTGTAGAATTTGCCATTTTTTTTTTTTGTTTCTTTAATTAAATCTAATTTTTTTTTTAACATTTATCATTGTACAATTGTTATAATTCTATGATTTTAATTTCCAATTTTATATACAATATACCTACAAATAATAATCCAATGTCTTAGTCATATAAATTTTCTTATTTAATTCTCACTCATTAGTAATTTGTATTAACTTTTTTAATGTACTAATCAAAAAGACTATCAGTAATTTTTCATTATTACAAAAACCTTCTCTTCTTTCTTGAAAACTCCAAATTCAAATATAAACAAATAACTAATATTAGTACATAAATAAATACATGTACAAATATATATATATTGGAAACTTAAAATATATAATGTATTAATTATAAACTGCCACAAATTACTGCTGATTAATTATATTTGTATATTAAGTTATTTATTTGTGATGTTTATTATTATTATTATTATTATTATATATTTGTTAATTTATTAATTACATGTAATCCCGCCTATAATCATATTTTACATAAACACATATCTTCCTCTTGGAAAAAAAAATATTTACATTAATTTTATTAATTATTTACTTCTTAATTTTATCAAAGCCATAATAATACTAATAACTAAGCATAATATACACTTATTTTAACAAAATAACGTATTTAATCCACTTAAAGCCTTTAATTATTATTTCCCCCTATGTACATATATACATGATTTTCTTTTCTTTGACATTATCTTTAAAATATTATTAATTTCAAAATGCTAAACATTATCTTTTTTTTTGCCTACAAGTACCAATACAATACGTTTTGTTTTTTTCCCCTCTCCCCCATATTTACTTTAACTTTCCTTTATTCTATTTTAATTCACAAACTTATTTTCCTACACAAAATTAAGCTTTTTTATAGCTCACTTCAATCTAAATTAAAAAAAAAAATAAAGCTACTAAAAGTTTTTTCTACTTTTAAATTTATAATAATTTTGTTTTTTGTTAATTTTCCTTTCTCTTTTTTTTTCTCCTACTACCTTTAATAAAATGTCATTATGTATTGTTGTATTTATACACACAAAAACCCGCCAAAATTTATTTTTATTATTTCTTAACTAGTAAAAAAAAATATTATTGTGCAATATGTTCCCGCTTTTTTCTGCTTTTTAATATAAAAGAAAGAAAAAGAAACAGGTTGGATAATTATTTAGATAATTTTGTCAAACGGGGTTCAACTAATCATTATTTGGAAATTATAATGTTTTTTTATTTAGGTTTTTTTTTCGATTTTAAATAATTTAGATGAAATAGGTAATATATTTCATATGGTTTTTCATTTTAAACATTTTTTATCTGTTATTTGTTAATTTGTATTCATCATGTTTTTAAATAAAATTTTGAAAGAAAAATAAATCAATCAATTAGAAAAATTATAGAAGAAAAGCTGATATTTTCAGTAGTTGAATTATTTTAATTAGTTATAAATGGGAATTTTGTGTGCGTAATATTATATCTCTAATGTTCATTTAAGAAAAATGATCTCGTGTGTATAAAATTTTGTTAGTGGATTTATTTAAACTTATTTTTTTTCCTTTGAAAAAAAAAAGAAATCACAATAGTAATATTATTATTATTGTTATTATTATTACTGTAATTGATATTAACATTTAATATTAACATTAATTACATTTTTCATTAAAAAAAAAAATGAGTTCCAGTAATATCAACTTTCAAGAACTTGAGAATTTGAAAAATAAAGGTAAATTTAATTCTTTAATTCCTTCCCAAAATATATTCTAAATTAATATTAATTTTTTATTTTTTTTATATTAGGTAACCAACTGTTTGCTTCTGGTGATTATTTGCAAAGCATTGAAGTATACTCTGAAATACTTGATCATATTAAATTTCAAGATAATACCATTACTAATACTACTACTACTACTACTACTACTACTACTACCACCAATACCAATGTTACAACTGATAATGATGATCTTACAAAACTTAAATTACAAACTTTATTAAATAGAAGTGCATCATATATCAGATTAAAAGATTTTAATAATGGACTTCTAGATTGTAATAATGCTTTAATTATTGATAATAAAAACATTAAAGGACTATTTAGAAGAGCTACTTGTCTTTTTAATATATCTAATAATACTAATAATAGTCCTGATACTATTAAAAACTTGGATTTAGCTATTGAAGATTTAAAAAAAGCTCTATATATTGATAATCAAAATAATCCCGTTAAAGAATTACTTTCTAAAACTATTCTTCTAAAAAATGAATTTACTGATAAATACGAAATAAATAAATTACCCAGTGAAATGCTTAAATATATTAAATATAATATAATTTCAATGAATAATGACCAATATAATATAAAATTTCTTCAAGAATTTCATGATAAATGGTTTGAGTTATATAAATATATATTATCCAATGGTTCTCATGATATTATTATTAATAATAATTGTTGTCAAGATATTATTTATATTCTTGAAAGATTTATTTATATATCAGATAATATTAATTGTATTATTAATACAGAATATTATCAAAATAATAAATTATATTATTCAATAATTTTTAATTCCTGGAATATTTTATCTTTATTAATTGAAGAAAATGATATTATTATTGGTGAAGATAATACTGATCTTAATAATATTAATTCATTCTTATTCCAACTCAATAGAATTAATTTTAATTCTAAAAATAAAAATCTTAATAAATTCAGATCTTTAATCAGAATTAATAATAATATTATTAATTTTACCAAAATTAAAGATTTTATTTATAATATTAATACAATAATACAAGAATATGAATTAAAAATCAATTTAAAACAATTATTGAATAGTATTTTTAATGTATTAATATGTACTTTTAATTATGATTCAAAAAATGATGATACATTTATACATATTAATCTTCTTACTTGTATTATTAATAATAATATTACAAATAATAATAAAGAAATTAATTCAATATTATATTTGTTGATTTTACGAAATTTATCAATAATATTCCAACAAAGAAAATCAAAAGGAACCAAAATTGAAGCTCTTAATTATAATATTGAAATTGAAGATTTAATTAATTCATTATTTTCATTATCATATTACTCTTTCAAATGTTTATTTGATAATAATAATAATAATAATGCTGAGAATGATAATATTAATAAAATTCTACAAAGTTCAGAATTTATATTAACAATAATTTTTTCCCTTCTTTCTGAAAAAGAAAGAAATAATGAAAATAATGTAAATATCAATACAATTTCAAACAACCATATAATTTCCAAATATTTATTAAATTCAATAAAAAAATCCGATCAAGATTCTGATAAAGATAATGATCCATTTTCAAATTGGATTGCTTTTGATTTTATGAATTTTATTAATGGATTAATGGGACTTAAAATACTCCATTATTCTAATAGAGAAGTACTTAAAGGTTTTATTTTAAATTATCCACAAATTATACACTGTGTTTTATTAATTGTATTAACGAATTATTCAGAATATAATTCAATATTAAATTATTCAATAAAAAAACAATTAAATTATATGATTACTGAAAATATATTTAATACCATTATTAAATCTTGTTGTATTGAAATTTTATCATTATTAATGGAATATAAAGAAATTAGAAGTTCAATAGTTAAAAATGATGATACCATTATATTACTTTATAATATTTGTAAGAATATCATTACATCAACTGATAATAATTATAAAAAGAATAAGAATATTGTAAATATTAATGAATTGGACTCTTGTTGTAGACTTTTAAATGGAATTTCTAAAACAACAATGGAAAATAATGATATACTTGATTTATTTATTAATCAATTAGATATTTTATCATTACTTGAAAATATATGGACAATTTTTAAAAATATTAATGGTAATTATTATGCTGAAAATAATAATAAATTTTGGACTTGTATTCAAAATTCTTTTGAAATTTTTACAATATTATCAATGCATAATGTATTTAAATCCAAATTATTAAATTATAAAATGAAAAATGTTATTAATAATGAAGATAATAATAATCCAGATTTAATTAAGAATGAAAATTCAAAATTATCTTCATCATTATATAAAGAAAATGAATTATTTATTTTAAATTTACTTAATTTACCAGAAATATATGATTTTCAAAAAAATAGTAAATATTTTTCAAATACTTTTATTTATCTTTATGTATCATTCATACAAAATCTCCTTACAAGTAATTACTCTGATCCATCTTCAGAATCACAAAATAATAATTATGATGAATTCAAATCTGTTTATTTCTTAAAAAGACAAAGATTTTATAGCCAATATAATTCAGAAAATCATGTTGATTTTGACCAATCACAATTGGAGCAACTTGAAATGATGTATAAACAATTACCAGAATATACTCGTAATGAAAGGAATGGACATTATGATAGAGGTGATGAAATTCTTGCAGATACCTTTAGAAAATTAATAATTGAAAAATCAAATATTATCAGTTTTATGTATATTATTCTTGAGAAGAATATTATAAGTTCAGGCTCAAATTCAAATACAAATTCAAATTCAAGTAATAATATTTCATCATCATTACCTCTTGTATTTAATATTGCAAATAATATTGTTGATTTAATTGTTAATACTGAAAATTTAAATCAACAAAATTCAAAAGAAATATTATCTCACAGAGGAAAAATAATACAAAATGGTGGTCTTAAATGCTTACTTGATTCTATTACCATTATTGATAATGAATTGATGAATTTAAAATCAAATAAATCTTCATCAAATATATTTTCAATTAATAAAAAATATCTGATTGATAGATCCAGAGAGTATAAACAAGCCATTAGTAAATTACTTATATATATTTCACCAACACTAATTTCATATAAATTACTTGTTGAATGTGCAGTTAAAATTCAATCATTACTTGAAGATGATCATGAGCTTTTACAATACGAATCAGCTCTAGCAATTACAAATATACTTAGTAAATCTCTTGATAAAATTTCACAAGATTCTGAAAATGATTCAATTTCTATACGTATTTATAATAATGGAATTGGATGGAATTTATTAAAAGGTCTTTGCTTTACTGATAACAATCTTCTAAGAGCTGCAGGTTTAGAAGGACTTTGTAATTTTTGTAATAAAGATTATATTGTTTTAAATCATTTTATTTCAAGTAAATCAAAAGGTATTGAAGATTTAAAACTGTTTATTGCTTTCTCACAAGAACAAGATAAAAGAATTCAAATTGCAGCTTTGGGAGCTTTAGCTATGCTTTCTTCTTATTCTGATGTTTCAAAGATTATTATTGATAATTGGAATGATATTGGAATTAAATTAATTCAAGTTTATGAAGATTTTAATATTATTAATAATAATGATTTAGAAATTAAAGAAAGAATTCTTTTTTGTTTAAATAATTTATCATTATACATTTCTTCCCAAAATAATTATAATAATCACCATACTTTTGATAATGATAATAAACCTTTAAATAATAAAAATCAAGTATTATTAAATATCCATAAAAGTATTCAAGATTGCATATTACTTTTAGAATAATATATAAGAATTTTATTTTTCTAAATTCTTTATATTATTCATTGAAGTATTTTTACTTATATCACCAGAAGGTAACATTGAAGATGAACTTGAATATGTTGAAATAGTAAAACTAATATTATTTTTATCAGATTTATCTTTTTTCTTAATTTTATCAATTATATTTATCTCTCTCATAACTTTTTGAAAATGATTAATATCTTTTTGTAAAATTGTAATACCTTGAGCTATTTTATCATTACCATATTCAATATTTTCAAATATATTTTTATTATTATATTCATTATCAATTTTTTCATCTTGAATTATTTCCAAATCATTTTCCTCATTATTTCTAATAATGCATTTTTTATATAAACATTGAATTTTATATGCTATCATAATTGATAATGGTATTAATGATAAATATCCAATAATTTGTAATGATGTTGTATATTTTTGTGGGGTATTTGCTAATACTAATGATAAAATCAAATTACCTGGTATTACCATTGAATAACAAAATGAATTCACCAAGGCAAATTCTGTTGGACTAAATAATGATCTTATATATGATGGAGCAATAGAATACATACCTGCATATGAAAATCCTACTCCAAAAATTACGACCAACCAATAAGATTTTAAATAATTGATTAATAATAATGATAGTGACATTATTAAAGTTAGTGTTATTGTTTGTGTACTTTTATACATCATTCTATTATTTGCCAATAAATCACTCAAATAACCAGAAATAACTCTTACAAATAATTCAATTACTGTTAATATTTGAATCATTCTGATTGATTTTTCTTTTGTAATATCTGGTATATAATATATTGAAAATCTTTGAATAAAAGTACCAAAAAATTGGCCAGTACTTATTGTAAACAAATATACAAATATTAATGATATAGTTTCCAAATTTGATATTAATTTAAGAAAATGTATTATGGATGTTTTTATTTGTTTATATTTTCCATTTTTTTTTTGGTTTTCTAACAACATATCTGTTTTTTCTATATGTATTGTTGGAGATAGAGCAATATCATCATTAATATTATTATCATTTTTAATAATTAAATTTTTTATTGAGCCATTACTATTATAATTTATCATTTTGTTTAATACTGATTGATTATTAATGTTCTCATCTTTATTATATTCATCAAAATAATTATTATTACTCATAAATATTTCATTTATATTATTATTTTCTTCAAATTCTATATTTTTTTCTACTTTTGTTTCTTCTCTTGTTAATAGTGAATCACAATCTTCATTATTAAATTTTTTGTCTACATCATTATCATCAATTATATTAGTGTTATTATTTTCTTCTTCACTTTTTTCATGTTCAATAACTTCTCTATTTAATTTGATTCTTTTTTCTATGTTAATTATCATATAAATTGAAAAAAAACCAATTAATAGCGATATAAAAAAACATGTTAAAAAGAAATGACGTATTGAACCCGATTCCAAAAAACACAAACGATAGATTTCTGATAATGATAACCCACCAATACTATAAATTGTAAATTGAATTGAAGTAATTAATCCACTATATTTTATTGGCCAATATAATAAATTTATCCATAATGAACCTAAATTTAAAGTGACTCCACCTTGTAAAATTAATGCAAAACTAATACCATATAAAAAAACAAATAATATTGAATTTGACAAGTCACTTAAAGAATTTACCGTCATATAATAAATACATATTTTTTGTGTTATATATAATGAAATATATCCAAATAATGTGACTAATATTCCATAAAGTAATACATTTCTTGAAGCGTTTGGTCTTGAAAATATTATTCCAGATGGTATAATACAGAATCCGATGATACTTATACTATATATATATGATAATATTGTTTCTTCCTTAAAAACATTCTTCTTGAGATCTTCTATTATTATACTGTATATTTTACTCGTATTTGAAATTAAAGAAATTAAAGATCCAAAAGTTAATAATAATAACAATAAAATTAATCTTCCATTTTGAAATTTCCTTTTCATCCACATATTCTGTTCAATTGTTTTTATATTACATATACTTTTAAATAAACAATATTCATAAATATGTAATTATATAAATATATATATAAATATATAAATATAAATATACTTATATATATATTTATATATATATATATATATATATATATATTTATATTTATATATTTTGTTTAATCTATTTAATCTTCCTTAATATCATTATAATGTATCTTTCATTGTTTATTCAATTCTACTTTCCATTAAATATTTTTTTCCTGCCAATTTTCTTATTATTATAACCCTAATAAATTATATTTGAATTTAATCATTCAATTCAATTAAAAAAAAATTATTATTAATTTACTTTATTTTTTTTATGAATATTCAACTTATTTATATTAATAATACTTGAAATCGATTTTTTTATATTATTTAAAAAAAATAAATCATTTATGTCCAACTTTGACATTCATTCTAACATGTAATTACTTTAAAAATTGTTGTCCACATGAACATAATTTTTTTACTAATGCAATACCGGTATTATTATTAGTAAAAAATTACATGTCCACATGAATTCAAAAAATTATAATTTTTTTAAATATAACCATTAAGGTATACAATTTTAATAATTTACATAGAAAAATTAAATATAAATAAATTTAGTATACAAATTAGTTGAAATAAAAAATAATGATAAACCTTTTCATTTTTTTCTAGTCATATTAATAAATTAATTAGTTAATTCATAGTTAATTAATCATTATTAAACAATTCAATATTTTCAAATCATATAAATTGTGTTTGTTCACCTATTTACAAAAATGGCAGTGATTTTTTTTCCTCAAACAAATATAATCATTACCAAAATCCAAAAACTTAAATTATTTTTATCAGTTTCACCTTTTCTTGACTATTCCCCACACTATAATCCGAAAATTTTACCGCCCACATTTTAGGCGGGAGGGTGTGGAATGTATGGTCAGAAAATGCATTAAGTGGTCAAAAAGAAAAGTTAGAAAAATGTTTAATAGATTTGCTTGAATTTAAAGGTTAAAAAAAAGAAAATGTGGAAGATAAACAGATATTTGGGTGGGTTATTTTAGATTAGTAAAAATTAATAAATTATAGATGAAATAAAGGTATAAATAATCACTTTTTTTTTTTTAATCAGTTTAATTTGATTGTGTAGTGTAAGGAAACAAAGACAAAAAAAAAAAAGTTCAAGTTAAGTGATAAAAAAATGGCATTCCATCAATTTAACGAAGATATAATTGGATTAATTTCATCGTTTTTGCCATATGATGAAATAATTAAAAACTTAAGAAATGTGAATAAAATATGGAGAAATTCAATTAATAACTCCTATGAATGTTGGTTAAATATAGATTTGACTGAAACTATGACTGAATTTCAAAGTTCTAAGGAAGACATTCTGCTTGACGAAATTAAAATTTATAGTAATATTATTTCAAGTATAAGATTGTCAAATCCAAAAAATAATATCAGTGGGTTTTTGAGTAAAATGATTCTAATAGAAAATAGTGACAATAATGAAAGATATAAAATGTGGAATAAATTGGAAAATATAGAAATTTATAATAAAAGTTTAATAATACCTATAAAAAATCACAAAAATTATAATCTTCTTCCTTTCAAATCTTTATTTCGTCTTGGAATTAATGAAAATATTCTACAATTATTGAAAAATTATGAAATTTCAAACCAAGAAAATAATTATGAATGTGAAAATACTTATAATACCAAATTTTTAATGAATAGTTTTACCAATATTATTAATTATTATCCATTTAAATCTGTTAAAAGAATAATTATCGACTATCCTATCAGTACAAAAGAATTAATTATATTAAGTAACTGTTTTCCTTGCCTGAAAGATATTGTGATTACAAGACTTTTTCATGAAAAAAATATTGATGATCATCATCAAGAACTTATTGAAAGAGGAATTGAATCAAGTAATGAATCTAGATTGAGAAATGATTATGCCACACTCCAAGATGAAAATGAGTTCTATGCAAAAAATGAAATCGTCTCTTGTTGGGAAGCAATTTATAACTTTCTACAAGTTATACCCCCAAATCAACTCAGAATCCTTCAATTTAATGTTATACCTTCTCCAAATCCAAATTCTGGAAAATGGATAACTGATAGCACTATTTCAAGATTACTTACAGAAAATACCCAAAATAACAGTAGCTTTATTATCAATAATAATAAACACTGGAATATTCATAATAGTAATAAAAACAATAATCAAATCATGTTATTTACTGATTCAGATGATCACGATGATAAAAGTGAAAACCAAATATTTAAATCCCTTGAAATATATAAAGCCATTAAAAGAAGTAATAGGGAATATATTGATTATAAAAATAAAGTCATGAGAGCCAACGAGTATTATAATAATTCATCAATGATGAATAATGAAGTTGGAATATTTAATCATTCTAATTCAATGATTCATTTTGATGAAGTTGGAGATAAACTAATCAAGTATATACTTGATATGCATTCAGATTCTTTAGTTGCATTATCATGCCCAGATCTAGAGGTTTCTTATTCTTTATATAAAAGATTATTAAATCAATGTCCAAAACTTAAACTCTGGGATTTACCAGGGTGGAGAATATTCTCATGTATTAATTAATTTATAATGTTTAATATTAGCGAAAATGTTAAAATTAAGCAAGAAACTGTAAATATATATAATGAGCTTTTTGGATAATCAATTCTTTCTTTTTCATTTTCTAAAGATTTTACCATTCTTCTCTCAATTGTATTAATACGTTTAATATAAACAAATAAACCAAAAATTAATGTTATAATGATTATTGGAATAAAAGACAATTCTATAAAGGATGAAATTCTCGAAAATTTCCTATTTTTTTTACTTTTTGAAATAAATAATATAACAAAAGTTGAAATATATATTGTTTTACGTACCCAATATAACATTACTCTCTCTGCTGCAAATAGACTTTTTGGATCCAATTTTTTGATTTTTTTTGAATTAATACTGTTAATATACTCATCAATATATTCTTTATTATTATTATTATTATTATTATTATTATTATTGTTATTATTATTATTATTAATATTATTACTATATTCAAAACCACTATTATAAGTATATTCATCATTACATTTAATTGATGAATTAAAAGAATGTTGAAAGTTATTAGTATTTTTATTAAATTCATTTTTTAATCCATTTAAATCAGAATTTACAACATTTAAATAGGAATTCATTAAAATATTAATCAATTTATATATTCTATTGTCTTCATTTTCAAATTCAAAATCAGTTAAGTGTTTATTTTTTCTATGAAAAATATTATTTGGATATTTTTCAGTTTTTGAGATAATCTCAGACAGATTGTTATCACTGTTATTATTATTATTATTATTATTGTCATCATTATAATAATAATAATCATCATCATCACCATTATTATTATTATTATTACTACTTTTTGGGTAACTTAATTCTGAAATACTTGATGATGAAATAACATTAATATCATTACTTTGATGAAAATCTTCAATCCAATGTGGAAATATTGAAACTCTATTTTGATGTAAAATTGCCATACCATGCTGAAATTTACTAAATTTATAAACTAATGTTGCATTACACCTTTTAAGCATTTCTGAAACCCAAATTGGTTGTTCTGATTGTAATTTTACTTCCAAAATTGCAAATGGAAAACGTGTTACCTCATTTTTTGCCAATACTTCCTCAGCTAACCTACACCATGGTTCATTTTGATGTCCATCTGAAATATATTCATTAACCATACATAAATTAGTATCAATGGAAAATCTAACTTGATTATTATCTTGATTTTGAAAAGCTGCACGTAAATAAGATGTTCTAACAAAAGGTTGGAGTTTATTATTAATAATGTAATTTTGTATTTCTTTAGCTAAATTGATAGATTTTTGATTATTTTCTTTCTCTGTATTCTTTTTTTCATAAAAAATTCCTTCTTTAATTAAATTATCAACAGTAAACTTTCCTTTTAAATATCCAAAAACATATTTTTGAGGTATTGAAAAACGTTCCTTTGCACTTTTTTCACCTGTCCAACTTTCATGATGTGTTTTTCTTTCCATAAAAATTTCTTTTTCTTTAGAACCTGTATTTGAACCATACCACCTTAGCCTAAAAAGTTGAGCATCTTCAAATCTTGAAATACGATTATAATAACATTCTGCATTTATATTATCTAAATATACTGATGTGATTGCCTGACTTTCTTCAATTGTTTTAGGATCTACAACATTATGTCCTTCAACACACATATAAGGATCTAATAAAGTCTCTAATTCTGAATTTGAAATACCAAAAATTAAATATGGTACATATCTAACAATTCCAACCTTAGCTGAAACTACATTATTTGGATGAACCCAATATTTAGTTGTAGTTCTTAAAAAAGTCTCAGGAGGTTTCCAAACTTTCTTATTTTGATTATATTCATTATCATTACCATAAGTTTCAGACATTATTTCAATTTTTATTTTATTTTCACTTAACTCCTTAAGTTCTTGAATAACTTTTTCTGCATCTCTGTATCTAGTCCAAGATAAACTGAGTAAAATTAATAATATGTCAATATTAATATCAACAAATGGTTCTTTAGTTAAGTGTGTTTGAAACCATACACTTGTAGAAGTTTGTAACATTATATCAAAAAACCTGCATAATCTTATTAATATCTTAAAATTTGTACGAATATAAAAATCCAAGTGAATAATTTCATTACTTAAATGATTTAAAGATAATTCAAATCCATCTAATAGCTTCATATTGTCAATAATATAACTATAATTTCCTTTATTAAAATTTTCATTAGTAATTTTTTGTCTTCTCTTATATTCCTTTATATATTCAAATACTGGTATACTTATTTCTGTTCGTATTTGTTTACCTATTTTCATAATTTCTCTATAAATTTCCTCATGTTTTGTTGCAGTAAACTTATTTACTTTGTCTATTTCCTCATTCAATAATTCTCTAAATATATAGTCACAAGCAATACTTTCTGATAATATATCTGGGATTTGTTTTTCTGAAAAATCGAATAATGCAATATTACCATTATTTTTTATATAATTAGATACTGCTTTTTTGTTTGGACCATATTTAGATGCCAGTCTTAAGATTAACTCACATATCTTCCTTGTATCAACATAGTAGTCTATCACATTATTTGGTGCTCTAAATATATAATCTTTTAAAGGAGTCATTCATATATTCGTTTTACTTAAGTACAATTTTTACTTTTATTATTAGTTTCAATTATTAATTAAGATTTCAAAAATCCACAATTTCACCCTTTTATTGATTGTAATTATAATCACTTTATTAAAGTAATAATGTCAAATACATAGAAATGATTAATTGAATGTTTCCTTAATAATATTATAAACAATAATAATTATTTTTATTATAAAATATTGATTTTCTTTTTTTTTCTCTGTATATATAAATTTTAATATCAAATTTTTTGAAACAGGAAAATGTTTGAATTTTTCGAGCGATTAGTAATATTGAAAATTGTATTAAATATAGTATAAAATTTTTAATTATAATTAATATTACGATTAATTAATTAGTATCTTCTTTTTTTTCCTCTGAGAGTCCAAAGTTATAATAATCTTGAAAATTATTATAAATATCCAATAATGCATATGTGAATTTTTCAGGTTTAGAATTATTATTCTCATAATTTAATATAGAATTGTGAATCCAATCAATATAAACCATAGAATATCTTGTCATACAAGAATGCCCTTCTCCAAGCATTAAAGAATATTTAACATTGGCTTTAAGAACTTCTTTTAAGTATTTAACATCTTTTTTTCCACTTCTAAAAGGAAATATAAAATCAGGATTACAATATGAAAGCAACATTGGTGTTTTTAATCCCTCTTTTGTAATTTTTGGTTCCATTGATTGTAACTTTTTCATATTTCTTTCAGGAAGGAAGCTTGCAGTTGAAATCATTCCTCCTAGAATATATTTTGATCTTAAAGTAACAGAAAGTGCCATAGCACCTCCTTGGCTATAACCATAAATGAAAATTCTTTTTGGATCATATTTTTCAACTTGAACTAGATAATCAATTAACATTAGTATAGAATCTACAGAATACATCCACTGATTTAAGTTAACCCGTTTAAATCTAAATCCAAAAGAAAAATCTGCCCAAGCAAACCTATATGACCATTTAATAGAACCAATAGGTTTAAATTTTCTTAAATATGGATGAGGAAATATGATTCCTGTGTCTTTTCTAAATTGGTCACCATACATTTTTAATTGAGAAACAAATGGATAGTATGTATATTTGAATGCTTCATAATAAAGCTCATCAGAACATACTCCTACCAAAGCAATAATAATATTTTTAGGACGTCTTGGACTTAATATTTCTGGAATACCAGAGTAATCACCAGGAGTTGCAGAGTTTGAACATAAACTAATATGATTTAAAGAATGGCATTTAGTTGATTTAGAATCATCCAGTTCTTCTGTTTGATTTTTTTGAATATTCAAATTAGTATTATTATAATACGTTGTATTTGTTTCCAAAGTAGTATTATTAGTTATATTAGCATTAACTGAATCTGAATGATTAAAAATTAAATATTTCTCAAAAGTGAAAGAATTAATAATTCTTCCAGGGTGTCTTGGTTGTTTTCTCTTCTTTCTTTGCAATTTAAAATAGTTAAAAAACCTCCACAACTTGGATTTTGTAAATCTTTCTGGATTTAAGTATGGATCTTCATAGTTAAAAGCTTCTTTTTTTGCTCTTTCTTTTAAATTTTTATTAATTGATCTTAGTCTTCTTAATATTCTTTGCTTTTTAATTAGTGAATTAAGTTCTTTATTGAAAAATATTAATGGAGAAAAATAATTTAACTTAGGTGTAATATGTGTCACATTTTTTTCTTGTATTTGTGTGGAATTCTTTGAATATACAACTTGAATTATTGCAATAAATAAAAATGCTATTAACCTCATAACTGGAGCTTATAATCAAAAGCAATTAATTATATGTCAATTTAATGAATGTAAATTTGTTTAATTTAATTATCTTTTGTCTTATTGGATTCTTGTTTTACATCTGAATTTGGAAGTATGCAAATTGTGAAAACTTTATCTTCAGAAGGTTTAATATAAAATAAAGCTTAGTACAATATTTTTTGAATGATAAATGTTTAATTGTATATTTTTTATATAAATGTATTTTTATTATATAAATTGGTATCGAAAAATTTATTGCAGGTACGATGCATATGTCTATCATTCATTTGTTTTTGCATTTTTTGCATAATTTTTAAATGAAATGATTTTAATTTAGTGATTAATATTTTAGTTTTTGCATTTTAATATCTTATTTTATTTTCTTTTTTTTGTAGGTGTTAATCTAGTTTCATTAATTTTAAAAATTTGGGTTTTTTTAACTGTTTTTTTTTTGGTACTTGAAATTAAATAGTTACCGAAACCATTATAACCTTTGATTAATATTATTAATTTACTTTGCATAAATAGTTTACCTATTTTTGTTAAAAGATTATTTTATTAAATAATTTTTTTAAATTATATTCCGGTATATGAAATCAAATAATTACGTGTTAAAATAATTCCACATATAATAAATTACGTGTGACACTAACAAATAGCTTTGATTTTTTTTTTTTAGCCATAATAATAATATCATTGATATATATATTTCTTAATAAATAAATAACAAGATTTTGTTTAAAATGAGATATTTCTATTCAGAGTTAAAGATTTAAAAAATAATTAAAAAGATATTATATTACATCACTTAAATGAGTTACTCAAGCTATTAATTATAAATTCTAAAATATTCGAGGTATTTTTAAGTGTAACTAATTGAGAATTAGTCATTTTTTCACCACTTAAATTAAAGCTTTGATTTTTTAAATGATCATAATTATTCAAATTAAACATATCGCAAAGTTTATGGTATACATTAATTTCAACAGTTCCATTGAAATTGTTTAGTAATTCTTTAAAATGATCATATATTTCCTGAATAATTTTGATATGTGAATTATTTAGAAGTTTATACATGGAATTAATTTGTTTTTTTGAAAAATTACAAATCAGCCAATATTGTATTAATGTAATTATTAAGCTTGGCCCAAAAATAAAGCAATTAATTCTCTCTATTAAATTTTGCAGCATACAATAAGTTAATTGATTATTTCCATTAATTTCAATGATTTTATCAATTTTTTGAATAATATTTTTATTGGAAAATTCAGAAGTTTTAGTATTTATAAAGTTATTTAAAAGTTCAATATTATCTTTATTGATTTGATGTGAAAGTGAGTTTGAATTTAAATCTGAGTTTGTATTAATATTCATAATATTAAATAGAAAATTCATTAATGGAAGATTAATATTATTAAAAAGTTCCAAATCAAATTCAGAAATTAAATGAGAATATTTACTTGAAAATATATGATTTTTTAAAGAATCAATAATTGAATTGAACTGACTGATGTCCATTTGATTTTTAGAAGAAGTTAAATTGCTTAATAATAACAATGGAGTAAACCAAATCTTTAATTTTTGAATTAAAATATATTTCAATTTTGGAACACCATTAACAAGTTTTAATATTTCTATATTGAATTTAGGAATTGAAATTATATTTTCTAATTCAATAATATTTATATTATCTGAATATTTAAATAAGCTTTTTGGGAATAAATCTTTTGATACCATATTAAAAGAATAATCAACTTTATATATTGGGGTATAATATGTAATTATTGGAGATAAATCTTGCTTAATTATTGAAAGTGAATCAAAGTTATCCATGATATTATCTATATTAACACCCATAAAATGAATAATAATTGGTTTATATCCATTAAACAGATTTAGGATACTATCCAAACAATCATTTTTTTTTAATGAAAGTGCAACCAAAAATATAGAAAAGATACTATTCAAAAAATCAACACTGAATAACATTTCTAAAGTATAATTGCTTGAAATATCTTGAGTAATCTTGCAAGCTTCAAATAAATTATCCAAAGAAAAAGAATTCTCTCTTAAAGATTCTATACAAGTTTCTCTTAGTTCGTTATAAATATCGAAATATGAATTAAATAAAATTTTAACATTATTATCAAATGCCAAAGTTGAATTATCCTTTATTGGTTTATTCTTTAAAGAATATAAACTACTGAAATTAAAATCCGAATTTTTTATAGAATTATTCATGCAATCAATAAATGGACAAGATATCATTTCAAGATAATTACCATAAACATTTAAAGTTGCTATTTGAGATCTTTTAATTCTAAGTATATTATTTCTGATATTATGTGAAATTGAAAATAAACCCAAAATTGGAAGGATTTCTGAAAGTAAATTATTAACCAAATAATCTACTTTACATTCAATAATATAATTATTAACAAATGATAAAATAAAAATACAAATTCCAGTTGAATTAATTTGGGAATCTTCTATATTATTATTTGAAATACTTAAACAATAAATTGAAATTGATATCATAAATCTAATATAACTTAATTTTAATGAATTATTTTTGGAAAAGTAATTGGTAATATCCTTATTTAAATTTTTTTTTAATATCAACAAAATCTTATTTATATCTAATAACATAAGTTCTTCTAATAAATTTTGGTTATTATTATTTATTGTTGGAATAATTTGGTTAAATATAGTCAATATTTGTATTCTAGAAGTAAAAAAATCCAAATCCAAATTCTTATTTTCATGCAATTCCATAATATTTTCTGTTAATAATAACATTAAATCTTTAAGAATAATAACAATAATATTTTCTTCATTATAATACAAATTTGAATTGAAATAGTAATATAAAACCAATTTTAAATCAACTACAATATTTTCATTATTTGAATTAATTAATCTAATAATTTCATTATTTACTTGAGTAAGTAAATTATCATATAAATATTCATATTCTGAAGATTCAATACTATTTACTTTAATGCAATGTAATAATTCAACAAATAATTCAAGTAAAATTATTCTTCCTTTTAATTCAGTTAATAAAAATAAAGATAATCTATTCTTCCCTTGATAATAATAATCATCATCATCTTCTTCACTATTCATATTAACAATGATTAAAATTTGTTCAAGTAAATTTGAATAAGAATCATTTTCCAGTAAACACATATTACCTGATAAATTACCATAAATTGATGCAATTGTTGATTGAGTTTGAAATGAAGAAGTATTGGTAATTTGGGTTGATTGAGAATTTTGTAAATTTAATGATGAGTTTATATTTGTGGTAAAATTATCATATAAAGTATTTTTCAATTTAGAAATTTCCTGAAATATTTTTACAATGAATAATTTAATAATTCTAATATTATCCCAATCTAAATCTGAATTATTATCAAAATTTTTAATTAAATCAACAAGGGTATTTTTACAATTAATTAAATAATAATTTTCTTGGTTATTATTAATTAAAGAATATTCAAAATTTTGTAAAATCATTAAATTCTTTAAAATTAAAATCTTTTCATTATTAATACATGGATAAAGATTATTCATAAAGATGATTAATTCATTAATACAGTCAAAATAATTCTTAATATCATTATTTTGTCTGAAAACATATAATTTAATTAAATAAATCATTGATATAATTCTTCTTTTATAAAGTTTTAAATTATCAATTTTTTGGTTATTATTTTCACTTAAATATTTATTAACAAGTAATAATAAAAGTGCATCTTCTTTTTTATTAATATTTAAATGATTATCATTATTATTTTGGTTACTATATAATTCATTTTGTAATATTGAAAATGATATTAAAATATTTAAAGCTAAAAAATATGAATTCTTATTTCTTTTCAGATATTTATTACAGATTGTTTTCATTATATTAAATTCTTTTAAATAATATAATAAAGATAAAATATCTGTTTCAAATTGCTCTGATAAAATATTTATTGAAGAGGCATCATATAAATAATTTGCTAATTCTTTAAGTTTATCATTGTTGCTTAAAAGACTTCCATTCATTACATAATAGTGCCAGATTATTATAATAATTTCCTCATTTAAAGGTTTTATTTTCATTACTTTATTAATATCATCTTCAGCCAATATAACATTTCCAATACGTGAATAAGAAAGTCCTCTTAATGAAATTAATTGAAGAATAACTTCTTGTAATAAAGAATTATCATTTCCATCTTTAACTTTTAATTTAATACGATTCAAAAGATTGTTAGATTGTTTAACAGCTGTTTGGAATTGTCCTTTTTGAATTAAATCATAAATTTTTCTAATTTGGTCCTGATTCATGGTTTCTAATTTATTCAAATTTTATATAAAAAATTGTATTTATTATTTAAACGAATTTATAAATAAATAGACATAAATATATATTTGTATGTTGGTATATAGTTATTGGGTGCAAATTTTCATGTTTGGAAATTGGAAAAAAAAAAAATCAAATTTAATGATGATTAATCCAGAAATTATTATTTCTACTATTGTTATTATTATTATTATTATTTTTGGATCATGATCATAATTTATAATTAATTGACTTTTTTTTTCTAAAGATTTTAACATATTAAAGAAAATTTATATTATAACCCAATACCAATAATTATAATTTATAGTAAAAAAGTGAGGGGGGTAACCCGCCCCACCAGAATCTATGAGGAGAATTAAATATTAAATATATAAAATAATGTTAAATTTAAGTTAAAGTTAGTTAAACAAAATCAAATCAAGTATAAAAACGCATTAATAAATAAAAATGTCAAATTAAATAACAATTAATTAGTAAAATGCAATAAGCATAAAAAAAATTAAAAAAGAGAATTGATATATTTGTTGTATTTAATAGTAATATATTAATAAAAATTACGTGGATTTATATTAAATTATTATTTAAAAAAGAAAAAAAAAAGAATGCATTTATTTAAAGAAATAATAATATTCATTTTTGTGATTGGATTATCATTAATAAATGGTATAGAAGGTAAAGGTTACCGTCAATCAACAATTAATAAAGTGATCAGAATAGAAACAAAAAGTAAAGCAAAAGTTAAGTCAATTGCAGATGATACATGTGGTATAAATACTATACAAGTTTCAAACTTTTTAAATACTGCACGTTGGAGAAGAATAAGAAATAAATTAGGTACAGGATGGGATGATAATTTAATTCCACCATTAATCTTTTGTGTAAAGATATTAGATAAACCAACAAACACTTCAAATTCATGTAATAGAAATAGTTTTGATTTATTATTAAATGATGGAATTAACAAAAATAAGAAATCTGTTATAATAGCAACAGTGAATGATGTATTAAAAGGAGAAGAAAAATGTATGTTTATATCACCATGTGAAATATTACGTAGAATATATTGGAATGATGATAATTTTACCAATACTATAAGTAATTTAGAATTTAAAATTAATTCAACTTTTGAAAGTAGTGCACCAGATCAAAGATTTATATCAGTAATTAGTATTAAAGGATTAGCAAGATCATTAAAGAAAGAAAAGAATCCATGGGACAATCATTTAAAGATGGTTCAGAAGTTTAAGAATGTCCAAGCATTATCATTATTTATACCATATAAACCACATTCAAAAAGTTTTATTTCCGATACATGTGTTGTTAAACCAAAAGTAACAAGTATATTTTATGGTAAAAATAAACCATCAGTATGTAAATTTAATAATTGCATGTGGAATATTTGGATTGGACAATTATCTGGAGAGTTTGTTAATGAAAGATGTACTATTGGAAAGGCATCTTCAAGAGGAGATTATATTGTAGGATGGTTTTCTCCTTATGCAATTGATTCTGAAACTGTTGGTTCAATGAAATTAAAAATACAGTGGAATTTAGCAGAAGATCAAAACCAAAATTCATGTTCAATGACAAATGAAACGGAAAAGAAGATTACTGATTATGATAGAGAAAATCTAGTACATGGTAATTTAAGATCAGATTGGTTCCCAGGTGACGAATATCATAAATATGAAACTATTAATGATGTTGTATCTGAAGGAACAAGAACTAATACGAGATCTACAGAGACTAAAATAGATAATTCGACTAATATTTCAACTTCTACAAGTTCTTTGGACATTGATGTTAGTTCTAATATTACTACAACAACAACTACAACAACAACAACTACTACAACAACAACAACAACAACTACTACTACTACTACCACTACCACTACTACTACTACTACTACTACTACTACTACTACTACTACTACAGTTGTACCAAAAATATCATTAGTAGGATCTGGTAACAGCTCTACTAAAATGAATATATGTGTCAATGGAAGGTGTAGAAGTGCAGACAACTTATGGTTAAATTGTCATTCAAATAGAACACGTGTTTTAACTGATAATGATCAAATCGATTCAAATAATAAAGAAAATCCTGATAATTTACAAATTGAATGGATTGAAATAAATAAAGAATCAACAAAAATCTTCAAGGATAAAAATGGTAATATTTACTATGATGTAGATGGTTACATTGATAATACAGGAGTAAATTCAACAGAATCATCTCATCAAAAATCTGAATCTGAATTATCTAAACCTCAAGGAATGGACATGAATCAAAACTCATGTGGAGAAGATCAAATTTGTGCATGTATGTTGGAAGGATTAGTTGAAGAAGATATTACAGTTATTGATAGAGATGATGATCCAATAGATGATACTAATGATAAAGAAGATGAAAATCATAATATTGAATTTGAAAAAATTGATACTAAAATGAATAAAGAAGAATTACTCAAGAAATGGTTGGATTTGAAGAAGATTTATGAGAGTTAATAATCTCGAAATATTACAGTTTTTTTATGAATTGAAATTGTTAAAAAGAATAAAATAAAATAACATAGAAAATAATTAAAAAAAAAAATAAATAATAATATTAATAATAATAATATTAATATTAATATTAATAATCATCATATCGAAGGAAATAAGTAATTTTTAACAGATGAAATAAAGTTTAATAAAGAAATGTTATTAGTAAAAATAAATATTATTGAAAGATAAATAATTTATTATTTTTTCATTTTTTTTTTTCTAAAGAAATAAAATTGCCTTGAAATTAATTCAAGACTTATTCATATTTTGTCTTCTTTATATTAACATCTTGATAGTACACAATATTACGAATAATCAGCATTTACAACATTTTGATTCTGAATGTTTATCTGCATGGCACTGGTTTTTCTTACAAATACATTCTGGTGAACATTTACATTCATCTTTACAACATGAGCAACAACAACAACATTTACCGTTGTTATTTTTTTTGGTTTCTCCTTCAGGACAAACTTTAATGCAACATTTACAGTCTGAACTACATTTACATTGTTCACAATTTGTCATTTTGATTCAAATTTCTTATATTCTAGTCGATTAAAAAGCAATAAGTAATAAATAAATATAGTTATACGTAGGCAGATTGCTATAAGCAAGAATTATAATAATAGTGAATTTGACTTAAAGTAAGTTTTTTATTAATATACCTTGAAATTATTATTAAGATATCTGAAATAAATTTTGAAACTTATCTAGTCTCAAAATAATACTAATAAATAGTAATAATAACAGTAATAATAACCACAGAAAATAATTTTAAAATACAAATTCTGAATTAAACACTTATTTATTTTTTTTTTGTTACACAATATATTTTTTTCAATAGTAAAAAATTATCAAAATATAAAAATTTTAAGTTACCGCTGGCGCCAAACTGCTATGTTATAATATTATATATTTTTAATTAAAAATTATAATAAAAATAATCTTTAAAGAGAGGGGGAAAAAAAAAATTTGAGTAAATAATATTAGAATAAAATAGAAAAATAAAGTTGTAAATTATTAAAAAAAAAAAAAAAATGGCTCTTAATACAGACGGAGGTAAGAAGAAGCCTTTGAAACAGGCAAAAAATGAAAAGTTTATAACAGAAGAAGATTTGGAATTCAAGAAGAAACAGGCGGAAGAAAAGAAGAAATTACAGCAAATGAGTAAGGACCTTAAAAACAAGAAAAAATAAATGAATAAATTTTGAGTATGAATTTTGAATTAAAAAGAAAAAATGAGAATTAGATAAATATAATTAAATGAATACAAATTTCTATAGACTTTTTTGTTGTTATTTTGAATGAAAATTTGTGTATATTAGTACAGGAATTTAAGGTTAAAATATAAATATTACTATTTTAAATTTCATTTTACATTATATGTTTAATATATTAGTATTGAAATATAACTTAGTATATAATGTTGATTTATTACTATTATTTATTTATTTATCTATTTATTTTTAATATATAGTATTTTAACTAAGTAGAATTCCAATACAAATATCTGAAGTCTCCAAGAGTATTTGTGTTGAATTTGTTTCTGACAATATAATATAAAGAAATTAAAATAAAAAAAATACCGGAAATTATATAAAAAATACCAAAATATGGATTTTTTCCACCAAAAATAGTACTTTGTGAAATAACAATATATTTGGACCCATTAAATAAATGCACAGGATATCTATTTTTAATATGTATTTTTAGAGGTAAAATAAGTTTATTTTTTTTTGAATATAATTTACCGTAAATTTTATTAAAATTTGAAAAAGGTGAAAATTTCATCCATACAATAAAATGAGGATTTTCAATTCTACCAGGAAAAATATCTTTTGGTAACCAATCATTAAATTTATGTTTAACTAATTCATTTTCAGGTATATTTTTAAAAATCATTTGATCAGTTTTAAAAGTTATTGTTTCCAGAGAATCATCAATTTCTATTGGATCATTTTGACCGTCTGAAATTGTAAATGTATCATTAAAAATAGTATAAGCTGCAATACCACATGGATAAAGTATTCTTTCTTGTTTATCTTTAATAAAAGGATAACATTCAGATAAAATTTCTTCATTATATATTAATTCTCCAGAAAGTTGTCTATCACTTCTACTATTAACAAACAAATTATTATTTTGATAAAAATTTCTCAATTGATAATATAAGAAGAATTCACCATGTAAATATTTTATTTCAGTACCACTAATCATTGAAGGATTACAATTTTCACTTTTTATTTCAACAAATGTATCAATTGTGAGTCCATTTCCTGGTGAATCTTCATAATTAATAATACATTCGATTGTATTTTTTGAAAGAATTTGAAGATAAACCCCAATAGTTATAAATGTGATACCTACTAAAATATAAATTATAATTAAATAATTTGGAGTATAAGCTGGAGCCCATTTTTCAAGATTATTGTTAATATATTTATTATTATAAATATGGAAATAATTTTCTTCATTTCTTTCTTTTTTCATATTAATTATCGAATGATGTTCAGAATCCAACGGTATTTTCAATTCTTCTCCTATGAACATTTCAGATGATATATTATTATTATTATTATTAGTATTATTACTTTCACCAATTTCATGTTCACTAATATTAGAATTAGTATTTACAACAACTTTATCCACACAACTATTTAATTCATTATCTGTAAATATTAATTTTCCATTATCAAAGGATTCTCTTGTATTATTTCTCTGCTTTAAACTGGAATTAATTTCCATATTCATTTATAGTATGGAATTGTACTATTATAATAATTATAAAGATTTCCAATAATATGTTTAGTTCACCAATATATCCAAAAAATAAAAAGTGTCATGCAGTATATTTCCGATTGATCATATATTAATACTTGTTTACCCTTATTATAAATTTTAATTTTATTATCTTAAATATTATATTTAATATCAGTTGCTAATTTGGTGCATTAATATATAAATAACAAAACTCATATGAGTGAGTGCTATTTCAGCCAATGTAATTTGTTTTTACTCACTCAGAATTTGCCATTTTTTTCATTTATCTGATTTTAATTTTTAGTTCATAAAACTTAAACTTAAAAATTTATTACTTTCTTTTCAATTATAATAATTATTTTTATTTTTTACACACTTATTAATGTAACCGCCACACAGTACCGCATTTTGCTGCCACTTGTCAATTTTGAAATAATAATATTTATAATTTAAATATATAAAAGGAGTGAAAAAAAAAATAAATTAAAAAAGATTTTGATTTTACTTATTTATTTTAGATTTTGTTAAAATGATTGTTTAATCTCTACAATCCAATTAAGTAATTTGACTTCTTACTCTAGTTATTATTCTTTATAATATTACTTTTAACAAATTTTACAGAATTCCGAGAATTTAATAATGACGTAATTATTTGTTTTTTATTTTCATGTGGACAATTATATATAATAATTGCATGTATTACTAATTATATAAAATAAAAATGATGAGTTAATCAATTAAAATTTGTTTTTATTCAAAAAAAAACAATAAGTAAATGAATAAAATTAAAGTTAATTTAGTATGAAATAGTATCAAACATACTTTGTGAAACATAACTAGTAAGTAAAATTCTAAAGATGCCAATTTTGAAGGATGAATTGCAAAAAAGTAATAGTAAGGATGAAGATAAAGATATAATTTTTGGAAAGTTTAATATTGAAAAAAAAGAAGGGTTAAGTTTTTTGGAAAATAGTACAAGAAATGAATTCAATACTTCATTAAAAAAAATTGAGAATATATTGATAAATGCTTATAATCAAGCAAATTCTAATTATAATTCATTCTTTTACAATATTAATATGTTAACTTTACCACATAGTGATATTAATGAAAATAGTAATGTAAATAATGAATCAGAAATATCAGAAATATTAAACATTGGAAAATATTATCAGAATAAAGAAGATAGTTTAAGAATGAAAATATTACAAGGGGTTAATACAGAACTAAATGATAGTTTAAGAATGACTTTGGGTGTAGTTTTAAAAACATATAAAGAATTAGAAAAAATACAAAATAAAATTGAAGATTTAATAAAAGAAAATAGAGAATTAAAAAATGAAACATTTGATTTAAATATTTCAATACAAGAATTAAAAAATGAAAATAATAAGTTATCACGTGAGAATTTTTATTTGAATGAACAAATTAAAGAAAGAATCTCAACTTGTGACAAATATAAAAATGCTCTAAATAAATCAATAAAAACAATGAAGAAATTATATTTTGAAAATGATCATTTTAATAAAGAAATCAATCAATTAGAAAATCAGTTAGTAGTATCTAAACTGAGAGTTGCTCAACATAATGAAGAACTTGAACACATACGTACTTTACTTAAATATTATAAAAATCAAGTAAAAAGTGATTATATACTTTCACCTGCTATTGAACAAATTATTAAAGTTGAACCTTGTAGAATTCCTTCAAACAATAAAGAAATATCCAATAGTAATTATAAAACCACTAATATTGGCAATATATTATCAAAATTATTATTTAATAATGGTTCAAGTACCACTAGAAATACTCGTAAACATAAAAGTAAAAAAGTTTCATTAATACGTACAAACTCTAATCACAATTCACCAACATCATCATCACCATGTTTAAAATTTCAATATAATCAAGAAAATAATAAACAAAATTCTTCATTAACTATAACACCTATTAAACATGATAAATCATTTAATGATGAATATTCACCACAGAGTACTGGTATTGATTATTGTAATAATCATATATTTTTTAATCAAAGAATATGTAAAGAAAATATATTATCATCAGATGATGAAAAGTTTATAGAAAATCTTAATATAAGCCCTCCATCAATCACATCTACTAAAAGTTTAAACAGAGATATTTAGCTAATTATTTATATCGTCATTCAATTGGATATTCGTCGGGTAATTGTCCTCTATTCCATGAACCAGGGCCTGCTTTCTCTACATTTAATGGCGGTACTGGTGACTTTTTTATATGATTACTACTATTAATATTAGTATTAGGACTAAGTATTTTTAAATTTCCTAATTCTGGATTATTTAAATCAATTCTCTTTTGAAAATCATTAGAATCTATATTTGTTAAATCATCTTCTATAATATCTTTATCATTATAATTAATTACTTGTTCAATACTATTCCTTTCGGTCTCACTAATTTGATCATATTCACTGTCTTGCATATTTTCAATATCATTTATTATTTCTGGTACTGTTGTCATTCCAATTTCCATATCTGTTTTAAAATCTTTAACAATATTATTTAGTATTAATATTGAGGAAATTTTATTTCTGAATAATTTTACATATTCAATAACTGAATCAAAATCTTCAGAATCTATTGCCATTAAAAGCATCTCCTCGTCTGCTTGTGTTTCCAATCCAAACTCGTCCAAAATACCACAAAATGAAGATAATAACAATCTACACAAATCTTTTAATGAGGATTTTGAAAATGATTCTTTCATCATTTGAGATTCCAAGTTACTACTTTTTTTGTGATGATTATTTATAGACAAATCTATATTATTTCCATCAATTTGAAAATTATGACGATTATACTCATTATCTTCTCTTTTAATACTTAATTCTTGTTCCTCCATTATTTATGTTAATCTCTTATTAATCACCTTTCTTTAAACTTGATTAGATATAACTTCTTTGCATTTATTTCTTATATACAATTTATTATTCCTAAATACTAATTGAACTACTCCCTATTATTGTGTGTATTCATTCATTATTATCGTAATTTATTTTTTCAATGTTATTCAAAATCTCATTATACAAATTATAATTCAAAATTTATTTGAGATATATTACCCTCATCCACATGTAACCATTATTTTATTAAAAAATGTAAATATGTGGTAACTAGAGATTTCCCGCCTTTCATACAAAATAATAATTACTACTTAACTAATTAGAGTGAATCAACTATAATAATAATCAAGAAAATAAAAAGATAAATCTTTCAATCAATAAATTAAATGTAATTAATATTTCACCTCCACTTATTAGTATCAATATCGCGTGTATCTCTTTCTCTATTGTTTCTTTGGCTACTTTTAGAAGAGTTGTTTGAATTTCTTCCCATTGAAGATGAGTGCTGCTGCTGATTTTTTGATTGATCGTTAGTTCCTGTTCTTCTTAAATCTGAAAAACTGACGTTCTTGTTGCTATTTGTTCTATTAAAACCAGTTGCAGATTCAGTTCCTGCAGAAGCACTTGATGAAGAGTTTGATGTATTAGATACTCCTCTTGTAAAATCACGTGTAAAATCTACTTTTGATGGGCTGGTATTTCCTGAAGTTCCAGTTTTTTGTCTTGTAAATGATATACCTAAAATATGAAAGTTAAAAAATGTATTCATTTTAAGTTAAAAACAAATAACGACTATTTTATTATATATATTAAGAACTTTTATTATATACCAAAAAAAAAAATATTAAAAGTTCATTATTGTTAAAAATATTCATACTGACGTGCAAATTGGGATTATTCATTCATTATTTATTTCTGAAACATGAAAATAATTATTAGTCATATAATAATAATCCTCATGTTCTAGCCAGTTTATAATCATTATAAAAATAACAAAAATGAACTTTAATTCTTTTTAATTCATATTATTAGTTTCTTTTTCTTCATCTCAATAATTTTTAATGATTCATATTTGCATTATTAATAATAATCAAAAGTTCCCGCGCGCGGCATAATTTATATATAAATATTTATAGTCGAATTGTTTTTTTTTTTTGAATAAATAATTTTTTTTTATATCAATTACCCATATAATTTTTAATAACTTACCTGAAGAATTACTATTATTTGATCTATTATTATTTCCAAAACCTCTATTGGAGTTACTATTTCCACCACCTTCTCTTGTAAAACTAATCGTATCACCTCTATCATTAAAACCACCACTGTTACTACTTGAATTTGCATTATTGCTATTCTTAGAATTTGCAGCCATCAATTTAGCCTCAATTTCTTCCTCTCTTTTCCTTTGAATTTCTAATTGTCTTTGCATCTTTAATCGTTTCTCTTCTTTTTGTCTTTTTGCTTCTTCAAGTAATCTTGCTTCTTCTTCCTCTCTTTTAGCTTCTTCCTCCTTTCTTCTCTGCTCTTCCTCATGTAATTTCTTCTCAATAGCCTCATTACGTCTAATTTTTGCTCGAGAAATTTTAAGTTCCTTAATTTTTTTAATACATCTTAATCTTTGTACTTTAAGTTCATCCATAAGTTCTTCTTTTCTTATTTCTAATTGTTTATCTCTCCAATTATTCAAATATGGTAATATTGTCTTCAAAATTTCCTTCTCTTTATGTGCTTCTTTCTTAATTTCCTCAATTTTTAATAAATAACTATCTTGTAATTGTTTATGTAATTCTTTATCACTTTGAATTATCTTATTATTCCATTCATTAATTAATGGAATTTCCTCTAATCTATATGCTCTAGCTAAGTGATCCAATCTTTTAGCTTCTTGTTTTCTTTGTTTAATTCTTTCTTGTCTCTCAAAATTACATTGTTCTTCTTGTAATCTTTCTAAATCATCATATAATATCTTCCCTTCTAATAAATCTTCTAATGTTATTTCATCCAAAAGTTTTCCTTTCAATACTATCTTATTCGAATTAGTATTCTTAAATGCCAACTTCTTTATTGTATCTAACATTATTCTACAAGCTTCAATTTTATTCTTTTTAATTTCTTCCAGTTGTCTTGCCTCTTCTCTTCTTCTTCTATCCTCCTCTCTCTTTTGTATTTCTAATAATTCCTCTTGTGCTTTTGCCTCCTTTTCTTGACGTTTTTTATCCTCTTCAACTCTTTTAAGTTCTTCAATTCTTTCTTTTCTTCTTAATTTAATTTCTTCAATGCGTTTTTCCATTGAAATCATCTCAATTGGAAGACGTCTTTGTACCATTTGAGAAATCTTTGTATTTTGATTCTGTAATCCAATCTTTATATTATCTTTATCTAAATTTCTTAAAAGATTTTCCAACATAAAAGCTGAAACTGATAATTGATTATTATATTTAGACCCTGAATTATTATTATTAATATTATTAGTTGTTAATATTTGTGATGATCCACTTATGCATAATCCAACATTATTTAAATTACCACTTTTATTATTAGTACTATTGTTGTATCCCAAACATTTATCTACAGAATAAATACATTTTCTTGCATAGTCTATTCTTAAATTTATTATTGAAGAATTTGATAGCTGTACTAAAAGCTTTTCTGTATCAGTCCATGGTAAAAAGTCATTTGGACATATATTCTTCAAAAATTGATCAATACAAATAGATGAATATACTTTTGAAATTAACAAGAATAATTTTGTTAAAATAGTTACTTTTAATGGGCGTGTATACTCATTAAAATCTGGATCAATTTCCATTAAGTTTGTAAGCAAACCATTTGTACTAACACATAATTTTAAAGTATTAGATCTTCCTTCAATTACTCCATATAGTTGTTGACATACTGGTAATGATAGTCCTAAAATATTTTTTGAAATTAACATGCTCTTTAATATTTCCCTTGTTGGAATAAATAATGATCCTAACAATAATGCCGCCTTTTTAACTTGATCACCTTGGGGGTAATAATCATTTGATGACATATTTCCCATAAAATAACGTGATTTTGAATTTAAACTCAAGTTATTTTCGCTTAATGGAATAGATAATACTGCTAATACTACTGTTGATGCCATTTTTGTTAATTCTTCTTTAGATACATTCTTTTTAAATTGTTTCAGATGTAGAAAATATTTCAAATGTGCCAAGGCATGAAATGAATAATTTTCCGTTAACAAGAACATCTTACTTAGTATATCATAATACAATGCAACCCACCTTAAATATGTTGGTCTAACTTTCATTGCATGTGCACTATCCATATTTTGTAAGTTAGCAGTATTTGAGGTATTGCTATGTAATGGGAGAGCAGTGCCGCCTAAAAAATTATTTTGATGGACTGTACCATGCAATGTATTTATTTGGTTACTTTGACTATTAGAAGTTAAAGAGGCATTCTGAGTAAAAGAATTTCCTATAAGAGGATCAAATTGGAAAATTCCAAGATGAAAGATTTCTTCTGCAGTAGTAAAACATTCATTCCATAATGATAGTTTTGCTGCACCTCTGAGTTGTACTATACGTGTTTCAAGATGGCATTCTGGTCGAAGCATAACTTCAATTTCTGGACGATGACGATTTGAAACTAAAAGTTGATAATGAGTTCTAAGCAACTCACATAGTGTTTTAAATTCACTGGCCCTACTATGTTGCCAGCAAAAATCTAAGGCTCTTTGTGCAGTTTCATGATATATTCTCTCTAATTTAGGAGTGAGTCTGATAATATCTAAAATCATTTTATATGCTTCCCAAGTAAACCTAAGAGTTTCGTGTAGCTTCTTTTCTTTAGCACCCCTTCTCTCAATCTGTAAACTTGCTAGTAACAAACTTTCTGGTGTTTCTTCTTGCTCAAGATTTTCCTTGATCAAATTTGGATCCATACAATCAACACATTCATTTTTTACTGATTGAAGTTGCTCTTCTGCTCTATTACGAAATTCCACAATAACTTTACCCAATGACCCAATATTAGACTGATGTGTTACATATCTGTATTGATGAAGTCCTTCACGAGCCATTCTTGGTTTTTGTAGGTCCACAGACAATATAATATACTGAATCATCATCAATTCTTGTGAAGAATCCCATCCATGAACTCTAAATCTTCTGTGATTTACTACTGAATGTAGTAATTGAAGAGCAGTTTCATCCTGACCAATTGATCTAAGTTCCTCCACCCTTCTGATTGCATTTTCTGGTTTATGAAATGTCAACATTTTTTATATAATAATACACTAATTTAAATACTTTATCTGAGAGGCACTTAATAAAAATTTGTTCACAACAATATTATTACTTAGTAGAAGTTTTGCTTTTTTGTAAATATTTGACAACTTTATTAACTCAAATAAAAGTAAGGTATTATTAAAGCAAAGTCTTCCTACCACTTATTCTTCCTCTATATATGAATATTTTTACTTCTTGTACTTCTCCTTCTTTATAATTTTGTAAGAAACAAAATTATTTCTTTGTTTTTTTCCCTTTAGTAGTTGGGGATTAATTTATATTTATATATATTTAAATGATTTTACTCTTCCTTTCACCTTGGCGCCAAAAGACAACAATAGTATTAAATAATAGCTCTGTCTCGTTAAATATAATTATTAATAAAGTAATTCCATCATATTTGGGAAATTTTTTTTTCTATAAAAAATTTTGTATTTTGTTTATTTTTAGAAAAAAAATTATTGAGTGAAACATGGTTTAGGAATTCATTCATTTCAATTGTTTATTGTTTCTTTGTTTTATGCTTGTGCACATAATATTTCATTAAAAAAATCACTTATCCCGAGAATTGACCGATGAAACTACTGTTCTATTAATTTCTTTGAATTAATTAAGGAAATTGATTCGAACCAAAGTTTAATTGGTCATTTCATTGCTGACTACATTATTTACATAATTCCAAATATTTTGCCTCATTTCTTAACATAAAAACACCAAGCGGGTTGTCATATTAATATAGTTACCTTGTTCTTGTGGGAAAAAAGAAAATTATTAAATAAATTCATGTTAATGTATAAAAATCTATTTAAAAATTTTTAAAATTAAATTATATCCATATTCCTTATATAAGTACTTTTTAACTGTTTTCGTGAATCTTTAAAAATATTTTTTTTTGATTCGGTAATAAGTATATAAGAAAGTACATTTATATTTCTCTGTTAATCATTCAAATCTGTAATGCAAGAAAAAAATGATGACAAAATAATTGAAAAAAGAGAAGAAAATGAGTTTTTACATACAACTTCAACAAATTGTACAATTGATGAAATAGCTTTATCAAGCTCATTTCCATTAGACAAATACTTGAATCAGCAGTTATTTGAGAGTGACTATTGGGATGATTATTCATCAGATTCTGAAACAGAATATAGTAAAGCTTTGGATGAAAATGACAGATTACATCAAAAAAAACGAGTTTGGAACGATAACCTAGAAAAATCATGTGGAACATGCAACCATATAGAAAATTATACTGAACTCTCAAATATGATAAAATGTGAAGGATATTGCAGAAAACCATATCATTTAAAATGCGTAGGACTTGTAAAACTACCAGATACTCGGTGGAAATGCCAAAATTGTCTCAATCATCTTGTTTTTTGTAACATATGTAATTCATTCGGCAAAAAATCAGACTCAAATTTCCTTAAATGCTACCACCCAATCTGTATGAGATTCTTTCATACTCAGTGTATTCTTCATTGTAATCATAATATTATTTGGACCTTCAATAATTCATGTGGACAAACTTCCATGGCGCCTAATCAGAATGCATGTATGCACCCAGAGATCAATATAGGTGGTAATATATTTAAAAAAATTTTTGGGACGGAAAATGTAGAGAAAGAAGAAATAACTATGAGATTATTAAATGAATTCGGGTTTAAATTCATTTGTAATCGTCATTATTGTTCAACTTGTAGTGATTATACAAAAAAAAATAAAACCAATCAAAGTGGGGTTATAATTGAAATTTCAAAGAAAAAAAGAACTACTTTTAAATTAGACAATCCAAATGATTTATTTTATTGTATTAAATGTAATTCGGCATATCATGATCATTGCTTACACCCAGATTCTATTAAATTAATTAATGGGGTTTGTATTTGCTATAAACATATACATAATCAAAGTGAAATGATTTTGAGTACGTATAATATTAAAGAAGAAATTGGATTTAAGTTGAAAACTAAGCTAAAGAGTTATTTTAATTCTAATAATGGAGAAAAGTTAAATAAAAAACTAAAATTGGAGTTAATTCAAAAAATAGTTAACCATTTGGAATCTTCCGATTATAAACTTAATTCACTACCATTTGAACTACCTGGCCAATCAAAAGACTGGTTATATATAGAAATAGAAAATTTAATTAACGAAAGCAATATGAAAAATGAAGGTAAAAAGATGATCAATTCTTTTCAAAATTATGGATTTACACATATAAAAAGAAATATCTATATAGAAAATATAAATGAATCCCAGGATGAGAAATGTGAACCATTACCAATTAGTGATTCTTCTGAAATTAAAAAGAAAAAAAAAGAAAAACATCTTAAAAATACTCAAAACTTAAAGAAAAAAGCATTTATTTATAATAAAAAAGACAAAATATTTAATGAAAAGTGTGTTTGCAAGACAATTTGTGACAAGGATACCTGTCAAAATGCTGCAATGTACATTGAATGTAATTCAAATATATGTGGCTTACATGAAAAACTTCAGAAAAAAAATTGTATGAATAGAATATTTAACAGTAATAATAACAAATTTTTAGATAATCAAAAGAAAATTATATTGAAAAATTTAAAAGTAATAGATGCTGGAGAAAAAGGGTTCGGAGTAACTACTAATATGACTATTCCAAAAGATACTTTTATTATAGAATATGTTGGAGAAGTCTTAAAAAAAGAAAATTACTTAAAAAGAGTTGAGAAATATAAGAAAAGAGAATTAGAATCAAGGAAAAAGTCTCTAATGATGGATTTTTATAAAGATAATTGTGATTATAATGAAGATATTATCTTATCAAAAGATACTAGAGAAAGGCACTGGTATTGTATGGAGATTGGAAATGATTATATAATTGATAGCACAAATAAAGGAAATCTAAGTAGATTAATTAATCATAGTTGTGATCCAAATTGTATTGCACAAAAGTGGCTAGTTGGAAATGAATGTAGAGTTGGCATTTTTTCTCAAAGAGAAATTAAACCAAATGAAGAACTTACTTATGATTATTCATTTACAGCTTTTGATATTGGCTTTAAATGTAAATGTAATTCCCCTTGTTGTAAAGGGAGAATTGGGATAGAAAACTTTAAAGAATCTAATCAGGAGCTTATTAAGAAGAGAAATGAATTATGTATGAAAAATAACATGTTAAACTCATTTATAAGCTTAAATAAATCATTATTTAATAATCCTATTTTTTCAGAACTGGATGAAATATTTACATCTAGATTTGATTACATAAATGATCATCAAGATTTATACTATAAAACAGAAAAATATAATAATAATATTAAAAAATATAATGAATTATTACATGAACATATTACTAATAGGATTCAAATTTACCCATATGATTTTAAATTTAGAAATTCATTATATGGTTATACAAGTCTTTTATTCTTTGATTCTCCTGACGTTATATCAAATTGGTATTTAAAGAAATCAAAAAATATTACATTAATGAATAAGCCTTGGATTATTCTTCCTTTTGTATTTAACTCAAAAGAGTTTAATTATTTAAAACATCCTTTTAATTTTAATTATTTAAAGAAAAAAATATGTAAACGTTTATCTATTTATTTAGACCAAAATAATTCAAATTTAAGTAATAACTCACTTTTCTGGCATTTATTTGATTTGGGAATTGGTAGTGACGAATGTTGCAATATTTGCAATAATCCTGGTACATTAATTACTTGTGATTATTGTTATGATTCATTTCATAAATATTGTCTTTATAATAGTGAAATAGTAAATAATTTGAAAAGATCACGTCTTTCTTATAATTATAGTAAAGAAGAACAGAAGGTAAAATGTAGAAATTGTATAGAGAATGAGTTGATATCAGTTTATTGGCTTAAAACTACCTATAAACGAAGAAAATATAACTACTTTTTGAAACATAAAGTATTTTCAATTCCATTATATATGAATAAAATAAGTCTTCTTAAGTAATCTTGAAAAATATTAAATTTATTCATTATGGCTTGAAATAGTAATGATTGATTAATTAGTTAATTAAGAATTTTTTAATTATTTAAAGTTTTGATACTATTGTTTTTTATTATGGCTTAGAAAAATATCAGGTTAAGATTAAATTCATTTTTCATCCTTAGGGTCATTAATACCTCCTTCCGTGATAGAAAAAGTGGCATCACCTTCAGGTAGATTAGGAGAATCGTATATTTTACAAATTCTTGTTTCTCCTCTTCCTTTTTTGAGGAATAATCTAGTTTGAGAAGCATGAGCAATAATGTTACCTCCAATAGGTACTTTATCATTTTGAAACATAGCAGCCATAGCATCAACTTTTGACATTACTTGATTAGTAATCACAACAGCAACTCCAAAAGTATCTGCAATTTTTTGAAGTGCTCTAAGAAACTGTCCCAAATGACTTTGTCTTGTTGCTAATTCTCCTCTTCCATTATATTCTGATCTATAAAGAGCTGTTGCACTATCAACAATCATTAATGCAAATCTGGATTCTGTCATCATAGCTACAGCTGATTGTAATAAATCCATCTGGTGTTCAGTATTAAATCCTCTGGCATATGCAATATTATCTAAGCAGTCTGAAGAATTTAAGTTAAATCTATCAGCAATTTGCACAATTCTTTCAGGCCTGAAAGTACCTTCAGTATCAATCCATAAACACTTTCCTTCCCCACCTTTATGCTCAACAGGAAGTTGACATGTTACTGCTAAAGTATGACATAATTGAGTCTTTCCTGTTCTAAATTCACCAAAAATTTCTGTAATACTTCCAGTTTCTATTCCACCTTGTAAAAGCCTATCTAATTGGTTTGAACCTGTTGTAAATTTGATCAGATTAGTTCTAGCTTCTAAATATTCAGTTCCACTACAAAATCCCATTGCTACTAATTCCTTACATGCAGATTTTATTTTATCACATTTCTGTTCACTAATTCCTTTAACTGATAATAAAGCCTTTTTAGGAGCATAAGCAAGACATTCTATTGTATGGTACCCATTTTCACGAAGTATTTCCAGATCTCTTTTTGTTAATCCGCTTGGAAGAAGATGTTCCAACTTTAATGGACCATTATAAACTGTTTCATTTAAAGTATTTTGATTTTCATTATTTTCAGTAACTAGTTCGTTTTGATTTACTGTCGACATCATTTAAAATGAATTAATACTAGTTTAACTTTAATTTTTTTTAGTTTTGAATTACTACAAAAGTTTATTAATGTTATTTCACCTCTATATATTCCTTTTGATTTAAGAATCTGTCATATAAATCTGATACTTTAATTCACTTTTGTTGAGCTCTTTTTCAAAGTTGTTTAGCAGTTATGACTGACTCAATTAGTCACTCAACAAATAATGTTGATATATAATTGTTTGAAAACAAATAATATTATTGTTTCTGTTAATACTGCTGATAATTTTTTCTCTCGTCCAATTTAATTAATTAATTTTTATTTAATTAAAAAACTCATTAGAGAATAAATTATACAAATATTTCGTGTGGCGCCAAATTTCCCCACATGTGGTTTCACATGCACCGGTATAGAGAATATTGCAATGATGCATGTGGACAACAATTTTTAAAAATGGTCCAATAGATATTAAGAAAAAAAATAAACATTAATAAAATAGTTGGAATTAAATAAATATTTGGAATTTTAATTATTTTATTATTTTTAAGAAAAGTTTAAATAGATTCCAAAAGACAAGTCCAAATACTACAAAAAGAATACTGGTATGATTAGAGAGTAAAGATTTAAAGGTTAAATAATTATAACAATCTACTTTGGAAATGTTTTATAAAAGGAGAAAAGCAAATTATTTACATATATAAAAAATGGAAAAAATAATTCTTCATTATGCAACTTTTAAACTAAGAATAAATCATAAGTTGTTGGCGCCTACTTTATTATGAGAAATATGCATTAAAAATGTGCAATATATAAAGATATGCATAATTTTGAATATCCAATGCATTTTAGGTGAGGGGAAAATAATAAATTATATTATATTACAATGGGGTACCTTAATAATAATTAAATACGAGGATAAATGATCTAAATATCTACGCACTTATTATTGGATCTCGTTAACGGGGTAAAAAATATAATATATATAAAAAGGTGTAGTGATAAAGAGAGTGAAAGGAGGAAGATTGAGGATTGAAAAAAATACCAATAAGTAAAGGTTATTGTAGAAATACCATAACATTAATTCAAGTAGATCGAATAAAAAAGAAAAGTAGATACTTATCTATGTATATATTTAAAAGGCAGCTTGATTTAAAGGAATTTTAATAAATCTTTGATTGAATGGTGAAACAAAAATAAATAAAAAGTGAACAAAATTATATATGTGTATATATATAAAAATATATATACAATATATATTATTAATAAATGAATACTAGATTTATTTTACAGCTTTGCTAAGCTATATTTCACAATCAAACAAAATTTTAAAAGATTAAGGTAAGGAGAAAATTGGATTAAAAAAAGTAATGGAGGCAGTCTTGGATGATATTAATCATGAAAAAATTTCAGAGAAAGTAATTATTTTTAATGGAGGTAATAAAAAAGAGATGAATGGATCAATTGATGCTAACATTTATAATTATAATGCTCAGCTTCCAAAAGGTGATTATGATGAAATAATCACAAGACACTATTCAGCAAATAATAATGCAAATGTCAGTAATAATCTTTTACACCCACAATATAAAAATAATAAAAATGATGTAGTTGAGAATTATTTGCCTGGCTATTGTACCGGAGAAAATATCTCTTTAAATTATAATTTAAACCATAATCAAAATACTAATGTTGGAACTACCATTTATAATGAGAAGATTATTTGTAATCATTGTAGTTGTCCAGTAAATAAAAATAATGCAATTTCAGTTAAAGATACTAGGATTTGTAATTGTATGGTTAATGAGAATATATTGCTTTATTATAATGAAAAAGAAATACAAAGTAAGGGAAATCAGATAAATAACGGTTGTCATGAAAATATTGGAGATTCAGAAAACTTAATAGGAGCATTATCACCTCAATCTATAGTGACTTCAATGTCAATTACAACTCCATTGTACTCTACAGGGATTAATAAAGATATTATAAATGCACGAAAAGATGAAGAAATTATTTCAGATATCAATGGAAACTTTATCTTAGGTAGTAATCAATCAATTGAATCGGAAAATTGCCATAATCTTAAAGGAATCAACTCAAACTCAACTTCAACCTCAAACGTATTAAGTATTAATACAAAAACAGGCATTTTGAATAGTAATATTATTATCAATGGACCAGGTAATATTAGTAGTAATGGTAATACTAATAATTCTAATATCACTACTACTACTAATAATAGTAATAATAATACTGTCACTACTATAACTAATAATAATAACAATAATAATAATAATAATAGTAGTAATAATAATAGTAATAATAATAATAATCATATGGCAAATTCTGTATGTAATTACACAAATTCTGGAGTTAGTGTTGGGAATATAATTCAAAATAGCTCATTATTATTATCAGGATATTTAAGTGGTACACCAGCACAATCAAATAGTAGGAAGATATTGGCAAGAGTAAGAGAATTATGGTTGAGTAATATAGTAGAGGGATTGCCAAGAAAGATTGCTGCTTTCATATTACAAAGGCATGGAAATCAGATCCCATATGATAGACAATTTTGGTCATATGCTTATAAAACAGGAAGATTGCATCCAGCGGAGGAACAAGTACAAAGACAGTTAAACGAAGGAGTACAATGCCTTAATAGATTTATTCAACAACTTATTAAATCATGTAATATTATGAGAGATCATATGCTGAGAAAACAGACAAATTCAGCAAGATATAGTGAAAGAAGATCAAATGGAACAAGAGGATATTGTAATCGTCGTATTTCTGGTAGAATGAATAATCATCATATGATGATTAGTAATTCAAATATTAATACTAATGATATTGAAAACATTGAAATGAATAGAAAAGAAATAAAATTTAATGGAAACATTGGAGAAATTGGAATAAAAAATTGTGCAATGCCTTTGTTACCTACAATCAATAACGGAGTAATTGAAGATATTTCAAATGGAGATGAAATTAATGAAGCAGAAATATCAGGGTTTATGAATGGAAGTATGGGAATGACAGGAGAAGGTATTATGACAGTCGGTGAACAAAATATATTGTTATCATCAGGTAATTTAATAGACTTAAATAATAGTAAATCCAAAGATTTAGAAAAAAGATTAAATGATGGTATACCATTATTAATAAATGAGAGAAGAAAAAATGAAATTTTGGAAAATCATTTATTACTAGGGATGAATTGTAATAACAATACAGGTAATAATAACGTTATTCATAATGAAAGCAATATTGTAGATAATGGCTTGGTATTAGACGTAGATTCAGAAGACTGTAATAATAGAATTGCTGCAACTATTGGAAATATTGGTAATCATAAAACTGTAAATGGTAATTTATTGGGTGATTATAGAGATGGGATGGAAGATGATGAGGACGATGATGATGGCCAGATTGCAGAAATACCATTAGACTTAACTGATGAATATTTAGCTAAATGGTTGGATGGAAAAAATGCTTTAATTATTAGAAAATTAGTTAATGGCGATAAGGATGTACAAACTATTGATTTACCAACATGTTTGAATAGTGATAATTTATACAGAGCATTAAGATTTGGGGGATTATTAGTTAGAATACCACCATATAATCAAAAAAGTTATGAGCACTTTAATTTACTATCTCCAGGAAGGGGAGATACAAGGCATACTCAATTAGTAATACCAGATGGAGAGAGAGATATTGATGTAAAGAAAAGTAGAACATCTTTAGCACTTCCAGAATTTCTTGTTGAAGATATTCCATTACCAAAAGTATGTGTTTTTCAAATTGAGGCCAAGTTGGAATTATTGTTATTATATAGAGGATGTTCATCAAAAAGGCCACATACAAAAAGGGGTCGTAGTACAGTTAATACAGCCAATACATCCAATCAGCCTATTCATTTGAATGTTAGAAATAATACTAACATTAGTAGCATTAATAATACAGGTATACATCCAAATATAGGTATGACAATCCCCATTACAAGTCCTGTAATGAATCAGATTTCGTCTACTGGTAATACTTTGAATAATAATAATAATAATAACAATAATAATAATATCAGTAATCATGTTAGTGGAACACATCCTAACATTACAGTTACTCTCTCTACTGCTAATACAAACAATTCTATTTCCACTAATTCTAGTAATAATGATGGCGATAAATCCAGCAATACAAGTAATATATGTTCAAATAATATAAATGGAATTATATCCAGTAACAATAACAATAATAACAATAATAATAATAATAATAATAATAGTATGATTAATTCTGGTACATCATCTTTGTTAATATCTGAAAACAATGGATTAAATACAGTACATTCTGGAGTTTCAATTAATGAAGGTAATAATACTCTAATGGATCAATTAACACAATCCCAGATCATTTTAAATAAGATAATAGGTAATAATCATAATATGACTGATGTAATAAATAATCACAATATAATTGAAAACAACATCAATATTCATGGAAATACACAATTAATAAATAATCAGGTTTCAATGAATATGGTTAATGAAAGTGATTTATTTTCTAGGATAAGTTCTTTGGGAAATAATGGTGTTGATACAAATTCTATTTCTAATATAAATGGAAATTCAGTTACAGATACAAGCACTATTAGTAGTAATGGTAGTGGAGTAAACATGAATACAGGTGAAACTATTGCTACTCCTGTTATTAATAATAATATTAACCATGAAAATATTAATAATATAACAATTCACCAAATTCACCACGAAGATATGTTACTAGGAGGGGGTATCATCTCAGACATAAATAATTGCAATTATTCAACTTCAAATATGAATTCAGCTTTGATAGAAGATTTACAAAAACAGTTCTCAAATAATAATACTAATAATAGCAATAACAATAGTAATAATAATACTAATAATACCAATAATAATAATAATAATAATAATAATAATAATAATAATAATAATAATATTGGAGGTTATCCATTGAGCTCTAGTTCTTTAAGAATGAACAATATGGTAAATAATAATGGAAATATTTTGGGATACAATAACCAAAATATTAATAATAGTTCAACACCAACCCCATCTACAACAGTATCAACAAAGTATTCTGATAATTTATATAGTTTTAAGAAAAAATCAAATAAGAATGACGATTCTGTTTACTATTATATAGATGGTACAATGGAAGATAACGAGAATATGAGTTCAAATAAATTGAATAGTAATACAAATGTAATACATCCATTACCTTCAGTATGTTACATTCCAAATACGAATAATTCCTGTATTAATGATGAAGAACAGAATTTAAACCATATATACCATAACCAATCTCCAAATAATATAGGTGATATTCCATATAATAATCACATAGTACTGAGTAATAATAATAATAATAATATTTCATTAAATAATTCAAATTTAATGGTTTCCGGTATAAGTGATAGTCATTCAAATAGTAATACAAAAAGTAATATGCCATATATTGATGAAATTGACTATTTTAACAGTGTATTTAACGACAGTGATGGTAATAATATTAAGAATGGAAACAATGCTAATATTGGAGGAGGAATATTGGGTATTAATAATAATAGTAGTAATAATAATAATAATAACAGTCAAAGCAATAATCCAAATGGTGATACAAGGAATAGTAACATTAATGCAAGTGAAATACAACATCCATGTTTGAATTGGGGAGTCAATCCAAGATAATGAAATTATAAATGAAAAATTAAGTAAATATTTATTATTAACAGTTCGGTTTTTTATTAAATAATCCTTTATATTTTTCACTGTTGGAATTCTTGTATTTATTTTCAATCAAGATAATATCATTTCTTAACTTAATAAAGGCAGATTTATCATCATTATTACTGGATAAAACATTATTAATAATTTCTATAGCTTTTTTATGTTCGTAAATATTTATATAAGCTTGTGCAAGTCTATATAATGCCTTTAATACAAAAATATTGGCAATTTAAATATATTAAAAAAATATTATATTAGAATTATTGTTTGGTTAAATATAATGGAATAAATTCAGTGAATACTTACTTTAACATTATTAGGATCGTTTTTTAGTACATTATTACAGTGAAGAATAACCATATTAAATTCCTATATAGTGGATATAATATATTAATTACTTATATATATATATATATTTATATATATTCATATATATTTATATATATTTATATATGTATATATATATTAAATAAACAACTTACATTAATTTTTAAAAAGCATGCAGATAAATTGAGATGAATACGTGTAATAAGTTTGTTATATTCTTCTTCTAGAGTTTTGTCTTCAGGAAAAGTGTAATCTACGTAGATGAGTGCATTCTTATACTCCAATATTGCTTCTTCAATCTCGTTATTTTGATATTTAGCATTTCCTTCCTACAGGTTGTTTATCATTATTGTATCATATAGTGGGGAATTGTATTATTAAAGGTAAATAATAATAAAGAATGATTATGGGAATGTAAATACAAGAAATAAGTTTTGATTATTTTTTTTCAATTTATTATATTTTTCTTTTTAATAATATTAGAAAGGAAAATAAACTTACGTCACAGAATAATCTAATAGCATTTAGCTTATCAGTGGTAGGCCTCTCAAATAATTCTCTTTCCTTACTTCTATCATGGTTACATGCTTGATAATTCTTTAAAGAATTGTTGTATTTATCATAGTTATCCAAAATCTTCCGACAAAACTCGTACTCACTTCTTGATGTTTCCATTATTGTTATTCACACAAAACTTAATATTATTTTTTTTTTTGACACGTATGGCGGGAAGTTTATTTTTACTAAAAGAAAATAAGAACAAAAAATAAATACATGTAGAGATGAGAGTGAGAAGAATAGTAGAAAATGTAAACAAAGAAAAAAATGAACAAATCAAACACAGATAATAAATATCAATACTATATTATATCAGAAAATCTCTAATTTCAACGATAAAATGGAAATAAACAAAAAATGTCATTCAATTGAATAGAATGGATAATCCATAATGTTTGAACTTAGTAATTTCTCCTCGATATTATTTTTTTCTTCCCTTTTAGACTTTTAATATTTATGTTTATTTAAAGTTTGAAACTAAAGAGAAAAATTGTATAAAAGTAAAGATATTTCATATTTATTCTCACAATAATTATTTCACTATTTTTCATTTCTTATTATTATTATTATTATTAATACTTCATTTAATCTTGTCAATATTAGCTAAATTATTTAGAAATATTGATATTTTGATCAATTTAGAACCACTTCAAGATACCTTTTTTTTCGTTTATTATTTGGTATATGACAATTATCCATACAATGGAGAAACAACACTTTCTAATTTACCTTTAGCTTCATTGTATTTAGTAACAAATTGTTCAGGAATTGCAAGTTCCTTCCAGTCACCTTCTTCTTCTCCTGGAAAGAGTAGATTCATTTCACTAGATTTACTGCTGTAAACCTCAACATTCTTTCCTTCTTTAGATGTGTAGATATTAACTTTATTTGACTGATCAAGAGAAATTGTCGGAACAACACCAGTCATTTGCAATTTAACATCATCGCAGTTAACAATTTCTATGGATGAAATTACACCATTTACAAGGAAAATACATCCAACACAATCTTCGATAAAGATACTATTCACCTTTTGTTCAATAACAATTCTGCTGTTTTGAGAACATCTTACTGATATCTTATTCTTTATGCTTCCTTCTTTTAATACGACTGGTTCATTGCAATTTACATGATTTTCAATTACATAAGTATCCTTCTGTAATTCCACTTTTGGACTACCAGTAGTGACTACTTGTCTTGCTCCCTTCATTTCTAGTTAAAGTTGCGATTATTTAAATAGTACTTTATTAGTTTACTGACTTTTTTTTATTAGTATAAATTTATTTATCTATTTTTTTTATTTATTTATCATATATATTTGTATTTAGATATATATATATATATATATATATATATATTAATTATATATCGATAATAACTAGTAATTTTATAATTTACTAATTATTTAATAATTAAAATATTCTCTATCTAATTTTTTCATTTTTTTTTGCATGCATAAAGATATTTGATATTTTATTGTTAATTTTTGGATATTCTTATAATTAATTATTACTTTAAAAATATTCACTAATTTTATTACTATTAATTGTGATTTTACGTATACGTGCAAATCCTATTAATCCCAATTCCTAATTTTTTTTTGTAATTTGAATCTGACTTTTAATATTTTTACATTTCTTTAGATATACATGTTTCCCGCCAAAATAATATAATTTTAGAATCGTATATAAGAAAGAAAAAAAAAAAAGATGTTTGATATTGAAATGATTTGCATAATTACATAAGTTTTTAACATTGTTACCATTTTTAATTTGCAAGAATTGGCAAACTATATATAAAACCTTGTAGAATATAATTTTATTAGATTAAATGATAATGAATAATAAATAAATGCACAGGTATTCCCGCCACATATATAATATAGTGCAATTAGACTAATTATTAATAATAAAGTTTCTTTTTTTTTTAATAACAAATAAATATAATGAGATAAAATTGATTTAAATAATGACTAAGTTTTATACATAAAAATTAATGAAATCTTTCTTAGTAAGATTTCTTCTACACCTTGGACACTTTTGTTTTCTTTGAACAAGATTTCCTGCACAATTTAGGCAGAAGTGATGTCCACAACGGGTAATAACTACAGGGGTACGAATATTAGGGAGAAATTGATTAATAGTTAATGTTCTTGACATAATGTTGTCCCAATCTTCTAAACATATTGGACATGTAAATTTTGCAGCTTTTTCTTTTTCTTCTTGGGTTAGTTCAACAGGTTTTCCAATTACTTGATTTCTATTTTGATTGTTTATATTACTAGAATTCATTGATCTATTTAGAAAATTTACAATATTAGAATATATACCAAGTAAAGGGAAATTATTTGGTACATTTCCCGATAATTCATTTAATGACATGTTAAAAATTCCTCTCGAAGGAAAGTGTGGTAGTGATGATGATGATGATGATGAGGATGAGGATGATGATGAGGATGGATGTGTATAGACTGGAGTTCTATTATTTCTTCTAAAGGTATTAGAATTAGCTCTAATAGTACTACTATTACAGTCGATTACTTCAATTACCTGTTCATTGTCGTCACTATCTTCATCTTTACTTTTCTCCAATTGTCTATTATTGGTTGTATCATCTTGTTCATTCACCAAGTATACATCTTCAAACGAGTTATTTTGAAAAGATGAGGAAGACGAAGAAGAGGATGAGGAAGAAGAAGATGATGATAATTTTGATGAAGATGATGATATAGAATAAGAAGCTGCCGAATTAGGATTATTTTGTTGGTTCAAGTTAGTAAAACATTCAATATTGTTATTGTTTTCAATGTGATTTCCTTCAGTTATTCTTTTCTTCTGAATACTTTTCCTAACTTTTCTAATTTTTTTGAATGTTTTATGTTCATTTTCACTTTCAGAACTCGAACTTGAGCTCAAAATGATAATGTTGCTACCGTTATTTTCAGCCATTAAAACTTATAATATAATTTATTTACCTTTATTATTACAAATTTAATAGAAAATTATGTACTCTTCTCGTTATTTTCTTTCAATATTACTTGCTTTGTTGCCTATATATTTAAGAACCAATTCAATTTAGAGATATCCAGTTATTTCTTTATTTAATTACTATAAGCCCCCAAAGAGTTTACATAATATAATCAAGTATATATACACATTTATTGATGTTAGTTGTTATTAGTATGTATATATATTAATTAAATATATTATAGAAACATATATACATATATGTATATATATATTATATATATATATATATGTATATACATTCATATCATATAGTATAGCATTTGAAATGCACCTTGAAACTCCTTGCCCAATCTCTCTTTAATTTCGTTCCAAGTAATAAATCAGAAAATTTACTCTTCCACTAAAATTTTACAATTCATTTTTGAATTTATTACAAGCTCCCGCTTTATTTTGGCGCCAATTTAAGTGGTATTTTTTAAGTAATAGTATATAATATTGAATAAGTTGCACTAAGTTGAATAATTAATACAAGTATTGTGTAAATATTGAGTATTTTTTAAATAATAATTTTATTATATTATAAACACATTTATACATAAAATAAATTCAACACACACTAAAAAAATATTTCAAGTTAGATGATCATTCATTTAAAATAATGATATCTGATTCAAACTTTAGTATATATCATATTCACCACCTTGAAAAAGTCTTGGATGAAAAAGAGTTAAAGTCATGGGATTCTGATATCAATCATATTTTACCAGGTAAGTTCAAATAAGCTTTCTGAATTTTAGTGCAAAGAATTAAGGAAAGAACTTAATTAATGTACCTCAATATTTATTATTTTTACTATACACGTAACAAAAAAAAATTACAAATAATTATAGAAACATGCTTAAATATTTGCAATATAGATAAATTCAAAGATACTGATGATGCATTTGAAGTTAACATTATAGATTCTATTCAATTATATCAAAAAGAAGCAATTGAAACTCAACTATCTACCATTGAAAAGCTTGTAAACCTGGATGGTATGTTGTCAACATTATTTCCATTTATTTCTCATAATATGTATACAGAAAATGAAAATGATATGATATTTTCGAATAATACAATCAATTTAAATAATGTAATTTCTTTCTTAGATCAAAATTCTAATATTACTGACAATAATAATAATCATCATCATAATCATAGTAACAGTAATTTAAATATTAGTAGTAGTGGCAATTTAAACAATAGTACTACTTCTCCTATACTTAGATCAACAAATTTATAAAGGTATATATTAATTATAAACTTATATTATCTCAAACACAAAATTTGAAATCTCATTCTGTGCTTTTTTCATATGTTTTGAATTTGTTAATAAATGATTACCATTATTAATTTCTACCAATTTTAAATATTTATTATTTTTAATATTAATATTATCAGAATTTTGATTGTAATTATTCAAATTTAATAAATTTAGTGACATTTTAAAAGGTACTGATTGATCATCTGTACCATGTATTAATAATATTGGACAATTTATTACTTTTTCTTTATTTTCCAATAAAAAGTTAAATTTTGGAAATATCTTATATGATTCCAAATAATCTCTTGAAATTAGTTTATCGTCATTTTTTATTAAATCTATATTACTATTAACAATTGGTATATTTGTGTTAATTTTTGTATATCCCAATTCTATAAATTCATTCAGTTGATTATTATTAAAATCCAAGCTATAACTGTCTGGAATATCATCTACACATCCAATACATATTATACCAATTAAATTAGAATTAGAAATAAAATAATCATTGTTATCTTTTATATTTCTTTTAGTATAATTTGTTGAATAAGAAAATGTTAAAAATGCTCCTGTACTTAAACCAATCATTATTAATTTTGAATTTTTAAATAATACACCAGAAAAATACTCTACTATTGTCTCAATGTCATACATATCTTTTATTAATGTTTTATCATAAAATTCTCCTCTTTGAGTAAATTTACCAATACCATTTGTATTAAATGATATAAATAAAAATTTCTCAATTTTGCTTTTTTCTTTCAATTTATTTATATGATTCTCATTTAAACATATATCCCTCATCTTTTCACAAAATCTAGATAATTTTATATGATCATGAATTAGGTCTTTAATAATCTCCAATTTATAAGAAATATCAGAACGATTAAAATCATTATTCAACACTTGAAATTCTACTTGATTTTCTTCATTTTTATAATCTATTGAATAATCCGGAAATCCATGATTATATACATATATCAGGACTTGATTTCTTTGTATATTTTGATCATTTTGAGTAAAATATTCTAATATTGAGAAATTACTCTCAATATAAGTTAATATCCCATTAACTCTTAATAAATTTACAAATCTTTGAGACATATCAAAATAATTAATCCACTGAAGCAAAGTCTATTAGATTTTGGTTGTCAATTTTGTTAAATATCTTAAAAGTAGGTATTAACTTAATATCTTGAGAAATAATTTTATTTTTACTATTATCCAAATTAATCTTGGATTTATCTTTTTTAGTATCTTTAATGATAAAACTTAACTCACTTAATGAACTTTCAGGTATGTTTGGATGAAGATTTAAAAATTTCTCAACTTGTTTGTATCTATTTTCTCTAACTTGTTCAATTAAATCACTGATTGCTTTCTTCTCTGATAATAAGTATTTATGTATTATATAATTTGAAGTACTTATAAAAAAATCACCTAATTTTAATAACTTGTTAGATATATCAAATTGACTATATTCCAATCCTTGCAATGTTACCACTTTATTATTTTTCTTTGATTGATTTATTTGAATATATTCTCTCCTTAATGCCGAAAGTGACTCTCTATTTATGTTCAAATTAATATCAAGTTCAATTAACTTTTAGAAAGAACAATTTTTTTAAATCAAGTTATTTATTTCAATTTTATATGTAATAATTACATAACGAACTTACTTGTTGATGCTGTTGTATAATCTTATCTGCTTCGTAGGTAAGCTTCTTCAAATCACTAATGTATTTACTATTATCAGAAAAAATCTCCATTATTTAACTTAAGGAAATTTTCTCAAGTTATCTTAGGTTAGTATTATTAATAAAAATTAATAATATATATTTTTGACCAATTCTTTTGCATTTATATAATTATTAATTTTATTTTATTCATGTGGGTAGTTTAGGCGCCAATATTAAATATTTTTATTAATGTAATTTTATTACAAATTATTAAAAGAAAAATAAACATAAACTGATCAAGTTAATATAAAACCAATCTGAAATATCAAAATTTGTTTTTAAACCAATAAAAAATTCTTTAGCATTTGATATTTTTAGTTATTAGAAAAAATAATGCAAGATTCAACACAAATAATTAAAGAATATAAAATAGGTAAAATGACGTGGGATGGTAAATTAGTAAAGGCATGCATAGATAAAGGAAAACTTCAGTTTATAAAAGAACTAAATGAAAACACACATAAAATTAGGTGGTATAATATAGATAAAAAAGTTTACGAGGATGAAGTAAAAATAGAAAAAGAACTAAAATTTGATATAATTAAAGAAAGTAAGAGTAATAATGTTTTTGTATTAAAGAAAAATTGCCAACCATTGAGTATTTACTGGATACAAGATAGAAAATTGGTTCTTGATAGCCTTTTAAATGATTTAAATAATCAGATAAATTTAATATTAGATGATAATAATAACATTCAGTCAAATACCAATGATTTAAACAAAACTATAAGAAGTATTCTTGAACAGATGAATAGTAATACAAATAAAAGAAGAATCTCATTATCAGAAATATTAACCAGCGAGATTATTAATGAACTTAAACAAGATCAGAATCTAATTGAGGAACTTAAAGAACAAATGCCTTTAAATCAAAGAAATCTTCAAGATATTAACTCAGCATTGAATTGTCCTCAAGTTAAATATACTATGAGATTATTAGATGAATCTATATATTCTGAACAGATCTTTACACTTTCGACTGCTCTTGGATTAGATATTAATTTTGATTCTTTAATTAATAAAAATCCAATGAAAGTATTTATTAATGCTTTAAATGAAAAATATAACGAAGAAAAACAATAGATTTATTTGAAAGGCTTGATTCTATTCTTTATATAATATTCCCTTAATAAAGTTGGCTTATCTGACATTATTCCATCTAATTCTAATTCTTTACATATATTCATTTCTTTTTCATTATTACACACCCAAGCAAAACATCTTATACCTCTTTTTTGTAAATGTTTTATTAATAATTTTCTGCTAAATAACCAAACTAAAATATTTGGTATCAATTCATTCTCAATATATTCTAAATGGTATTTACTTAATTTTAAATATTTAGAAAGCTTATTTGCAAAAACTCTTCCATATGATGAAAAGAATGTATAACTCATAGGAAAAGATAATACATGCTCTTCTATATTAATCCAAGGTAAGAATCCCATAAAATATGCAAGAAAAATCTTTAATAATTTTTTTTTACCAATACATATTACTAGTTCTGGTGAATTTTTATTTCTATTATACTCTTTAAAATAACTAACATTTTCATTACAAAATGAACTTAACATTGTCTTATTCTCTCTTTTATATCTTCTAACCAACTCAACAGTATGTGAAACTGCTATTTTATTATTAGGATTTTTAACATCTACAGAAATTAATATATCAGGATATCTCTGAAATAATTCTTCTAATGTTACTAATTTTTGTGATGAAAACTTTTTTGGATAACCTCTCCATTCATTTTGATTCAAGAAATCTGAAGATGGGATTAAACTTTCTGAATCTTTTGTCATTGGAAGATCTGCATAGTTAATTTCGCTTATTGATTGATCTAAACCACAAACATGTAATAAACTCTCATCATGCATTACAACCAACAAATTATCTTTTGTTAACCATACATCCGTTTCCAACATATCTGTATTACAATAATTTATTGCATGTTCAAATGCCATAGGTGTATTTTCTGGTGCTTCATCAGATCCTCCTCTATGAGAAATATGTAAACAACCATTCCCTTTTCCTAAAACACTTTCAGAAACTTTTAATTTTGAGTTACTCCCATTTATTGTTCTTAATATTTTCGGAAAATGTAATAGTAAATAATTTATTACGAAAATTATTACTAATATTTCTAAAACCATTTTTTAATTAATTTAATTTCTATTCACACTTTTAATTCTTCTCTTAATCAAAACTTCAATTGTCCATTAAAATTTTTTGAATATAATAGGTTTTGATTTTGTTTATTTAATTATATGATTTAATTTTTTTTAATAATTTTATTTAATTCTTTTTTTTTCTTTTTTTTCACACCCTCATTTTTTTTCTCGTTTTTGACTAATATTATTTCTATTTAGATACCGTCCACATTGTAAAAAATGACGTGTTTGATTATGCACAATTTCCATTGGCGGTAAAGATGTTATAACTATGAAATTAAAAAAAAAATTGGAAATTATCGTATTAGTAAAATAAGGAGAAAAAAGGTACTTTCAAACAATTAAACTCCTCTATTAGTATTAAAATACAAAAATGGAGTCTGAAACATCTCTTGAGAGTATTTATGATGAATTAAAAGGTCGAACTAAGAAGAGAGTTAATGATAACAGGAAAAATAGAAACTTTAAATGTAATCAAGATTACTTAAAAAATATCGGAATTGGACCAACCATTGTTATTGATTGTGATTATGATGATAAACTTTCTGAGCGTAATCTTAAAAGTTTAGTTGTACAACTTAGTATATCTTATTCTTGTATAAGAAAATCAAAAATACCTTTAAAAATGATTATATGTGGTGTTTCTCAAAGACTTAAACAAGGATTATATAAAACACTAGCAGAATCATGGCTTGGAGTTGAAATCTTAAATGATAAAGTTGATCAAGTCATTTCTAATCGATTTTTAAATACAGATTCTAATTATGAGATAATTTATTTATCAGCAGATTCAAATAATGTATTACCATATAAAAAAAATCAAGATGAATACGAAAATTCAACGGATCAAGGATTTAACAACAAACAGATATTCATTATTGGTGGAATAATTGACAGAAATAAATATAAAAATATAAGTAAACTTAGAGCTGAAGAATTTAATATTAAAACTGCCAAACTACCAATTATAGAATCTGGAATTACATTATGTTCAAATCAAGTCCTTACAATTAATCATGTAATTGAATGTATTGTCAAATATAACGAGACTTGTAATTGGTATACTACGTTTGATTCAGTTTTACCAAAAAGAAAAAAAGATCAAATTAATTAATTATCAAATTTTTAGCGCATCTTGTACATATTGTGGTATTGATCTTAAATTCTAAAATATAATTCAGGTTAGAATATATAAATAATTAGATAAAAATTTAATTTTTGTTAAACTTACCGTTCTCTTAATTATATCCAAACAATCAACTCTTAAATCAGAATTGGTTTCAATTAATTCATTAAATATTCCCTGAAATTCTGTTTGTGGGAGTAAGATTAAACTTGGAAATATTGAAGTTTTATAATCACACCAAAGTTTTTGAATACAATGTTTTACTCCTCTCCAAGTTAAAGTATCTTCCCATACTTTATAGTTTCTTATTAGAGAAGAGATAACGAATGATGAAATAAATGAACGAACTGTTGGTAAGTATATTACTGATAATACAAGGGTTCTTCCAAGTGTTCTTGGGAATACAGACTTTTCATCTTGAACAATTTTACCAATTACTGATGCAATAATTTCTGAATCAAATATTGGTGGATTACTTTGTGTTAATTCGAAACAACAATCTATAATATCCACAGTTTTTTTCTTATCTACATAATTTACATCAGGATAACTATATGATATTAATAATAATAATAAATCAGAAGATGATATGATTTTGTCTTTTAAAGCAAATGGATTTGTGACTATATTTTTAATGCATTCTTTAATCATTGATTTATCTGATTTGTTAATAATAATTGGTAATAATTCTTTAATTTTTTGTAAATCATAGTATCCAATAATCGGTATTAATATATTTATATTTTGTGTATTTTTAAATATATTATATACCTTTAGACATAGTTCCATATTACTGAAATTAATATTCACAAGTATTTGAATAATAAAATCAATTAAGTAATTATATTTTATATGATCACTTGAATATATATCAAGTATTCTCAAATATTCTTTTATTAAAATATCCAAATTATTATTTTCCTTTGTATAATGATGTTTGAATAATAATACAATTTCTCTAAATAAATTATCATATAACTCCTTAATTTTATTTAATAATGTAAAAATCTTCAAATTATTATTATTATTCTCTTGAATTTTATTTATTTCATGAATAATTCTTGAATATAATCTAAATAAGCAATTGATTAAGGATGGATAACGTAAACAATAGTATTTAAATAATAAACAAGAATTAGAAAATAAATCTTCAAGATAACCCAAATACAATGCTTCTGTATTCTGATCATTATTTTCTAAATCCATTGTTTCCATTACGGTATTATTACTTTGATTATGATCTACTACAGTATTTTGAATTTTTTCATTAAATTTAGATTTATTAAATTCATTCCCAAAATCTTGTTTATCTTGTTCATCTTCAAAATCATTTACAATTATTCCTCTAAAGTAATTAAAAATATGTTTATTTAAATCATATGTCTTTTTGTATTTTGGAATTAACTCATTTCTGATCATCTCTAAAATATTTTTTCCCACCAATATAATAAATTCGTTTGTATTCAACAAATCAGTAATTATTTTGTCGTTATAATCACTGCTAATTTCATCTGGAACTATACTAGAAACAAGAATAAATGATAATATAATCATCCATTTTTCACCATAAACTTCAATGTTATTCCAATTACTCATTTCTTCAGTCAAAAAAGTCTTTAAATTGGCAATTTCATTATTTTGAAAATCTGTATTAATCTCATTTACTTCAAAATATAATACTGAAATTAAATTCTCAACAAAGGCGTTTTGTTGATTACAAATTTGTGTCAACTGAATATTAATCCTCTTATTGCTTTGAATATTGTCAACTTTAAATAATTCTTTAGTAAATTCAAAGAAATTGATATTATGACTTGAGCTATTTTTAGCCTCACAGTTGTCAGAATTTGACACATCTATATGCATAGCTTCCCCATTTTCCAAAAATAAGCAAATATTATCAAAAAAATTTAAATGGTTAGAATTTGAGTTATAACTTAAAAATGATACAACCATTACAAAAAATGAAACTTTTCTTATATCATCAATTGGGTAATTAGAATTTAATAATTCATAAAATATATTTAATGCATATTCTCTTTTTACTAAAATATTATCATTATTAATTTGAGCGGCACCTTCATTATTTGATGTGGACAAATGCATGCAATAATTATTAGAGAATATCCATTGGTTAAATAATAATCTCAGAAAATTGATGGGTATTTTAGGTGTATTCATGATAAGGTTTTTAAGTTGGGAAAGAAAGATACTGCTTTTTGTCTCAAAATCAGAGATGCATTTTGTGAAGTTATTAAAACAAAAAATGAATAATTTATTATAATCGAAAAATACTTGATTTTCATTTTCTTCATTAATTATGTCATTATTCATATCATTTTCATTAATAATCCATTGAAATAATTTGTCAAAAATCAATTCCTTTTGATTAATTTTTGAATCTAAATGGTAAAATCTAAAGAATAGATTATGTAATACTTTAATTCTTTGTTCTAAAACAAAATTATATATCCATAGAATAAATACTACATTAATATTTTTTAGATTATTTGAAGTATTTAATGCTTCGTTATTATCCATGGAACTTTCATTCATACACTGAATATTATGTAAATTTAATTTATTGTGATAAAGTATATTATCCAAATAAATGAAATAATCTTCGTTAATTTCATTATTATAATCCTCATCATTAATATTCGTTATAAGTAAGATATTTGTTAATAGCTCTTTTGTCTCGCTTAACAAAGTTTTGACCAGAATTTCAATAAAGACCTGTTCCATTTTTAAGTCATTTTTATTGTTTAAAAGAGTTCTTTCTTTGTTTAGGATTAATCTTATCAAAAGTCTATATTTGTAGAATAATATTTCAAAAGCATTAGTAATTCTTTCAACAAGTAAATTCCAAGCTATATTAACACCTTCACCGTAAGTCTCAATATTACAAGTAATATTATCTTTGCCTTCTGATTCACTAATTCTTTTTAATAATAATTCCCAAGATGTTAAAATTAACTGCCCATATTTCAATACATTCATTAACTGATTATTATTTAATAATGTTCTTGAAACTTTATATAATCCATCAGTAGATATATCTACAACTGGTGATACTAATACACCTGTAATTATTTGAGAAAATAGTATGGATTTAATGCTATTGCAATTGTTTTTTAATTCTTTCCAAGTTCCAGTATTTATTGCGTTTTTTAAGCCTTCCATTTCATATTGTTCTTCAGTTATCATATTATCTCCTTTAACTAAAGTGCTTAAAGTTCTTTTTTTATTATTTAAACTTTCTTCAATAAAATTTGAATCAATATTTGAATCCGATTCAAGAATCTGTCTTATTTCCTTATTTTGATAGTTAAAATCAAACATTTCATCATCTAATTTCTTAATCTCTTTTTCATAATCTTCTTTTATATTTTGCTTCTCATCCTGAATATTAAAATCCAATTTTTTATTACTATCTAAGGGTGAAAACTCATTTGTCCATGGAAATTTACTTGAATTCAATATTAAATCCAAATTCTTCTTTTGTCTATTACACTCTTGATTATTTCCTTCCTCAAGAAATAAGTTACTTGGTATTTTCAAATTCAAAAAGTTATTTATCGCAATATCTATAACATTCGAATACGAATTTGTTGAAAATAACCAACTAACTCCTTCTATTACGCTTTGTGGGGAAATCTTATAAAAACCATCATCTACATCATACTTCATTCTTTTATATGAATATCTTGTTGATCTACCACGTAATTTTTGTGCATGAATTGGCGGGAAAATGTCATTTGATGACTCGCCCTTTTCATCCACTTGCATGTTATCACTATTATTATTATTATTATTATTATTATTATCATCGTTGCTGATATCATTATTATTGTTATTTTTATTGAATTTATTGATAGCTTCTTGTCTAAGCTCATGAAGGTTTCCTTTCTTTCCTAGTTTATTAAGAATACTAATAACTTCACCAAAAAGAATTATATTATCATAAGTGTGTGCTGAAGCAAGGATACGCAATAGTTCTTCTTGAAATACGAATTTCACTGCATTTACCTTCTCAGTTTCCTTTTCATCGGTTTGGTTGAAAAGATCTTTTGAAAATTCTACTATAGAAGAAATGAATCTATTAAGATAAATTCCCTTTGTACTACAAAGCCAACCTATAAATTGAATCCAGTAACATATATTTAAATAATTATTACATTTTAATCTCAACAAGAATTTTCCTGAGCATTCTATTGAATCTGAAATACTTCTAATAATGTTCTCAAAAACTGAAATTGACTTTTTACATAAAACTATTTCTATTGGTAATAAACATCCAAATTGATTAAAATAAACATATTTACTGTTATTTTGAGAGTTTAAAGTTACCATAACTCTTGAATTCTTCTTTTGATTTAAATCTAAACTACTTGGATAATCCCAATATTGATGATTTACTCTATTTCTTGTCTCTATTATTATATTTGATTTCACTTCTTGTAATATATTTGTATTAATCATACATATTCGTAATAGTTTAAAAGACAATTTAAGTGTCTTTTTATATAATATCTCTTTTTTCCATTCATCATCTATTTGATAAGAATTCAAGATAACTAATTCATTATCTTTTTGTTTATTACTTATTATTCCACCATTACCATAAGTTTCTAATATATTTGAAATCAATTTAATTATTGAATAAAAACTTTCTAAAGATTTATCTGTTGCCAAATTTAATTCTTTGCATATTTCAGAATCCCACCAAAAATCTCTATCATAACCATTTTCTTGTATTCCTTCAAAGTTTTGTGACTCTTCTATTTGTTTATAGCTTTCCTCTTTTTCAATTAATAATTGTTTAATTGAATAAGGTAAAAGTAAGTCAGAAATAATAACTTCAATTTGATTATATAACATATCAATTATAGCTTTAACTACATTAATATTATTATCATTAATCAAATATGAAAGTTTAACGGTAACTAGACAAGTAAGTATTGGGTCAATTTTCATAATCTTTTCCAAATTCTTTATTAATACAACTCTTACATTAAAATCTTGGTCAAATCTGTCATTCATTAACTCTTTAATAATGTTAATAGCTTTAAAGTATTCAGAATATAAATTTTTTACTTCATCATTTGAAAATTTTCTATTATTAGAGTTTCTATAATCAGTGTTATTTATATTTGATTCTTGTCTTAACCGGAATCCTTGTATCTTTCTTTGTACTGATAATTGTAAAAAGTGAGAAAGTAACTTTTTCTCTTCATCTTCAATTTCCAAACTCATTATTTAATTAATATTTTTCAATATAACTCAATTTTGTATAATCTGTAATTAAAATATGGGATAATATTGTCCTATTTAAACTAAATTGATTTTTTCATTTAATGAGAAATAAATGTTACATATACAACAAAATTCGTTTATCTTTTTTATATAAATTAATATATTTTAATTAATTGTAATTAATTTTAAGAAAAATAAATATCAATGTTTATTCTTCTATTCTTATAATATCACTGGTACCGAAGTAAATAAATATATTCAATCAAATATTAATTTATTTCTCAAGTATTTCATCTCAGAACTATAATAACTTTTGTTATATTAATTTACTTTAATATCTTCAAGCTCTCTTTTTTCTTTAATATTAATTTGAAAAATTGTGGGAAACAACCACTTTGTATCAAGGACTTATAATGTACCGTTCCTGTGTTAACTTCTTTCTCTTCTTTAACTTTTGTAATAATAATATTGATTATTATACAATAATTATTACTTTTTAAATTAATATTCAAGATTTATCTCAACAAAAAAATCACATATTACTGTTATTTTTTTTTCCATTTATTTAATCAATTTTTGTTTGAAAAAAATTCGGTACCACGATTGGCGCCCAAAGCATGATCACTATTTGGCGCCAACAATTAAATGAATGTCAAAAAAAGATTACAATATAATTGAAAAAAAACATATAAATTAGTCAATTTATATAAATATGTCAAATACCTCTGGTAGGAATAATGTTTTCAGGTGTAATTATTGCAATGAAGGGAAAGTTGTAATGAAAAGATGCAGAACAGGGTATCTAAGCTGTAAAGAATGTTTTATACATAACTTTGAGGAGGAAATACATGAATATATCACAGAAAACAGGTAAGTAAGCAATAATTTAATGATATTTTCTGTTTAAAAAAGCAGAATAAGTTATTAGTATTACTAAGAGTAATGGTAATAGCGTATTATAAATGAAATAATTGTTTTAAATTTACTTGTATAATTTAACTAAATTTAGAATGTTTAAAAGAGGTAATAGAGTTGGGGTATGTATTTCAGGAGGCAAAGATTCTAGTGTTCTATTAAATGTGTTGTATGAACTTAATAAAAAAAAAGATTATGGAATAGAACTGGAATTAATTGCTGTAGATGAAGGTATTAAGGGATATAGGAATGATTCTTTAGAAGTTGTTAAGTATCAGCAAGAATACTATAATTGTCCTTTAATCATCCTTTCTTTTAAAGATATGTTCAATACAACAATGGATGAGATTCAAAGTAAATCAAATAGGTCAAATTCATGTACTTATTGTGGTGTATTTAGAAGAAAAGCATTAGATATTGGAAGCTACAAAGTTAACGCTGATGTTATTTGTACAGGCCATAGCTGTGATGATACATGTGAAACATTATTATTAAATATATTACGTGGTGATTTTAACAGATTACAGAGGTGTATAAATCCTATAACAAGCAATGAAATTACTCAAACTAATGACCAAGTACAAAATAATGATACTCAAAATGAAACATTCTCAAATATAAAACCTAGAGTTAAACCCCTAATGCACTGTTATGAAAAAGAAATTGTATTATATGCACATTATCTTAATCTAAGATATTTCTCAACTGAATGTACTTATTCCATTGATGCATATAGAGGAGTTTCACGCGAATTTATACGTAAACTCCAAAGTTTTGATTATAAATATTCTTTCAATATGATACTTGCAGCTCAAGAACTTAATCTTGAACAATCCAATTCTAATCCTAATTACATAGCAAGAAAATGCACTATTTGTGGTTATATATCATCGTCTACGATTTGTAATGGATGCAACCTTATTAATGCTCTTAAACATGATAATCCTAATCTTATTCTTAAAAATCAAAGACAAAAAAAGAAGATTATATTAGAAGAAAGTTAAAAGTAAATATTACTTGTAATTATAATTCTAAAGTTAGCCCGCTTTAACACGTAATTTATATGATTACATAAATATATTAACCAGCTTCAATCACATAATACAATACAATGCAGTTAATATGAAATTATTCATATATATTCCTAACAAATTTTGTTTCTCAAAAAAATTAATATTTATTTTTTGTTTTTTACAAATTTTTCCAATTTATTCCAATATTCCCCACTTTTTTCCTCACTTTTCACACACCTCACATTATTTTAATATGACCCAATTTTTACCGTTCATTAACGTCGCCTTCGTAGCATAGTCTTGGTTATTGCGTCGGTCTTGTAAACCGAAGGTCACGAGTTCGAATCTCGTCGAAGGCTCTTTTTCCCCCCATTTCTGTGCTATACTAAATTGTCTTCCTTAACCATCACCCCCATTCAGCATCCCGCCTTTTTTCCCTATATGCATATATAAATATATTATTACGAATTATTAATTGAGCATTTAAAAAATCAATTTATACAATTCGACTTTATTAATCAAATTTATTCTGTTTTATATTAAATTTTTTAATCCATACTAAAACAATAAATACAATTAATTAAAAAAAAAGAGTGAGCCCGCCTTTTGCCGTTCAAAATTTATTAAGATGCCTTACAAATAAGGAGATTACATGCGAAATTATTTATGTAATTCTCCTTTTAAAAAAAAAAAAAAAAAGATAAAAATTTGTTTCTTTCATTTTCATAGTTTAAAAAAATGTATTTATAATTGTTTTTTCTATGAATACTTTCTATTATTAAAGATATCAATAATCATATGAAATATATTGTAAAGGGAACATTTTTAGTACAAAAAAAATGTGAATAATTTACTTAAAATAAAATTCCTTCATTCTTTTGCTCCAAAATTGAATCCCCAAAATTATTATTTGTGTCATATGAAGTAGAATCATTTCCTTTACCATCATTCTCTTTAGATTTCTTTTTCTCCATCTTTAGTTTCTCTTGAAGCTCAGCTTCTGCCCATTCTTTCTTCTTCTCTTGAATCTTTTTCAATCTGAAAAACTCCTCTCTTTCTATCTCATCTAATTCCCTTAATATGTAATTCATACCGTCCTCCAATTTCGGTAAAACAACATTTTGTAATGCATTTACACGACGATTTGTCATCTTAATCTCTTCATCCAAAGAAAAGAATGCAGTTTGTAAACTTGCCAACTTAACTAAATCCCTTAATACTTTCATGTAAATTTCTCTTGTTGATTGAATTACCTGTCCACCACTTGCTACGCCAATATGACATGTTTCTGAAGATGAACTATTATCAATTTTCATCTCAAAAATAGGTAATCTAACACCCGCAATATTTTCAGTACCAACTTCCATTGTTACTGTTGGTTTTTTACATGATTCTATTATCCTATCCTTAAAATCACCAGCTGCCCATGTTGCTTTTGCCAATGCAAATGATGCCTCTTTAACATCATTACCTATTGAACGTTTTGTTTCAACAATCTCTTTTAACATCCCTCTAAATTTATTTGACAAAGCATCACTTTTTCTTTTTAATAAATCATATCCTTGTTTAGCTCCTTTACTTTTCAATTTTATTGCTTGTAAAGCCCTAATAATTAATAATTAATATTCTATCTTAAATTATTCTATAAAAATAAACTTACATTCGACTTGGTGTTGGTCTCTGATCCATTTTTTACTAAAAATTCTCTTTCTCTTCAAACTTTACTACTTAAGTAACAGATAAATTATCAATTTTTTTTCTAAATTATCCTTCAGTGTCTTATATTATTACAAATATAACAATTTCCTTCTAAATACTATTTTAATATCGATATCTTTATATATTCGATTAAATTAAATTAAAATAAAAAAACTCTATTTGTGTTATTTTTCTTATTATCCTTTGATATTTCCTTTTTTTTTTCTTTATTTTAATTTTTTTTTTTTTTTCTTTTACCTCCTTTAATTTATTAAAAAAAAAATAAAGAAATTTCGCTTTTTTTAAACTTTTTACACTAAAATATCAATATTGGCGGGAATGAGTGGGGGAGTTTGCCCGCCATGTTTCTGAATAGGTATCGAGATCTTTATCAAAATATTATTAATTAATAAATATTTGTATTGCTTTATTTAATTTTTTTTTTCTTCTTAATAAATTACATGTAAATTTTCCTTTATTTTATTTATTTAAAATTGATATATTTAGCTGAAAAATTTCTTATATTATAAAAAAAAATCAATAATAATTCATCAAAGAAAAAATGAATTATCATCTTTTACTTTGTTATTTAATTTTTAATTGTTTAATATATTCATTTTATTGTAATGATGAAGTTAATGACGATATTAATTATTTAAAAGAAAAAGTTAAATTTATAATATTTGATGATTTTCATATTGGACCAGATGTAAGTGATTTAATTTAATAATCATTAGCAATAATATATTAATCTCCTTTTATAGAATAAATCCATATTAGATATTTTATTAATTGATAATAAAATACCGAAAGATAATGTATATTATTTAACAGAAAATATTCCAAATAAATATCCTGAAGATACATTATTATTACCCATTCTTTTCAGATATGTTAAAGAATCCATAAATAATGATTTTGATTGGTTCTTTATCATTAATTCATTTACACGTTTTGATCCAATATTATTAAATAAATTATTATTTAATTTAAATAAAGAACAAACTATTTTTGAAAAAATACAAAATATTTCACATACCAATAATAATATTAAATCACCAAATAATAATTTTATTGGTGCTAAAATTAATGATGTTATTCCGTCCATAGTACATCATTATAATTTAGATAAAAATTTTCAATATCCATTCCATTATTCTGGATATGCTATTAGAAGATTTACTATTGAATCTTTACAAGTATCTATAAAATCCTTAAATTCTATTGATATAAAAAATTATTCCAAAATATATACTGATGTAAACTTCGAGGTATGTTCTTATTTTTTCTTTTCTTTAATAAAAATATGAATTAATACAAAATAATTTACTTAATATAGTTAGCAAAATTAATTTATGATGAATTAAATATTAAATTAAAAGATATACCAGAATTTTGTATTAATATTGATGATACAAATCCAAAATATCATAAAAAAGGTAGTATTGTACCCAAAAAATGTATTACTTGGTCAATATCTTATAGAATTTCAAATAATTGTGTTTCATTTTCACTTCCATTAAATAATTTAAATCCAAAATATATTGTAAATCCAAATGAAATCGTTATTGCAATAAAAACTACCCAAAAATATCATCATGATCGTATTTCACAGATTAACCAATTGTGGGCAAATACAAAATATTTAAACTATAATTCAATCAATTCAAATCCTTATTGTAATGATTATTTTAATTCAATCTCACATCTTTTTAAGCCATTTAATAATAAATCTATTCATATTAATATATTAAGTGATCATAATGATTATATTAATGATATACCCATAAATGATCTAAAAACTGGAAATCAACCTAGTGGCCACTGTTTAAAATTTTACACCATTATACATTTTTTGTATAATAAATATATTATTAATAACTTAAATTTAAATTACAAAATCAAATATTTTGTTCTCGTTGATGATGATACTTTAATCATTCCATTTTCTTTACTCAATTCTCTTACTTTTATAAACCAACAATATAGTGATAAGAATGATTTTGACCTATACCTTGGATTAAGATATTCACTTGGATCTATTATTGATAACTGGTCTGTCGATTATATAACAGGTACGTCTTTTTTTTTTCAAATTAGAAACATTGATTTATATTAAAAATGATGGTGATAATAATGACTATCATTATTATTATTATTATTATTATTAAATTTATCTAGGTGGTGGTGGTATTGTTATTAATTCAAATTCTTTATCTAAGCTTGCAAACTGTAAAGGTAAGTTTTATTATTTATTATAATTTATATCATTATTTTCTGTAAACCTTATTATTAATATATATAATTTTAAATTAAAGAATGTATCTGCAATAAACCTGATGAACCAGATGATATGGCACTTGGTAGATGGTTTAAATTTCTTAATATTAAAGCAATAAACTTTAATGGATTCCATCAAGCTGAATCAACTAATTACCATTCTTATTACAATTTTTATTCACATATAATTTCTTATCATAAAATTGAATCAAATATATATAATACGGCTCAAAAATATAATCCAAAATTATTCAATTTATTGTACCCACATATTAATGATCTCAGTAAATACAAAGAAAATAGTGATAATAAATATGATGAATTATAATTATTTGTTAAATTATATTATCATTTCAATATATAATATTGATATTTTTCTCAGTTATCTCTCATTAATTTAAAAATAATAATAATTTTCATATTTATCTTAAAATTACGTGTCATGTTAATTTTTAATGTCATAATAAAACACTCCCGCCTTATGCAAAAACTGAAATAAATAATTTTATA